TTACTAATTCCCATCACCGGGAATGGTAAAGTATTATCCTTATCCATTTAAGGTTTGAAATGGGTTTCAATGTATAATTGATTTAATTTAATTATAAACCAAATTGCTAGGGTTATAAATGGAGAGAGGAAACACAATAACTTGATTATTGTGATTGTATTGAAATAAATTTCAAAATTAAATATTTTTTCACTGATTCTCAGTTCTCTCTCATCGATAAGTACACTATTAACATTTAATTCAAAATATCCTTTATTCATATCAACAACAACAGATGCATATAAAACATAACCAACAACAGAAGGTCCTACACATTTTCTTAATCAATACTTGTTTTAATGTTTTACCAAATTCAGTTCAATTTCATTCAATTAAGTAATAAATTGATAATAAAGTTTCCTTTGATTCTGTTCAATGATTGGATATTAATTCGTTTTGATTCAGTTCAATTTGATTAATTGATAATTCAATTCAATGATTAATTGATAATTAAGTTCAATGCGATTCGATTCAGTTCAATTTGATTAATTGATAATTCAATTCAATGATTAATTGATAATTAAGTTCAATGCGATTCGATTCAGTTCAATTTGATTAATTGATAATTCAATTCAATGATTAATTGATAATTAAGTTCAATGCGATTCGATTCAGTTCAATTTGATTAATTGATATAAAATTTATTCACCTTTGCTTTATTGATTCTCTGATTCTTCAAGTTAATTAATTCATGAGATGATTCAAGTTAATTAATTCAGGCAATGATTCAAGTTAATTAATTCGGGAGATGATTGATTTGATTTAACTTTACTAAACATGACAGTGATCAAATTAATTCTAGAAATGAGGTGATCGAATTAAATTTATTGTAAAAGTAGATCGATTGGAATTTATTTTTGATCATTCTAATTATTCTGAGAGCGATTTGTTCTATTACTTTATCTCTTTTCAATGATCAATCAACTTTATAATTGATTTAATTACCGATTCAATTAATGCACTTTTATTCATTTAGTTAATTACCTAAATCTCAGTTTTAACCAATGAATAAGCACTGTATATATTGAGCATAGTACCTATCTAATTAACTCTTCTTTTGATACTTGATGTTTTTATATTGCTAGAATATATTTCAGTGATCGGTAATTCATGTTAATTTAAGTGCAATATACTTATCTTGTCTCTCCGAAGGTTGTAATTCGCCCAATTGTTTGTCTCCTCTCCGATTTGTCAGGATGTCCAGGTTTATTTATCAGGTTGATTAATTATTGTTTATAATTTCTTATGATAATTTATTGATTTTATTAGACAACTTCTTTGTTTTCAAACCCAATTAATTCAAATATCTGTTACCTTTACCATATAACTCCAATGTTGGTTAGTATGAGTAACAAATTTCTATCTGCACCGTGATTACCTGGAAGTAATTTTCTTTACTAGATTAGTCTCTTTTATTCAGGTAAGAAGGTCACTAATTGTTAGCACAGCAATTGGTTTTAACCAATTATTTTTTTGTTTATCTTGAGTAAGATAAATAGTAGTTTATTTTCACTGAATCAATTCGTACAATTTACTTAATTATTAGGTACATTGATAGGCACAAATACTGATTTTTATTGTTACCACACTTGATCTGAACTTCTTTTTCACTTAACTCACTGAATTAAGTTCACAACATTGATTTATTATCAATTTAGAGTCACCCAATTGAAGTAGATGAAAAAAGGTTAACTTAATGCACCAGGTTTTAGTCTTAGACTGATTTTGTTTCACAATTTAATTGATAAAATACTATGATTTAACTTTATTAAATAGGAATTACATCCTATTTTTCAGCACAAAGGTAAAATTTTTACTTTCACAATTCACTATTAAGTACTTATTTTATCCCCGTAAGGGTGCCAAATGGACGGAAAGTTCATTTATTCAATTAGATTAAACTATTTTATTTCATTTTTCCACGTCCTCAAAATGACCGAAAATCGGCCATTTTTTTGTTGAAGAGGGAGAAAAACTTCTCTCTCAAATTTTGCCTCATCATCTTCATCATCAACAAAACAACCAATAGGATAGACCAGGTACCATGTGAGAGGTGGTACCTGGTAATGTTACATTTAAAACTGGTTGCAACTAGTTTGTTGCATATGTGATGATTTTTTTTCATGATAGAATTTAATTAAATTATGATTTTTCCATATTAGGCCACCGTCCACGCTACGAGCTATGGCCTTTCAATATGTCTAATGAATTTGGTCCATTTGATGAAGTACCATTCATATGGAAAGATTTTAAGGCTTTAAATTACACCACTAGTTATATTGAAGATTCGCCTAGAGTCTCGTTATTTAATTTCCTTAGGAAAGGGTTTCATAAGCCTCCCGTTGATTGGTACCCGAGGCTTTATTGGCTGATAATTCGTAAGAGAAAAAGAATAAAATCATGGAACTTTTGCTACAATGGGAAGCCGAAAATTGTTCATTGGTTGAAACAAGTAAAACAATTTCTCAACAAAGCAATGAGATCCAATTTATCTTTTTTCCTATGGTCGTTTTATATTCTCGTTACACATGATGATTTCAACAAAGCTCAATTGATTGATGGATATATCGCTGATTTCGTTGATTCTTATCGTTTTATTCTTGACGATACGATTTTCATATTAATGGGAGATCATGGTAATCGCATCGGGCCTTCATTAAAAACTGGATACGGTCAAATAGAAACTCGAATGCCTCTTTTTGGTATTCATATTCCACCTAAACTATTATCAGAACATAAACATTTGTCCGAATATTTAAAGAAAAACGAGAAAAAGTTGACCACTTGGTTAGATGTTCGAGAAATACTAAAAGACATAAAGTGTTGCTAATCCAAATGGCACAAACTTTTAAATCGATTATCTAAAAAACTATTTAAGTTAAATAGATTATTTTTTCACAAATAAATAGATTAATATCTCATAAATTAACATGGAAAAATTCAGATCAGTCCGATTTTCAGTCTCGACATGGCAACTTTTTGTTCAAGAGATCACCGAAAAATAATCGGGAATGTTTATTGTTCATTGAAAAATACCTTGAAAAAAAGTGAAATTGTGCGAAAATTATCTGATTTGAATATTCCAAAAAGAACTTGTTATAGAATTTTATCTCAAATCGACAATGGAATCTTCAGTGTTGATAGAAAAGTGAATTCAACAAAATTAACACCAAGAATTATGTCACGTCTGAGGAAATTGTGAAATAATAAAATATTCATCGGATATAATGCTCTGGCTAAAAAGTTCAATGTTCATCATTCGACGATGAAAAAATGGTGTTCAAAAATTGGAATTTTCGTGAGAAATCGTCGAGTGATTCCAAAATATTCAGATAAACAACTTTCAACGTTACCAACGAAAATCGCTAAGTTACGAAAACTTTTTTCTTCTTATGATGAAATTATCCTTGATGATGAAACTTATTTCGATGTCGATGGAACTAGAAATTCATTTAACAATCGTTATTCATTTATTGATCGGGAATCAGTTTCCCCTGAAATCAAGTTTCAGCCGAAATCGAAATTCCCAAAAAAAGTTTTGTTATGGTTAGCAATAAGTTCAAAGGGATTATCTCGTCCATATTTCCATGTAGTTAAAGGAGCAGTTAATTCTAATATATATATATGAATGAATGTTTGCCTCGATTAAAAAGTTTCATCAATAAATATCATCATGAAGATAAGGTTTTATTCTGGCCTGACTTAGCAACATCTCACTATGCTAGAGTAACTCAAGATCGACTCAAAAAGTTAAAAATTCAATTCGTACCTCGAATTTCAAACCCACCCAACTGTCCACAGCTTCGTCCGATCGAAAAGTTCTGGGCCATTTTGAAATCGCGAGTTTATGCTGGTGGTTTCAAAGCAAAATCAGAATCAGAATTGATAAAAAGGATAAAAAACAATCAAAAACCTCGAACCTACACTTCCCATCACTTTAATGGCCAACTTACGCAAGAAGGTTCGAAAAGCTGAAGACAATGGAATTTTTTCAGTTCTATGATAATATTTTTTTTGCTCATGATAATTTCTATCTTTTCTGAAAAAATCATCAATTAAACTTAATTATTTAATTAAATATCGACAATTGAAATTTGTGCCATTTCGATTAGCAACACTTTAGTAGCTGGTCAATATACTCCAATTGTATCTTCTTCTAAAAGAAAAGCTTATTCCGTTTGGCGAGAAGAGATTCCATCGGATAGAACTTGTCGAGATGCTCTAATTCCAATAGAGTTTTGTTTATGCTCGAAAAAACATAGTATACCAGTCAATAAACAGCACAAAAGATCTTTGGCTTGTGGAAGGAGATATTTCAAGACTCAATTCTTACGGACGACAGTCGAAGTGTATCCACGAAAAAGTCCTCCGGAAATACTGTTACTGTCAACGTGAATTCTTTGATCGTGGTTATTAAAATATCTATTGTATCATCTAATAATAAGAATCAATAGCTCCCAACAACATTTTGGATTTTATCGTCAAAGAGAAAGATTAACCCAAAGACGTCAATCCAAATCTTTATGATTGGAATAGTGATCATTACGTATTCTCAAGTTTCATCTCGCTATTTTCATGGGCTGAATTCAAACGATATTTGGTAACAAACACTTTTGTGAAAAGGTTTCAGCCGCACAAAGAACTTTTTTTATTCTTTTTCTCTTCAATTACGATTTAAACCAAAGTTACAATCCATTGAGACATTTACATGTATTTCTCTCGATTGGCGATTAAAAAGCTTTCAAGAGCAACTTAATAATCGAGGTAGACTCAATAATCAAATTGATTATTCATTTGAAAATGCTAGAAAACTTTTGAATCAAACAATAGAGTTGCAGCTGATTGAGAATAAACAATTGGAACTGTTTAAAAGGACTGTAAATTTATCCAGTAGTTTTCTAAAAGAGTCTCTTAGTTACCAGAATTTGGAAGAATATTATTGTTGTTAAAGAAGCAATCATTTTATCAATTCTTTGATTATCTTGCGTAAACTAATTGGATTTTACTCTGATCTCAGTTAAGATTTATTATTTATAATTGTGAGTTTTAATGAAATCAACGGAAAAACAATTTTAGAGTAGTTAGTTTGATTGAAGAAGTTGAAACCGTTGGGACAATCCATTAGGAACAATTGATTATTATTGTGTTGGTTATTATCAAATGGAATTCAAATTATGGTTTCAAGTGAAGCAAAAAGTGTTTCTTGTGTTCGTTATTCTTGTAGTTTATATAATTTTTGAAGTTCTCTTTTTGGTGGAAGATGATTCATCTAATCCATACTATGAGAGAATTGTTAATAGACCATCATTTTATTCATACGATGAAAGAGATGAATGGTTTGAATCGACAAATTCATCTTTCTGTGAGCTTCCCTTTAATATGGACCCATATGATCCAATGATTAAAGTTTTCATTCATCAAGAAAACTCTTTTATTAATTGTAGTAAATCAAATGATTCGTTTTATAACCTTAGTGATGGAAAATCTTTATCGTACATGAATGATGTGGATGGAATTGTTCATATTTTTCGTATTCAAGAGTACGATAAATCGTTGAAGTGTCTTTACCAGCAGTTCGATCGAGATGGTGAATCGGATAAAAAGATAAAATATTTTGAATGGAAACCGATAATTGGATATGAATTAGATTTGGAAAAACTCGGAATCGAGTTTGTTATAATTGAATGTTTTCTATCGAATGAATTAATTTATACAAATATTCATTCATGGCCAAGTCGAGTTCCAAGTTCATCATCATTAAGAATTGTTAATAATTCCTCTTCGTTTTCTTCATCTTTTGAATTAACAATTAATGAAAGTCAATTGATTAATAATCGATCGACAAAACCTTCAGTGATGTTTCTGATAATCGAATCGATTTCTTACCTTAATTACAAACGATTCATGTCACAAACGGAACTCGCAGTGTCCAAATTATCAAATTTCTTTATTCTCAGAGGATTGAATAAACTCGCAGATAATTCGTATCCAAACATGATGCCAATTCTAACAGGTATGCAAATTAGTTTGAACTTCTATGTGATGATTTTTTTGCATGATGGAATCAAATTAAATTATGATTTTTCCATATTAGGCCACCGTCCACGCTACGAGCAATGGCCTTTCAATATGTCTAATGAAAATGGTCCATTTGATGAGGTTCCGTTCATATGGAAAGATTTTAAGGCTTTAAATTACACCACTGGTTATATTGAAGATGATCCTACGTATCAGTTGTTATCCTATTCGTTGCAAGGATTCCGTAGACATCCCGTTGATTGGTATCCTAGACCCTATTGGTTAGAAATGGACATATTATTAAGATCCAAATACCGTGAATTTTGCTATAATGGCGAACCGAAAATCGTTCATTGGTTGAAACAAGTAAAACAATTTCTCAACAAAGCAACGAGATCTAATTTACCTTTTTTCCTTTGGTCATTTTATATTCAAGTTACTCATACTGATTTCAACAAAGCTCAAATGATCGATGGATATATCGCTGATTTTATTGATTCTTATCGTTCTATTCTTGATGATACGATTTTCATACTAATGGGAGATCATGGTAATCGTTATGGGCTTCCTCTTCAGACTGCTTATGCTCAGATAGAATCTCGAATGCCTCTTTTTGGTATTCATATTCCACCTAAACTATTATCAGAACATAAACATTTATCCGAATATTTAAAGAAAAACGAGAAAAAGTTGACCACTTGGTTAGATGTTCGAGAAATACTAAAAGACATAGTAGCTGGTCAATATACTCCAATTGTATCTTCTTCTAAAAGAAAAGCATATTCCGTTTGGCGAGAAGAGGTTCCATCGAATAGAACTTGTCAAGATGCTCTAATTCCAATGGAGTTTTGTTTATGCTCGAAAAAACATATTGTTTCAACCAATTTAGCGTTCGCACGGCATTTAGCTTCCGTCGTAATAGATCATCTCAATCAACTTCTACAAGTATATCGACAAAGATATTTGTCTTCCATTGTCCCTTAAAGAGATTCACAGTCTCAAAGTAAGTTAATTCATCTTGATATTTCTATGAAAACTAATTCACGTTTCCTCTTGCAAATTTCAGAGTGTCGATATGAATGATAACCCTCACATTAATCGATCTGAAGTAATCCTATCTGTCCATCCTTCTAATGGTACTTTCCAAGCTCAGTTATATGAAACAGTTGACGCAATGAACGCTACAAGCTGGTCTGTAGAAGGAGATATCTCAAGAATTAACTCTTATGGGTTTCAGTCTCTTTGCATCATGCATGAAAAAGTCCTCATGAAATATTGTTACTGTCGAATTCAATCGAGACCCGGTCAGAAGCCCATTTGAAGTTGATAGATGAAAAAAATGTCCAAGATCATTTCATAGTCACTTCACTTCATTTGGTAATAAATTTTTAATTGTAAACCACGATTCGGTCTACAATTTAATTGGTAACATTTTATTTACTAATTTCTATCTTTAGACTCGTAGATGTTAATTAACAAATTGAATAGGTAATTTCATTGAAAAGGTGAGCAAATAATTGAATTGAATTGAAGCTTCTACACAGTTGAAACAAACAAAATGACTTCAAATGTTTCCATTCATTTGTGAGTATCTCAATCAGTTCCATGCAAAAAGAAAGTAACAACAAGAGTATTTTACCAATTATTGATTGAAAATTAATATTGAGAAAAAACCATAATACCGTTGTGAATTCTTGATGAATCTGTAATAGAATCAACATCAACCTGAACTCAGTCAGGAATTGACTGTGACAACTTTAAGGAAATAAGTCCATTAAAAGTCTTCTGCTAGTGAAGTTGAATGATTTTAATTGTTGGTGAATTTGATAACCGGCAGAGAATTAAATAAATTTGTTCGAATTGGCAAATGGGATACAAATTACGATATCAAACGAAGCGAAAAGTGTTTCTCGCGTTCATTTTCCTTGTAGTTTATATAACTTTTGAAGTTCTCTTTTTGGTGGAAGATGATCCAATCCCTATTGATAAACCGTCATTTCATTTATACGATGAGAAGGATGAATGGTTTGAATCAAAAAATTCTTCTTGTAATCTTCCCTTTAATGTGGACCCTTATGATCCAATGATTAAAACTTTCATTCATCAAGAAAACTCTTTTATTAATTGTAGTAAATCAAATGATTCGTTTTACAACCTTAGTGATGGAAAATCTTTATCGTACATGAATGATGTGGATGGAATTGTTCATATTTTTCGTATTCAAGAGTACGATAAGTCGTTAAAGTGCCTTTACCAGCAGTTCGATCGAGATGGTGATTCTGATAAAAAGATAAAATATTTTGAATGGAAACCGATAATTGGATATGAATTAGATTTGGAAAAACTCGGAATCGAGTTTGTTATAATTGAATGTTTTCTATCGAATGAATTAGTTTATACTAATATTCATTCATGGCCAAGTCGAGTTCCAAGTTCATCATCATTAAGAATTGTTAATAATTCATCTTCTGAATTAACAATTAATGAAAGTCAATTGATTAATAATCGATTGACAAAACCTTCAGTGATGTTTCTGATAATCGAATCGATGTCTTACCTTAATTACAAACGATTCATGTCAAAAACGGAACTCGCAGTGTCCAAATTATCAAATTTCTTTATTCTCAAAGGATTGAATAAACTCGCAGATAATTCGTATCCAAACATGATACCAATTCTAACAGGTATGAAAATTAAGAAAAAGGGATCTTCTCTTTTTCATTGATTGTAAGTATATCGAGTTAATTGAGACTTTCGTATTGAATTTGAGGTCACCGCCCATACTACGAGAATTGGCCTTTCAATATGTCTAGCGAAAAAGGTCCATTTGATGAAGTACCGTTCATATGGAAAGCTTTTAAGGCTTTAAATTACACCACTGGTTATATTGAGGATCATCCTAAACTAGCATTGCTGAATTTCATGGCTAAAGGATTCCTTAAACCTCCCGTTGATTGGTATCCTAGACCTTATTGGTTAGAAATGGACAAATCACTAAAATCTGAAAACAGTGATTTTTGTTATAACGAAAAACCGAAAATCGATTATTGGTTTAAACAAGTAAAACAATTACTCAACAAAGCAACGAAATCCAATTTACCTTTTTTTCTATGGTCGTTTTACATTCAAGTTACTCATAGTGATTTCAACAAAGCTCAATTTATCGATGGATATATCGCTGATTTTATTGATTCTTATCGTTCTATTCTTGATGATACGATTTTCATACTAATGGGAGATCATGGTAATCGTTATGGCCCTTCGTTAAAAACTAGTTACGGTCAAATAGAAACTCGAATGCCTCTTTTCGGTATTCATATTCCACCTAAACTTTTATCAGAACATAAACATTTGTCCGAATATTTAAAGAAAAACGAGAAAAAGTTGACCACTTGGTTAGATGTTCGAGAAATACTAAAAGACATAGTAGCTGGTCAATATACTCCAATTGTATCTTCTTCTAAAAGAAAAGCTTATTCTGTTTGGCGAGAAGAGGTTCCATCGAATAGAACTTGTCAAGATGCTCTAATTCCAATGGAGTTTTGTTTATGCTCGAAAAAACATAGTATGCCAGTCAATTCAGCGTTCGCTCGACATTTATCTTCCATTGTGATAGATCATCTCAATGGACTTCTATCCGAGTATATTGACAATAATGTTTGTCTTCCATTGTCCCTTAAAGAGATTCACAGTCTCAAGGTGAGTTAATCTACTTACTAATGAATCCAATTCACTTTTCATTTTTTATTTTAGAGTGTAGATCTAATAAACGATAATAATGACACAAACAGATCTGAAATAACATTATCTGTTCATCCATCTAATGGTACTTTCCAAGCACTTTTACATCAAACAATTAATTCGCAAAAAGCAAGAGATTACCGTTGGGCTGTAGAAGGAGATATTTCAAGAATCGACTCTTATGGGTTTCAATCTCACTGCATCATGCATGAAAAAGTTCTCATTAAATACTGTTACTGTCGAGTCCAGTTGATGCCCGTTTAAAAGTCCAATAGGCCATAACAGCCGAGTATCGTTCCATGTCAATTCTTGAGCTTCACTTGTTAATAAATTTGTAAAAACCAATTTATTCAATTTTAAACAAAGTTTAGATTAAATGAAACATTTTTTAAGTTTTAACCGATAAGGAATAGACAATTTCAGGCAAAAGGTGAGTAAATAATTTAATTGACACTATTTAACACTGTCAATTCAGATTAGGTGACTGAAGTTCACTGCAATAGGATTGATTTGGTGTGTTTTTCAAATGGGGATTTCTAAATTCTGGTTTCCTACGAAGCGGAAAATGTTTCTTCTATTGGTTTTTCTTTTAATTTTTATGGTTTTTGAAGTTCTCTTTTTTGGAGAAATTAATCTAATCCCGGGTTATAGTTCATCTAATCCATACTGAGAGAGATGAATGGTATGAATCAACAAATTTTTCTTCATGTGATCTTCCCTTTAATATGGATCCTTATGATCCAATAATTGAAGTTTTCATGCGACGAGAAGATCATTTTATTAATTGTAGTAAATCAAATAATGGAAAACCGAATTCTTTGTACAATATTAATGATGGAAAATCTTTATCACATATGAATGATGTGGATGGAATTGTTCGTATTTTTCGTATTCGAGAGCACAAGGAGTCACTAACGTGCTTTTATCAACAGTTTGATCGAGATGGTGATTCCGACAACAAGATCAAGTATTTTGATTGGAAACCGATAATTGGACATAAATTAGATTTGGAAAAACTTGGAATCGAATTTGTTATAATCAAATGTTTTCTCGTGTCTGTTAAATTAGTTTATACTAATATTCATTCATGGCCAAGTCGAGTTCCAAGTTCATCATCATTAAGAATTGTTAATAATTCCTCTTCAATTTTCTCTTCTTCTGCATTAACAACATACGAAAATCATACAAATAATTTGATTAATAATCGATCTACAAAACCTTCAGTGATGTTTCTAATAATCGAATCGATGTCTTACCTTAATTACAAACGATTCATGTCAAAAACGGAATTCGCTTTATCCAAATTATCGAATTTCTTTATTCTCAGAGGATTGAATAAACTCGGAGAAAATTCATATCCAAACATGATGCCACTTCTATCAGGTATGAAAATTAGCTTGTGCTTCTTAACGATTATTCTTTTGCATGATAGAAACCAGTTAATTAAAACTTTTGAATTTTAGGTCACCGTCCAAACTACGAGAATTGGCCTTTCAATTTGTCCAGTGAAAAAGGTCCATTCGATGAAGTACCGTTCATATGGAAAGATTTTAAAGCTAAAAATTACACCACTGGCTATATTGAAGATCATCCAATAATTGCATTAATGAATTTCATTGCTAAAGGATTCCGTAAGCCCCCCGTTGATTGGTATCCTAGGCCATATTGGTTAGTTATGGATAAACTTCAAGGTTCCAAATTCCGTGACATTTGTTATAATGAAAACCGAAAATCGTTTATTGGTTGAAACAAGTGAAACAATTTCTCAACAAAGCAACGAAGTCAAATTTACCTTTTTTCCTTTGGTCGTTTTATATTCGCGTTACACATGATGATTTTAATATGGCTCAATCGATCGATGGACATATTGCTGATTTTATTGATTCTTATCGTTCTATTCTTGATGATACGATTTTCATACTAATGGGAGATCATGGTAATCGGTTAGGACCTTCATTAAGAACTGCATATGGTCAAATAGAAACTCGAATGCCTCTTTTTGGTATTCATATTCCACCTAAACTATTATCAGAACATAAACATTTGTCCGAATATTTAAAGAAAAACGAGAAAAAGTTGACCACTTGGTTAGATGTTCGAGAAATACTAAAAGACATAGTAGCTGGTCAATATACTCCAATTGTATCTTCTTCTAAAAGAAAAGCTTATTCTGTTTGGCGAGAAGAGGTTCCATCGAATAGAACTTGTCAAGATGCTCTAATTCCAATGGAGTTTTGTTTATGCTCGAAAAAACATATTATACCAATCAATTCAGCGTTCGCACGACATTTAGCTTCCGTTGTGATAGATCATCTCAATCAACTTCTATCCAAGTATATTGACAATAATATTTGTCTTCCATTGTTTCTTAAAAAGATTCAAAGTCTCAAGGTGAGTTAATCTATTTACTAATGAATCCAATTCACTTTTCATTTTTATTTCAGAATTTAGATCTAAATGAAAACAATCCTATCAATCGATCTGAAATAACATTATCTGTTCATCCATCTAATGGTACTTTCCAAGCGCTTTTATATCAAACAGTAGACACAACAGATGACCGTTGGTCGGTGGAAGGAGATATTTCAAGAATAGATGTTTATGGAAGTCAATCGATTTGTATTAATGATAAAATCCTAAGAAAATATTGTTACTGTCGAATACAATTGAGGCCTGTTCAGAAGACCATTGGACGATTATAGATAAAAAAAAATGCCAAAGTTCGTATCATGTTTCTTTTACAAAAAGTTTGTTTCATTCTAATAATTTAGTTTACAATTAAACTGAAAACATTTGATTCTACAAATAGTAATTGTGTTGATTAACTCGTGAAACAGGTAATTGGTTTGAGAAGCTGAGTAAATAATGTAATTAAAGCTTCTACTCCATTTCTTAAAGTGGGTCTCAGTTAGTTTCAAGTCTATTTAATTGGGACACCCTTTAGAAAATGGAAGCATCTAAACTAAAGATTAATAGGAAGATTCACCACTCAACGAGATGTGTCAATGTGGTTTTCACATCTTAGGGAAAACTATGAGATCCAGAGGGAGCATCGAGTATACGAAAGCCGATGAAGAGCTGATTTCATGGGAATTTAAAGTCTATTCATGTATTAATTGTTCTTCGAGTTTTTAAGTTTGAAATTTTTTATATTCAAAGTTTTTGTGTAGTTAAATTGATTGGTTTTAATGATTGGTGAATTTTATGAACTGGATTTGAATTGTGTTAATTGTTTCGAATGGGATACAAATTCAGGTTTCCTACGAAGCGGAAAGTGTTTCTTTTATTTGTTTTTCTTTCGATTTTTATGGTTTTGAAGTTCTCTTTTTTGGAGAAATTAATCTAATCCCGGGTTATAGTTCATCTAATCCATACTTTGAGAGAGATGAATGGTATGAATCAACAAATTTTTCTTCATGTGATCTTCCCTTTAATATGGATCCTTATGATCCAATAATTGAAGTTTTCATGCGACGAGAAGATCATTTTATTAATTGTAGTAAATCAAATAATGGAAAACCGAATTCTTTGTACAATGTTAATGATGGAAAATCTTTATCACATATGAATGATGTGGATGGAATTGTTCGTATTTTTCGTATTCGAGAACACAAGGAGTCATTAAAGTGCTTTTATCAACAGTTTGATCGAGATGGTGATTCAGACAATAAGATCAAGTATTTTGATTGGAAACCGATAATTGGATATAAATTAGATTTGGAAAAACTTGGAATCGAGTTTGTTATAATCAAATGTTTTCTCGTGTCTGTTAAATTAGTTTATAGTAATATTCATTCATGGCCAAGTCGAGTTCCAAGTTCATCATCATTAAGAATTGTTAATAATTCCTCTTCTTCTGCATTAACAACGTACGAAAATCATACAAATAATTTGATTAATAATCGATCTACAAAACCTTCAGTGATGTTTCTGATAATCGAATCGATGTCTTACCTTAATTACAAACGATTCATGTCAAAAACGGAACTCGCAGTGTCCAAATTATCAAATTTCTTTATTCTCAGAGGATTGAATAAACTCGGAGACAATTCATATCTAAATATGATTCCACTTCTAACAGGTAAGGAACAACCAACATGAAGGAAATCGATGATTTGTCTTCATAAGATTACATTCAAGAATTGAAAATAATTATCAAATAGAGAGCTGAATGTCTAAACTTGAAAAACAAAATTTTCTGTAAGTTTTATGACAAAAATGTAATAAAAATTAATTTGGAAGCGCATTGGACTTAACATAAGGAAAAGTCCAATAAACGTTTTGAAAATTAAAAACTTTTTCGAATACTTTTCTTCGACTTTGGTAATGTTAGCAGTTAATAGCAACAAATTAGATTTAATTGTCATTTTTAACGTCATTTCAGGTCACCGTCCATACTACGAGAAATGGCCTTTCAAGATGTCAAGTGAAAATGGTCCATTCGATGAAGTACCGTTCATATGGAAAGATTTTAAAGCTAAAAATTACACCACTGGTTATATTGAAGATTATCAACATATTGCATTGCTTAACTATTTAGTAAAAGGGTTCCGCACCTCCCGTTGATTGGTACCCGAGACCCTTTTGGTTAATAATGGACAGATTACTAAGATACAAAATCCATGAAATTTGTTATAATGAAAAACCGAAAATCGATTATTGGTTGAAACAAGTAAAACAATTTCTCAACAAAGCAACGAAATCCAATTTACCTTTTTTCCTTTGGTCCTTTAACATTCAAATGACACACGATGATTTCAACTTGGCTCAATCGATCGATGGACATATTGCTGATTTTATTGATTCTTATCGTTCTATTCTTGATGATACGATTTTCATACTGATGGGAGATCATGGTAATCGATTAGGACCATCTATGCAGACTGGTTATGCTCAGATAGAAACTCGAATGCCTCTTTTTGGTATTCATATTCCACCTAAATTAAGATGTGTTCACTAGAATTTGACAAAAAGTTTGGGTCTTTTTTTTGCTTCTCTCTGATTGTTTACAATTAATTAAATTATATAAAATGAAAGTTCAGCTATTCATCTACATTCATGAAAATTTCAAAAATTTGATGAAAGGTTTTAAACAATTAAAAAATCATGAAAATCAGAATTTTCACCATATTTTTCGAATTAATGGCTTTTTAACGAGAACCAAAGGTCACATTTGATTTTTGAAAACACCAAAAGATGCTCAGAGGCAATGATAAAAAACCGTAAAGGTTAAAGGTTACCATGAAATCGCATATTAAAAATATGCTAATTTAAAAATTCTGACCAAACGCATTTCTTGCTCTCCATGTTAATTTCTCATAGAGAATAACATAAAAAATTTTCGAAAATTTGGGAACTTTTTTTCAAAATTTAATTGTTTAAAAACCTTTCATCAGAATTTTTTGAAATTTTTCATGAATGTAGATGAATAGCTGAACTTTCATTTTATATAATTTAATTAATTGTAAACAATCAGAAAGAAGCAAAAATAAGACCCAAACTTTTTGTCAAATTCTAGTGAACACATCTTATTATCAGAACATAAACATTTATCTGAATATTTAAAGAAAAACGAGAAAAAGTTGACCACTTGGTTAGATGTTCGAGAAATACTAAAAGACATAGTAGCTGGTCAATATACTCCAATTGTATCTCCTTCTAAAAGAAAAGCTTATTCCGTTTGGCGAGAAGAGGTTCCATCGAATAGAACTTGTCAAGATGCTCTAATTCCAATGGAGTTTTGTTTATGCTCGAAAAAACATATTATACCAATCAATTCAGCGTTCGCTCGACATTTATCTTCCATTGTGATAGATCATCTCAATCAACTTCTATCCAAGTATATTGACAGCAATATTTGTCTTCCATTTTCCCTTAAAGAGATTCACAGTCTCAAGGTGAGTTAATCTATTTACTAATGAATCCAATTCACACTTCATTTTGCATTTCAGAATTTAGATCTAAATGAAAACAATCCCATCAATCGATCTGAAATAACATTATCTGTTCATCCATCTAATGGTACTTTCCAAGCGCTTTTATATCAAACAGTAGACACAACAGATGACCGTTGGTCGGTGGAAGGAGATATTTCAAGAATAGATGTTTATGGAAGTCAATCGATTTGTATTGGTGATAAAATCCTAAGAAAATATTGTTACTGTCGATTACAATTGAGGCCCGTTAAGAAGCCCATTGGACGATTATAGATAGAAAATAAATGAAAATTTTTTCAACTTCAATTTTAATATTCACTTGGCAATAAATTTTACGTTTTGTAAAAATGAATTATAGTTGTTACTAGATGAGAAAGTTTTTAAATAATAATTAAGGTAAATTATTGTCATGGAAGGTTAGGAGAAATCAAGGAATTAATTGATCCAGTTCAGTTTCTCTTTGTAATTTCAAGGGAAACCCATTAATTGTACATAAAAAACACATCCATAAGGCACATCACAGATAATTGATTAAAAACGCAGCAACAGATGAGAGCTAATTAATCGGAGGATTATAATTTTGTTTGATTAGTGAAGCTTCACAATTAAGAGCACATTATGTTTTCGGTCGTGTTGTTGGTTGATAGGAATGTAATTTAAATATAATAATAATAATGATGGAGAATAATCCAAATCAATCCAATGGAAGAATATAAATTTTGTGTTTGGGTGAAATTGAGTTGATTGGCTTTGAATGTAATTTAATTAGTGAAGATGATGATTAATTCTGACAATTATTCCTCTTCTTTGTAGGGCGATTTTAGCTTAGACAAAACCCTTTTACTATTTTCACATTGACGTTTGTATCGCTATTTTTAACCTTCTAGAGCACTACCGTTCGCAAAGTCTGCTTCAGGGATCCTTCCATCCCCGAAGAGAACTCGGTCTCGATGAAGCTTCGCCCCTCTACTTATGAGCACCAGTTTCTGGAGCCACAGGTTGATCTTTGTATTCATTTCACGTTTTTCCTTTTAGATTAATTGGTCTCGAATAATATTATCCAACTAATTTCCAAGCACAATTTTATCGAGAATGAATCTTATGGTTTTTAGAACTTTTTATCCTAGATTTTTCTATTTGTTAGGGTCAAATTTGTCCAATTTCTTAATTTAAACAGTCATTTGATATTACAAATTTAAATTGTAAGACTTGTTGACCAACCAATCAAATAGATAATTTTATTGAAAAGGTGAGTAAATAATTAGTAAATTTATTCACTTGAATCCATTAAAACTACGGTTTCAATTTACTAAAACGTGTCTCAGTCAATTCCAAACAAGAAGTCTTTTGTTAGTTAAGTTGATCAGTTTGAATTTTCGGTGAACTCAATTAACAAGAGTTAAATTGCTTGGTTTGAATTGTGTTAATTGTTATCAAATGAGGTACAGATTACGGTTTCCAACGAAGCGAAGAGTGTTTCAAGTTTTCGTTTTCTTTGTAGTTTATATAACTTTTGAAGTTCTCTTTTTGGTAGAAGATCCAATTCCTCGTAAAAGACCATTGAAACTATACTATGAGAGAGATGAATGGTACGAATCAACAAATTCATCTTCTTGTAATCTTCCCTTTAATATGGATCCTTATGATCCAATAATAAAAGTTTTCATTCGTCAAGAGAACTCTTTTATTAATTGTAGTAAATCAAATGATTCTTTTACAACATTGATGATGGAAAATCTTTATCACATATGAATGATGTGGATGGAATTGTTCGTATTCGAGAGCACGATAAGTCGTTAAAGTGCCTTTACCAGCAGTTCGATCGATATGGTGAATCGGATAATATGACCCAACATTTTGATTTGAAACCGATAATTGGATATGAATTAGATTTGGAAAAACTTGGAATCGAATTTGTTTTAATCAAATGTTTTCTCTCCAACGAATTAGTTTATACAAATATTCATTCATGGCCAAGTCGAGTTGCAAGTTCATCATCATTAAGAATTGTTAATAATTCCTCTTCTGAATTAACAATTAATGAAAGTCAATTGATCAATAATCGATCTACAAAACCTTCAGTGATGCTTCTGATAATCGAATCGATGTCTTACCTTAATTACAAACGATTCATGTCAAAAACGGAACTCGCAGTGTCCAAATTATCAAATTTCTTTATTCTCAGAGGAGTAAATAAACTCGCAGACAATACGTATCCGAACATATTGCCACTTCTAACAGGTAAGCCATTAGATAATCACATGTAATTTACTTGAATTGAATAGCAGTGCATCAGAGTTAATTGTGAATTTTAGGTTACCGTCCTTACTATGAGAAATGGCCTTTCACTAGAGGAAGGCAAATTGGTCCATTTGACGAATTGCCGTTCATATGGAAAGATTTTAAAGCTTCCGATTACACCACAGGCTATGTTGAAGATTTTCCTACATGGGGTTTGGTACACTGTTTGACACATAGAGGTTTTCGTAAGCCTCCCGTTGATTGGTATTCTAGACCCTTCTGGTTAGAAATGGACAGACTACAAGAATACGATTACTTTGATGTTTGTTTTAATGGAAAACCGAAAATCGTTTATTGGTTGAAACAAGTGAAACAATTTCTCAACAAAGCAACGAAATCAAATTTACCTTTTTTCCTTTATTCATTTTACATTTTAGTTACTCATGATCATTTTAACAGAGCTCAAATGATCGATGGATATATCGCTGATTTTATTGATTCTTATCGTTCTATTCTTGATGATACGATTTTCATACTAATGGGAGATCATGGTAATCGCATCGGGCCTTCATTAAAAACTGGATACGGTCAAATAGAATCTCGAATGCCTCTTTTCGGTATTCATATTCCACCTAAATTATTATCAGAACATAAACATTTATCTGAATATTTAAAGAAAAACGAGAAAAAGTTGACCACTTGGTTAGATATTCGAGAAATACTAAAAGACATAGTAGCTGGTCAATATACTCCAATTGTATCTTCTTCTAAAAGAAAAGCTTATTCAGTTTGGCGAGAAGAGGTTCCATCGAATAGAACTTGTCAAGATGCTCTAATTCCAATGGAGTTTTGTTTATGCTTGAGAAGACATAGTGTTCCAGTCAATTCAACGCTCGCACGACATTTATCTTCCGTTGTGATAGATCATCTCAATCACCTTCTCTCCGAGTACATTGACAGTAATACTTGTCTTCCATTGTCCCTCAAAAAAATTCATAGCTTCAAGGTGAGTTGATTCATCTTCATTTACCAACAAATCTCATTCACTTTTCAATTTTTCTCAGAAAGTAATAGATCCAGATGACAATAATAAAACCAAGCGATTTGAAACATTAATATCTATGCATCCGTCTAATGGTTTTGTCCAAGCACAACTACTGCGAGCTGAGGACTCAAAAAACGGAAAAGATGACCGCTGGGTTGTGGAAGGAGATGTTTCAAGAATTGATGTTTATGGAAATCAGTCGATTTGTATCAAAGATGAAATCTTAAGGAAATACTGTTATTGTCGAGTCCAGTCGAGATCTGTTTAGAATCCCATTGGTCGTTGATAGAAATGACCAAAGATCGTTTCAATGTCACTCTCAAGATCCACACGGAAATAAATTTGTGCATTTTTAGTAATAAATTTGTTTAATTTCTAAATTGTAAACAATAATTTGGTCTACAATCAAACTGAAAAAATTTGATTTTACAAATTTCAATTGTCAGACTTTATATTTTCCAATTATCTTAATTGTAATAATAAGCACCGGTGGTAAATGTAGCTTCATCAATTAGCTGGTAAACAAAGTGATGATTAAAATTAATCAGGATTAGATGAGTTGTAGTCTAATCGTTGAAGCGTGGTTTCTGTTAGTTAACTCAAAACTTAATCAATCTGATTAATCATCTCGTAATTTAATCAATCAAATTTGAACATCTGAAGTCACTTGAATAAGGAACTAGATCAATAATTAATGAAACTCATCATCATTATCACTATGAATAGTAAATAGAATGAGAAAGTTTTAAATAATAATTAAGGTAAATTATTGTCATGGAAGGTTAGGAGAAATCAAGGAATTAATTGATCCAGTTCAGTTTCTCTTTGTAATTTCAAGGGAAACCCATTAATTGTACATAAAAAACACATCCATAAGGCACATCACAGATAATTGATTAAAAACGCAGCAACAGATGAGAGCTAATTAATCGGAGGATTATAATTTTGTTTGATTAGTGAAGCTTCACAATTAAGAGCACATTATGTTTTCGGTCGTGTTGTTGGTTGATAGGAATGTAATTTAAATATAATAATAATAATGATGCAGAATAATCCAAATCAATCCAATGGAAGAATATAAATTTTGTGTTTGGGTGAAATTGAGTTGATTGGCTTTGAATGTAATTTAATTAGTGAAGATGATGATTAATTCTGACAATTAGTCCTCTTCTTTGTAGGGTGTTATCTTTTTCCATATCCATTGCTGTGCGACTTCATTTGGATCACATTTAGTTAATTTAACGGAAGAATCACTTTTGAAAAATTGTAAGCATTTGGTGGTCGATGTATGAACCATTTGTTTGGTGTGTTCATCAAATGACCAAGGCCCATCAACGGTTCCCAATTTACAGTAAATTAAACTCATCTTATGATTATCGGCATCTATACATCTCTCACCAACACCAAGTTGACCCTCTTCATTGAGACGGAAAAGTTGATTACCACCCGATGAATGGCAAGTGGAAAGATGAACAGTTCGTGGTGGTGCCGATGATCCAGTGTCCAAACATTTGTCGGTCGCTTTGTTTCGCACTTCGCCCCAATGGACATTTGCTGGAAGGGCAGGGAAATGTTTATAAACAACATGACCGATTCGATCCATGAACCAGTCAAATGATTTACATTGAAGTTTATCTTTGATCGCCAATTGAGCGGAAACATCACCAGGATCATAGAAAGTGGCCAAAGGCTCACGGGTGTAGAAATAATCTCGATACTTTTGGTCCCACCAAACTTCAATTACTCTCTTATAATTGGTAATGATTAAAGGTCCTTTTCGTTTATTGGCTAAAGAGCCGAAAGAGTAAGGCATAAATGGCCTGTAAACGTGACCCACTCTAGAACAGGGGACCCAAAGTAAATTACCGCCACATTGCCAAACTTTGAAAGAAAGTTCGAAATTTTCTCCTCCCCAAACCAGTAAATCGGGATCGTAAGTTCCCAGTTCGAGGAAATAATCTTTAGCGATGGCGAACAAACCACCGGCGTGAGTTGGTGCTTCATAAGGTTCGCTGACTTTATGAGTTTTCAAATGCTTGTCCATGTCCACCTCAATCTCTTTATAATACATTCCCCATTCCCAGATTCCTTGGTAATGTTGATCTGGACGAGAATAAACTGATCGATATTCAAAAGTTTCCGAATCAATACCATCGATTATTGGAACTGTAAGTGTTTTCTTATCCCGAGCAATCGGAGCCAATAAAGGTGGTAACCAATTATGATTTACTTCACAATGAGCATCAAGGAAAACAATAACATCCCCTAAGGCATCGTTAGCTCCTCGTGATCTCGAACGGATTAAACCTTCTCGTTTAACATTTCGAATCAATCGCACTTTACCAGATCTTTCATCGAGCTCTTCTCCTTGCAAAGCCTTCTCTTTACTGTAACTAGTTGGATCGAAATGGTGTTTAAATGGACCAAAATGATCCAACAAGTATTTGTTCAGCTCTTCTTTAAGAGGCAATTTATCGGAAAAATCGTCGACCAGTAAAACCTCACGAAGAGCTTGTCGAGGCGATCGTAGTAAAATTGAGTGAACGGTTCGCATCAAAGTCGATAAACCTTCATTGTGAAAAACGACAACAACCGACGCGGTGGGCAAATTTTCACCATAATGCCAGAATTTACATTCATCTAATCTTATATCAGGAACTGATCGATCCATTGGAATCAGTTGACTCGCAGCGATGTTCATACCATATTGTGATTTAAGACTGTGAACCTCTTGATGGTCAATATCTTTCAGTCCATCTAATTTAAATGGTTTACCAGCATCTCCATTTCGTCCCATTAATGGTGATCGGATATCTTCATAATTGCCCAATCTATTTTCTTCAAAGAAAGCATATTTATCGCCATAGGAAAAGGTCGGCATTGCAACGGCAGTTTCGTCAATATGTTTCATTTTATTGTTCCCATTTCTAGAAAATGATGTAAAAAAACATAGAGAAATAAATTAGTTAAATTGTAAACCAAATTATGGTCAAGAAATTGTAACATTTGCTTACCTAATTAAATTGTTATCCATCTTATTATCATCATCACTGGCAGGAGCTGGAGCAACAACAACTCCATTATCACCGATATTGTTGACGCTTTGAATTGCTTGATTATCTTCTTTATCACCACTAATTAAAGGTTGAAATTTTGGATTAATTGGCCTCTTATTGGGCTCATTAACTGGTCTCTTTTCAGTTCCACTTGGCACAAGAGAAATTAACATAAAAGTCGCCAGAACAAGGACACTCATCAAAATAAGAGCGATACTGTATCGTCTTAATCGCACTCGAGATCCTTTGAAAATCAAATCGACCAAAGGTATCATCTTGTAATTAGAATCACCTTCAGATTAAACAATAACAAACTAATGGTTAATCACACTGGTAAAATAATCCTTGCAAAAATTGTAACAATTTGAAGGGATTATTGTTTACAGTCTAAGGGATAGAAGTTGATTTGATTCCTCGGTTGATTGTTGATTTAAAAGGAAAACACCTAAACCAATGACCACAAAATGGTTGACAAGAGGAAAGAAAATGAGAGAGAGAAAAAAAACAAACAAAATTAATAGAAAATCAAATCAATTAGGAGATGATGATGTAGAAAAGAGTCAATTTAAGGTCCATTGATGTGTTTACAGGTTAGATGATGATATTGATGATGATGGAGAAAAAAATGAACAAAAAAGGAGACACAAAATGTTGGAAGATGTTGATGACAATTCTAACCAGTTAAGGTTGATAATCACAATGAAAAGAAGACGATTAAGATGAAGAAGTAAAATAGGAAAAGGTTACGGATGAAATGAGGCCACAAAAACCATCGACATCATCAGAATATCAACTTACTGGTTAAACTCAATGAACGTCATCCTGTTCAGCTGATCCTCCAAACATTATCTTCTCTTTCTTTCTCTCTTTCTTTTTTGGTTTCTTACCTTTCTATTTACAACATAGTGGTGTCTTCATCTCTCTCTCTCTGTCTGTCTGTCTCTCTTTCTCTAACTGATCAGCAATTGTATCATTTTCTGGTACAAAATTTAAGAGTAAACTAATCAAGTGGTGATGATTGACCAGTCAACCGATTGTTTAACTTGTTGGATTTGTGACACGCGATCAGTTGGCGACAATTAAATTTTACCGATGTTATTAGATTGATCTTGGACTTTAAAGTTTTTTTTTGAACTTGACTTTTGTTTCAAGTTGATTTGGAGACGTTCAAATTGTTAATATTGAGTTGCTAGGGTTTTTTTATGTGTTTGGTTAACATCTCTGTTTGGACTTTTTGTTTTCTTGAACTATTAAATATTGTTGTTGTTTGTAAATTAGCACTTTGATTGGTAAATTAATTTACTGATGATTTGATTAGGTCATGAGATAAACATGATGGAATTAGGATTAATTATCAGGGAATGTTTTTTTTGTTGTTGTTGACAAATTCACATTTATTTTGTCCAAAAAAAACTTAAATAAACATGGTAGAGATACAGATAATTTATCTCAATCTTCTTGCTTCTCTTTCAGATTCTAAAAGAGTGAGAATATCACCTTCTCTAACAGGTCCTTTAACATTTCTGATAATGGATCGATTGTTTTCGTCCAAAAATTCAACTCGTACTTGAGTACATTGTCCCTGAGATCCAGTTCTTCCCAAAACTTTGGTTACACGAGCAAGTTTAACTTTATCCATAATGTGTCTAAGAAATCAAAAAAAAAGAGAAGAAAAAACAAAATTTAGAAACCAAACCAAAACGAAACCTCACAACAAAAAATAAGAGACAATCAAGTTAAACGCCACAAAAGAAACCAAGTAAACATTTAAACGACAAACAATCAAAACAAGAACAATTACTCACCTTAATTAGAAAGATATTAGTTAATTGAGAACAATTAGAATATAATTAATTAGACAATAAATTTGAAACAAAATTCTGAAAACTCTGAATGGAAATCACGGAAACGGAACAGAAAAAAATGCTTTTCGTTGTCATGGTTACACTTTGTCTCTCCCCTTTCATAGACTTTGAGCGCGAGTTACAAATGATTTTTTCTCAAATCGAAAGAAAGAGAAAAAGAAAGAGAAAAGTTTCTATGGAGAATTTGACTGTAGCGACTCTGGAGGAATTTTCGAAAACTATTTAGAATGTTTTTTATTCTCAAGGATTTTTTTTCTTTTCCACAAGTTGTTAGTTCTTTAGCTTGATCGTTACTTCATTTTTTTGCTTCTCTTTGTTTTTCTAATACTTTTGTTTATTGTTTTATCAACTAATCAACATCGGTGATTGTCAATATTATTTTTAATTGATTTTTCTTTCGAATGTGTTGGTGAGATTTAAGTTTAATTCTAATTTAAAAAAGGTATGTATATACCTATGGATGAAGATGATGAGACCTCTCTCAGGGGTTGTTGTCTCTGGTGTCGGCAAAGATTTTTCACCAAGGAAAAGATGAAACGTCGATTCGCCATTTTTACTTGGCTATTGTCTTATTCATTGGCTGATTTTCGGGGTGATATGATTGCTGGTTTATCGGTTGCTTTCACTATTATTCCACAAGGTTTAGCTCTTGCTATTTTGGCTGGTTTACCTGCACAGTATGGATTGTATACTAGTTTTATTGGTTGTTTTGTTTATGCCATTTTTGGTACTGTTAAGGATGTCGCCTTTGGACCAACTTCTATTCTTGCCATTTTAATTGCTCCCTTTGTTGTTATGGGTGGATCAACTTACGCCGTTCTCCTTTCTTTTTATACTGGTCTTCTCATGTTTATCTTGGGTATACTTAATTTGGGTTTTGTGGTTGATTTTGTCTCATTTCCGGTTCTCTCTTCGTTTTCTACTGCTGCTGCGATAACAATTGCCTTTTCTCAGATGAAAAGTTTCTTTGGTATTCATTACAGTGCTGTTCGTTTTCTTCCGACTATTTCTGGTCTTTTTACTCATATAAATCAGATTAACTTGTGGGATACCTTTTTGGGAATTTGTTGTCTTGCTTTTCTCATTCCATTGCAACATTTTCGAACCTCTTCTTTTTTCTTCTTTGAGTCTCGAACTTCACCACCATCAACGGGTCTTCGTGTGATCGCCAAAATTTGCAATCTTTTAGTAACAGCTCGTAATGCAGTTGTGGTTATAATCTGTGGGCTAATTGCCGCTCATACCAATGTTTTCACTATTAATACTGATATTAAGGTTGGATTACCGCCGATGCAATTGCCAAGTTTTAGTTATGGTTTTAATGAAACTTATCGTTCACCAACTCAAGTTATTGGTGATTTAGCACCAGGAATTGTTGTCATGGCTTTGGTTGCACTTTTGGAAACTGTTGCTGTGGCCAAAGCATTTATGCCTGATAAGAAGTTAGATGCTACTCAAGAATTAATCGCTCTTGGTATTGGTAATGTTTTGGGAAGTTTTTTCTCTGCTTTTCCAGCAACGGGTAGTTTTTCCCGATCAGCAGTAAATCATAATAGTGGTGTTCGAACACCACTCGGTGGAATTGTAACTGGTTCACTTGTAATACTCGCATTGGGCACTTTAGCTCCATTCTTCAAATTTATTCCCAAACCAGCACTTGCTTCAATCATCATAGCAGCAGTTTTACCAATGATTAAGTTCAGTGATATAATCGTTATATGGAGAGCAAACAGAATCGATGTTGTCCCTTATTTCATCACCTTTTTCTCGTGCCTTTTCATTGGCCTTGAATATGGAATCTTTTTAGGTGTAACATTCTCACTTCTAGTTCTTCTCTATCTAATGGCCAGACCAAGGATCAGTATTATGGCTCGAAAAACACCAATCGGTGATCATTTTCTTTACGTTAAACCAGATCGAAGTGTCCTTTTCCCCTCAGTTGAATACATGAAGGTCAAAATTAACAAGGCAATAATTTCCTATGGTTGTCAATCTCTTTACCTCGCAATCGTCATCGACGGTGAGCATATGTTCAGAGCTGATTCAACTTTTGCAATGGTAAATATATTAATAGAAAATTAAATGATTAATGTTTTTTTTTATTCTTTGCTTATTATCTCATCAGCAAATTTCATTGTTACTGATTGAAATTAATTAACTTTTTTAATTTTTATTTTCTAGTCTGTTCGTCATATGGTTGAACATTATCGCGAATCAGGTTATATAACCATTTTTTATAACCTTCGAAAAGCTCCACTTCGAGCCTTGGATGCAGTTTTCATGGATTCAGAGGATTTTATTAATTGTGAAAATGAAGATAATGTTTACCAATCAATTAGAACAACAATCGTTAAAGCTGGACTTTCATGTCCAGCCGATGAAAGAGATGGTCATCCATTGAAACGAAGAAAATCAAGCCATTGGTTAACCTCATCAGTTGAATACTAATTAATTAACCTGTTGAAGCCATTCCAATAATCAGATCTAAAAGATAAAATTAACTAATCAACAGTATTTTTGACCATCTAATATTTTGTTTTATTCCATAAGAAATGACCACTGATATTTATTTTTTTTTGTCTTTCATGTTGAACATTGTCGCAAACACCATTTCATCAGTTAATCATTAATCAATTGTCCTTATAAATATCTTTTTTTATACAAATTTGTTTAACAATTAAGTTTCTTTTTCCACTTTAACTATTGAATTTATATCTAAAGCAATAAAATAAATCAACTGTTTGTTTGCTAATTGAAACGAAAACAATCAAACTATGAAAAATTGATTTTCCATCTAAACTGATCCAATTGGAAAAGTGATTAATTGTATTACCTTTTTTAGATTGTTCTCTTAATTATCAATAGTGATTTTTGATCAATTGCTCAACAGAAACAAAACATTAATTCAATTTACCTTAATCAAGGAAGTCATTGATTCTTGTTGTAACTTTGATTTAGTTGATTGTAACAATTGATTTCTCATTTCAATTATCTTTTAATTGAACATCAGTGGTTTAAAAAATGATTAATTATGACCAACTGATAAGGGTTAATTATCTGATGAATTATTTTGTTTGATTTGATAGTGTTAATTGTTTGTGAATCTCTTAAGATTAACAATTGATTAATTATTAGAGATCAACAAAAAAGGAGAATAAGATAAATAGTAAATTAGATATAAAGCTGAAAGTGAATTACAAACAATTAACTAATAGCAACAAGATAATGAATAACAAAAATCTCACAATTATATTGATTGTTTGCTAATTGTCAATTGTTAGTAAATCAGTTTCTCTTAATTGTTTACATTAGTTTTTGTTTTTCGGCAACTTTGATTATCGGTCAAATCGTTGATCAACTTATCAATTGATTGGATTCACGTTTTTTTCCCAATCAGTATTTTATCATATTCATTGAAGACAAACAGCTAATAGAAAATTAATTTTTCATTAATTAATTAATTTGATGCGAAAATATAAAACCGGCGAAAATAAACTAATCCCGAGAGCGGAAAAATTAACCGAATCAAAGAAAACGACACTAGCGACGTCTATGGAAAACTAGACGAGGTAATTTTGAACATTTTCTCATCTCAACTTGAGACAAACACAATTAATTTAATCATTAATTAACTAATTGTTTTCATCTTTAAATGTTCACATAGAGACATTGACAGTTAATCACTTTATTCAATTAGTCAACTATTCTAATCAATTAATGTTCCAAGAAAAGAATTAAATTAATTCTTCTCAGGCCTTATTCTTATTCTTCATGTTTTCTTTTCATATACATTAACCTATGAATATTATTTTCTCTCGGTGAGTAAATTGTTTAAACAATAAATCTTTTGTCTTTGGTTAATTGTTTTACCGTTTAATTGATTATCTGATTTCTCTTATCAGCCTAATCTTAATTCCTCCCTGTTAATGATTTTTATTACCCAGTGTACAAGAGTTTTTCTTTTCTAAATCCCCTGTAACCTTTTTTTTCCACTGCTTTTGCTTAGTGATTTCGCCAACCGGTATCTCTGTTTAACTGGTGATTAAACAATCGTCTCATTTAAGTTAATTATCTCCTTAATTGATGATTAACTACCATCATTAAAGATTCTTGACACTGTTGATTTTTGTAACTCGTAATTACCAAATGGTAATCACTGTTATTGCCGGTGATTAATTGGTTTAATTACTGTTCTGTTACCCTCAAGATCTGGTAACTCCAAAAAAAAGCTATTCTGATTTGGAAATCATTTGGTGACCGGTTCTGTTTTTCATCCGTTTCCATCTTTCACAATCAACTCCATTGGCCAACAATTAACCCTCGACAGTCCAGATCCTCGTCTAACCAACAACCCAAAATAGTACCAGTGAAGTTAATTCACTCAGTGTTGCGTGTGAGTTGATTATTTCAATTTTATCTCTGTTTCTTTTAGCCAGGCAATAGGTTTGGCTTTTTTTCTCAAGTCGCCTTCATCTCCATCAAATCCTCATTCAGTCATTTCAATTCCTCCCAAAGCAACGAAGGAATAGCTTGATTCGATTTACTCTTTCTCACCGTTTTTCCACCTCATCTAGAAGTTACCAACTTTCAATAGAAAATTACTAAATTCTCCTTATTAATTGTGTTTGATTAGTAACAGACTCTCAATGGAACAATGGTAATACAACATTTCCACTGTCAAGACAAATCATCAAACATCTTTTTCATCCATTGGTCTTTGTGCAAAAAAAGATTGTGATTTCTCTTGTATTTGTGTTGACATGTTTCCCTTTTCACTCTTCTAACCAGAGATACTTTAACTACCTTTTTATATTCTTTCATTTTCTTCTTGGACCATCATCTTAATTGTAACTCTATTACAATCTAGTTCTCTTAATTTCTCATCCACTAAATTCTAAGGTGAACATTTGTTTTCTATTCTTTTCCCTTGTGTCTATGATTTTCTCTAAAGCTTTCTATTTATGTTCCATCTCTTTTCATAGATTTAACTGTTCTCATATTCCTCTCTTTTCTTTTATATCTCAATTGATATTCTATTCTTTTTGTTCCCCTCTTCTCTAGATCCAGACAACTAAACAATTAAAGTATTAAACAAGATGGAAGATTCAAACTCATTGGATTGTATGATTATGGACGATGATGATGATGACCTAATCGACGAACCAATCAGTTTAAATGATCTACGGTTAATGTTTGCCAAACTACAAGAAATGCATTCGAAGGATGAAATGAAAGAAATGGAATTAAAGAGAAAACTTGCCGAAGTGGAAAGTTCATCAATCGTACACAAACTTTCTCGCCTGCGAAATGAAGTTGAAGAAATTAAGGATAAAATTGAATCGGTGAAAAAAGAAAACAAAACTCTCTCATCATTTGATTTAGATCTTTGTACTACGATGAGTGAGACACTTTATGAAGCAATGGACAAACCTCTTGAAATTATGTATAAATGTTCAAAATGCTACTTTGAGACAGTCAAAGATAGTGAAAATCTTCATGTCAAGTCCACAATTACGAAACATTGTCAAACGGAACTAACATTTCCTCCATCATTTACCTCCTTTACATCATCGCCACCCTGCTCCTCATCATTGGTAAAGGAGAGACCATTTAACGCTCAGGATGCATTCATTGAGATACAATTAGATCGTAAGAGACAATTAGAGGAACAATTAAAACAGTTAAAGAAACAAATGTGGTACGAAGGACCCGAAGTGATGCTTGTCAAACTCGACGCCTATGAGAAGATGCTTGTCAAATCAAGTATCAGGCCACGGAAAAAAGTCCAACGGAATCAATTTGATTGTTTCCTCGAAATAAGTGATAACCTTGAGAAACGTCCCCGTTTAGAAACATCCAGACCAACATCACCATCTTCAACAAATAATAGTAACGGTACCAAAATGGATGAAGTGGTCCAATTGTTTTTCACCGCCCCACCGAAACAAACCAATGGCCAAGGATCTCAAAATCATACCTAAAAATACCAAATATCTTCGTAGGTTAATCTTTTTTTTCATTTACTCGAATAAAATTACAATTAAAAGAATTTATCTTCGAAAGTTAATTTAGTTACCAACGACTTTCTATCTACACTTGTTACTAATTTATTCTTTATTGTCCTTCTCTCTGGTCTCGTGACATTTTTTGATAATGTGATCAATATAATTGACTGGAAAATATCATTTCCGTCCATCGATTTCAATTCAGATCTTACCTTTCGATGTATGAACCATTTGATTAGTGAGTTGATCGAATGACCAATGTCCATCTCTGGCGATTTCAAATAAACCACCAATGGTTATTATTATTACTCAAATTTTTTTAGTTCCGATCAATTGGAGCCAACAAAGATAGCCAATTATAATTTAATTCACAATTAGAATCAAGGAAAACAAAAACGGCATAACCCCTCAGGCATCGTTAGCGCTTCGTGATCTTGAGTAGTAAAAAATCTGTTTGCTCCAGCTCATTTTTTTTCAGCTTCGCTGAAAAAAAATGATCTGGAGCAAACAGATAACGATTATTTTTGTCGGACTGATTTTGGATAATTGTTTCCGCGATTGTTATTAATGATAAATTCCTATCAGGATATAATTAAAAATAATAATTCTCAATATGATCGAGAGATAAAATGTACGTGACTCTAAGAGAATGAAAAGGTTGAACGGAAAGTCTCAGAATTGAATAAAAAGAAAGAGAAATCAAAGGAAATTCGTCAGTCCAACAACAGTCATCATATTGTCAACATTTAAAAGTTCTCAACAAATACAATTGATTTATTTTACGTTATTAAGCAAAGTTTTTGTGTTAGTTCTCCGAAAATATTTCAACTGGTAATTAAAATACAATAACTTTCAATGGCTACACAACCAGCTGTGAAAAAAGTTCGTGTAAAGAAGGTTACCACTGAAAGACCTGAACCAGCTGCAATCAATATCATGGACAGTATCAAGAATATGTCGAGAATTCCCAAGAAAAAACCTGAACCTATCCAACAATATGAGTTGGCTCTCAGTGAGGACGAAGATGAAGCGACATCGGTTGTTTCACTTGGCTCAGCTTCAACGTCTGCAGTCAATAATCAGGAGAGGGATGAATCCAGCAAAAAAAGGAAAAGCGAGTGTCTCTACGAACCGATAAAGATTGATCTTACCAACGCGCCTGGAAACCGATCAATAACTGTGGCTCAAACTGATGAAGCGCATGCAGACAAATTCATTGTCTCAGACAATTTAGTATTTTTTACGGACAAATCTCATTGTGGTGGTCGAGTTTGTAAGGTTCGTAAATGGTGGCTCAAAAATCGTCAAGTTGAAGCTTCAAGCTCTGGTGGTGAGTTTTATAGAGATGACATACCCAATTTCATCACTCATCTCCAAAAAGTATACAACAAATGGAATAAAAACTCGAATTAATGTACTTCGTTTGAGAAAGTCATGTAAATCTGTCTTAAATCCGAACCAATAAATAATTTTGCATCATAATGGAATTTGAATGATTCTTATATTGTTGGCATGAATCAACATACTATCAATTTTCAATATTTAAAATACAGATAAATTGAATATAATAACAATATGAAGAAAAGCAATGTTAAATTGTCATACTTGATAAGTAAATCCTTTTAAATAGTAAAAGTTTTCAGTAAATTGTCATGATTTATTATTCAGAAAATCAATGTTAAATACTCAAAATTTCAATTCAATTGTCATCATTTGTTATTCAGAACATCAAATGTTAAATTGTCAAAGTTTCAATTCAATTGTCATCATTTGTTATTCAGAACATCAAACCTTAAATACTCAGAATTTCAATTCAATTGTCATCATTGTTTATCCAGTGAATCAAATGTTAAATAGTCAAAGTTTCAATTCAATTGTCATCATTTGTTATTCAGAAAATCAAATGTAAAATACTCAGAATTTCAATTCAATTGTCATCATTGATTATCCAGTGAATCAAATGTTAAATACTCAGAATTTCAATTCAATTGTCATCATTTGTTATTCAGAAAATCAAATGTTAAATAGTCAAAGTTTCAATTCAATTGTCATCATTTGTTATTCAGAACATCAAACCTTAAATACTCAGAATTTCAATTCAATTGTCATCATTGATTATCCAGTGAATCAAATGTTAAATACTCAGAATTTCAATTCAATTGTCATCATTTGTTATTCAGAAAATCAAACCTTAAATACTCAGAATTTCAATTCAATTGTCATCATTGATTATTCAGTGAATCAAATGTTAAATACTCAGAATTTCAATTCAATTGTCATCATTGATTATCCAGTGAATCAAATGTTAAATACTCAGAATTTCAATTCAATTGTCATCATTTGTTATTCAGAAAATCAAATATTAAATAGTCAAAGTTTCAATTCAATTGTCATCATTGTTTATCCAGTGAATCAAATGTTAAATAGTCAAAGTTTCAATTCAATTGTCATCATTTGTTATTCAGAAAATCAAATGTTAAATACTCAGAATTTCAATTCAATTGTCATCATTGATTATCCAGTGAATCAAATGTTAAATACTCAGAATTTCAATTCAATTGTCATCATTTGTTATTCAGAAAATCAAATGTTAAATAGTCAAAGTTTCAATTCAATTGTCATCATTTGTTATTCAGAAAATCAAACCTTAAATACTCAGAATTTCAATTCAATTGTCATCATTGATTATCCAGTGAATCAAATGTTAAATACTCAGAATTTCAATTCAATTGTCATCATTTGTTATTCAGAAAATCAAATGTTAAATAGTCAAAGTTTCAATTCAATTGTCATCATTGTTTATCCAGTGAATCAAATGTTAAATACTCAGAATTTCAATTCAATTGTCATCATTGATTATCCAGTGAATCAAATGTTAAATAGTCAAAGTTTCAATTCAATTGTCATCATTTGTTATTCAGAAAATCAAATGTAAAATACTCAGAATTTCAATTCAATTGTCATCATTTGTTATTCAGAAAATCAAACCTTAAATACTCAGAATTTCAATTCAATTGTCATCATTGTTTATCCAGTGAATCAAATGTTAAATACTCAGAATTTCAATTAAATTGTATATTGATGTTGCATTTAGTTATAATAAGAAATGGTAGGTATATAAAGGTTTGAAAGGTGTTCTTTTTAGTTTAATAATATTTTATTATTATCCATATAATTTACACCCAAATTTTCAATGCTTTTTTCATGTAAATCTACATGTTCCTCGGAAGCTTTTTTTCATTGTTTTCCAGTTGAACCAAATCCCTCGTCACTTCGTGTTTCAGATTCAGCTTTTGTGTAGGCTTCAGTTAAGTTTATCGCAAACGATTTGAAGTGAATGACAGCAATAGGAATTCCTTGTCTCACTTTATAATCAAACGAATTCTTGTTATTGATCACCACCTCGATTGACTTGGGTGAGTCGTTTTGGATGACAGCTTCAGTGACATCTAAACCAAAATCAGCTAAAATAGCAGTACCAACTAAATGACCATAAACATCACCAGGGATACACAAACTGACACCTGTTGGATAGACATATCTTTCCTTTGCGGGAATAATAATATCATTCTCTGCGTACAAATGAAACTTTGACAAACCATCAACTGATTTGACCATTTCATGAGTAACATTATGAACAACTTCAAGAGGTTTTTCATCTGAGTTAGTTATCACCTGCTGTGAACTACTAGAACAATTTGACTCTTCATTTTTTACAGACTTTAAATCATCTTCCAATGGTTTTTTCACTTGGTTGAAAACAAGTATATCTTTAGGTTCATGGTAGTGTTCAAATACAATTTGAGCGAATCTTTCACCTTTAGAAATCTGTTTTATATCATCCGAGTTATTTATTATTAGCACTTTAACTTCACCATTATAATCTGGGTCAATAACTCCAGCTCCAACGTCCAAACCAGCTAAAGCAAAAGAGCTTCTCGCAGCAAGTCGTCCATATATTCCTGCTGGCATTCCCAAACTTATTCCTGTACCAACTATTCCACGAGACCAAGCCTTGAATGTTTTACTTTCAGAAGCATATAAATCCCATCCAGCTGAAAGAGATGTTGCTCGTCTAGGAGGTTTAACATTTTGATCGAGCTTATAAAAGGCAATAACATGTTTAGGAATACTCATATTGTTGATTGTTGATCTGAATCACACAATGAAGAAACAAACTGATGATTAAAATGAGAAGAAAATTGTGTTTATATATTTTTTCAAAACGTTAGAAACGCCTTGAATTAAGATTCAAAATCAATGATTAAATCTAATCACACGTTAGTCATCTAGAAATCCTGTTTCGGTTCAATTATTTCAATTTATCTGATTATCTTACAAACAAAATTAGCTTATAGTTTGACGTTGTTCTGCTCTGATGCTTGATGATCTGTGAAGAATGAATATGATTAGAATGGAGCACATATCCTATCATTATCTATTAATTTCAAAACATTTCAATCATCAAGGTTCACCAGCTTTGATCTAGATTATTATCTAGAGACTAATTTAACTGATCGATGAAGCATAATAAGCGGTAAATTTGAGCTAAATAACCAAATAATGTAGATGAACAAAAGATAAGGATTGTATATTTATCACCGGGTTTAATCTACAACATCAAAAATAAATGAACTGAGCTGGAGAATGACAATTGTCATTTTTCAAGATTATCTAATGATATGAAGAAAATATGATTATTCAGATATCTACTATTTCATTAAATACACTTACCTGACTAAATTGGTTATTTCTATGCTTGAAAAGCTTTATATGTGTATATATTCATCTGTTCAACTTATTAAAATTTCATTCGATCGTGTAATTACATTCGATATGTCAACAGTTTCTTCTAAGTGTCGTCACTGTGGGAAAAAGTTTAAAAAAGATCTTAATTTACTATACCATCAACAAGTTTGTAGAAGTATTCAAGTTAAAGTGATACATGATCTTAATTTTGTTTTACCAGACGGTTATCAACTGCGTGCTCATGCCTTTTTTCGCTCGCTTAATGTCTATTCTAAGTGCTTTATAAATGAGTTTTTTGATATTGAATCAGTTATAAAAAATGAAGAGAAAAATATCAAGAAATTACTCGAAACATTTTTACAACATTTGGTTATGTTGAAAGTGCAAATTGGAATATGCTGTGAGTTTTATCGCTATGATGGACTTGAAATTGTTTGGATTACGCCAATGTTTAATTCAAGTTTGAAACCGTTTCTGACATTAGAACTGTTTGAACAATTTTTGGATGATTGTTTCTTTGAAATCTCATTAGACTTTGATACATTTACAACTAAAGGGAGTGGATGGACTCTCAACAAAGTCAAAATGATTGAAATTCGTATTGGTAAATATGTCCCTCTGAGAGGTGGTTGTTTCAACAAGAAATTACCCGACCAAATTATTGCTAAACGTGCTATTATCCAGCTCGAATCAAATAAAGATTGTTTTATTTGGAGTATCTTAGCTTCGTTATTCGTAGCAACGAAGAATGCATGTCGTATTAAACAATATCAAAAGTATAAAGATCTGATTGACTTTAGTAATTACTCTGGATATGTAAAAGTAGATAGAATCAAATATTTCGAGTGTAGGAACAATATTTCAGTTAATGTTTACACCTTGCATACAATTGATATGGAAAAATATACACCAGTTCCGTTACATGTATCAAGGAATAGACAAGTCAAGCATGCAAATCTCTTATTGTATCAAGAGCATTATTGGCCAATCCGAAACTTTAATAGATTCATAGGACATAAAAATTCTCGTTATCATCATTTTTGTGAAAATTGCTTTACAGGGTTTCTATCTGCTGATAAAATGCAATTACATACAGAAAATTGTTACAAATTCAAGACCTCACGAATATTAACACCACAACCTGACTCCAAAATGTCATTTACACAATTTGAAAAGATGATTAGGTATCCGTTTGTGATTTACGCAGATTTTGAAACATTGTGTAAAAAAATCGACGTTGATTTGAATAAAAACACGTTTGAATATCAAGAACATTTACCTTCTAGCTATGGTTACGTTATAGTTGATTATACAGGTAAAATTATAAAATACGAAGCTCATAGAGGTCCTGATAGTGCAATCATATTTCTACAATCATTAAAAAAAGCCAGTGATAAAATATCTCGAACTATAAAAAGACGATTTTCCATGTTAAGGATGTCTGTAACTGATGAAGAAAATTTCAAGAAAGCGTCATCATGTCACATTTGTAACGCTGCGTTTACGATAGATGATCTTAAGGTTCGTGACCATGATCATTTTACTGGTTTATTTCGAGGAGCTGCTCATGAAAATTGCAACTTAAGGATGAGCGTTCCTGATGATATACCAGTAGTTTTTCATAATTTAAAAAACTTTGATGCTCATATTCTTATGAAAGCTATTCAAGATAAAATGTATGATAATATAAAAATTATTCCACAAAATACTGAAAAGTATATTTCATTTTCATTCGACAAATTGAAATTCATCGATAGTTACGCCTTTCTGAGTGGTTCTTTAGATATTTTATCAAAAGACTTGGATGAAGCCTTCAAAAATGGATTCTTATTACAACTATTTAAACCCGAAGACTTGAACTTTGTTTCAGCCAAAGCAAAGCTTCCCTATGATTATATTGATGATTTTGACAAGTTCGGAGAAACAACGTTACCGGATAAAAACAGCTTCTATAATCAGCTAAATATGGCTGCTATTGATGATGACGTTTATGAGAATATGGTTAATTTATGGAACCATTTCAATTTACAAAATCTTGGTGAATTTCAAGACGTTTATCAAAAAATCGATGTTGTACTACTTGCAGCCGTGTTCGAAAACTTTCGCAAAATAAGCAATGAACAATTTCAACTTGATCCACCTCACTTTTATTCAGCTCCTGGTTTGACATGGGCTGCAGCACTTAAGTCAACGAATGTACAAATTGACTTATTAAGTGATATAGATATGATAATGTTTTTCGAAAAAGGTATAAGAGGTGGTATATCTTCAGCTACCAAAAGATATGAAAAAGCCAATATCCCTGACACAGAAGATTATGATAACACAAAGAAAACAAAGTATATGACTTATTTAGATGTCAATAATCTTTATGGATTTGCACTACAACAAACATTACCAATATCTGACTTCAAATTTGAAGAAGAAGCAAATTTTGAAATAATTTATGAAAAGTGCATGACTGGTGATGAAAATAATGAGTGTGGATACGTGTTGGAAGTAGATTTGGTCTACCCGGATGGTTTACATGATCTTCATAATGATTATCCACTCGCTCCTGAGAAGCTGGTCATAAATAACGAAGAATTAAGCTCAATGCAACAGAACATTTTAACTGATACTGGCCGAATCAGAAGTAAAAGTGAAAAGTTGATGGCAACTTTTCACAAAAGAACAAAATATGTTCTACATCAACGTAACTTAAAGTTCTACATTTTACATGGACTAAAACTTACTAAAATTCACCGAATTGTATCGTTTAAACAATCAACATGGTTGAAAGAATATATACTACATTGTACTGAAAAACGTATGTTAAGTAAATCATCATTCGAAAAAAACTTTTGGAAACTACTTGTAAACGCTATATACGGAAAGTCAATTGAAGATGTCCGTAAGCATACAGAGATAAAATTCGAATTATCCTTAGATGGTGTTATGAAACAAATGCAAAAGCCACTAGTTGAAAGATTCTATATTATTGATGAAAATAAAGCTATATTCAAGATGCGAAAAAAGTCAGTGCTGTTAAACAAGCCAATTTATACTGGATTCACAGTTTTAGAATTATCTAAGCTACATATGTTCCAGTTACATTATGATATATTTAAGAGTTATTATAATAATAGCATACAGCTGCTGTACACAGATACTGACAGTTTCATTTATTCTATTGAGACTTTGGATATTTACAACGACTTCAAAATAATTGATCATATTTTCGATTTTTCAGACTATCCAACTAATCATTCAAGTGGATTGTATAGTGATAAAAATAAAAAAAAACTTGGATACTTAAAAGATGAAATGATGGGTAAACAAATACTGGAGTTCATCGCCTTGAAGTCTAAAGTTTACACCATTCGCTCCGAGGACTTCGATAAGAAAACAGCGAAAGGAGTTCAGCGAGTGGTTTTGAAAGAAATGATTTCATTTGAAGACTACAAAGCTGCTTTATTTCAACATAAACTGTTTTTTCATAATATGAGATCAATTAAAAGTAATCATCACGATATTAAATCTATACAGACTCGAAAGTTGGCGCTCAATCCGTTTGATGACAAACGGTACATCCTTGACAACGGTGTTGACACACTTGCTTATGGACATTATAGAATAAGAGAAAAATGAGGTGGATTCTTTTTTTGTAACACCCACGTCTTTTTTTCAGACAAAAAAGTATAAATAAGAAGACAATCAATCATTGTATCGCTACTTTATTGTTATGCTACATCAAATAAAGTTAAAATTTTTTAATTTACTTGTTTTAGTACCTGAATTCATGAATGAATTTAAGTATTCCTGCTGTGTGTAATATTGTTACACTCTGGGATCTCAAAAAATCAATTGAAATTCTTGGTAAATCTAGCAAGAAAAAAAAGTTCAACGCTGATGTACTGAAGTTCGATAAGAAAAGACTATTGGTGTTTGGATCTGGTAAGATTATAGCTACTGGGTTCAAATCACAACTGGAAACCGAGAATTTTGTAACTGGTATCTATCCAGAAATTGAATTCAAACGAGTCATTAATATTACAGCTAGTAAAAAGATTTCCCCACCTCTAAAGGTTGCGCAGATTTTTAAAAGTGATCTGATTGTAACTTATGAACCAGAGTTATTCCCCGCTCTAAATTGGAAAGAGAACGGCGTTTGTTTCATTTACTATCCAAAAGGTTCATTAATCCTAACCGGTGCGAAATCAATAGACCAACTCGAAGAATCTTATTCTAAATTCTGTCATCGATTCAACCTACCAACTAATACATTATGAACCATATTTGTGGATACATTGACGTACAGGGATACTACCATGAAAAGAAGTTTTATCCCAGAGAAATAGCTGTTTTAGCTGATGATGCTATAATCTGTTTGAATATTTATACCGGTTTAACTTATGAAATGCTATCAGATTCAGAAAAACAACAAGCTGCTTTCAACTACAAGTTCAAACATGGATTAGAATTTGAAAGTGATAAAACACACACTCCTCTACACCGAGTAAAAACATTTTTGAGCCTATTTTACAAAGCCCGAGTTGACTGTGATAGATTTCTAATAGCTTGTAAAACAAGAGAAGCCGAAGACGTTCTACGTGACTCAATGATACCAAGAATAAATTTAACTGATTATGGTGCAACATGGATGAGCATAAAAAAAGAGACACAACATTGTCATCTACACTCAGGTGGTAGTGAAAAAAAATGTGCTTTACAAATTGTTATTTGTCTATCTAACTGGGTTATTCGTCAAAAAACCAAAAATAAGAAAAACCAGGAAATAAAACAGTAAAAAAGATTTGTATAAGATTCACTAATTAAATACTGAGTTGAATTTTATAAAGTATTGAATAAAAAAAAGAGACTTCAAATATGAACCTTTATGATATTTATTTCAAACATCCTTTCACGATGGTGATTGCGGGACCTTCTAACTCTGGAAAAACCTATTGGGTTAAAAAACTCATTTGTAATGTGAATGTCTTTTTAAGTCCTCCTCCATCACATATAACATATTTTTATAGTGAGTTTCAAAATACTTTTAACACTATGGAGAACGTTAATTTTATTCAAGGATTTTCTGAAACATTATTAAACAAAATTGATGGTAGTAAACCTCATCTTGTAATAATAGATGACTTCATGAATGAAGCTACAAATAGTAAGGCTGTGTCGGAGCTATTCACAAAAGGAAGTCATCACCGAAATATTTCAATAATTCTTCTAGTTCAAAATTTTTTCTCAAAAGGCTATGAAAGTCGTAACATTTCACTGAATTCAAGCTATTTTGTTTTATTCAAAAATCCTCGAAACAAAAGCATTGCATCAAGTATTGGTAGACAAATGTATCCAGGTGCTATTCGAAAATTTCAAGCTGCTTTTAATGATTCGACAAAAAATCCGTACTCATATCTACTTATTGATCTAAAAAATGAGACACCCGATGAAGTTAGATTACTGTCAAATGTTCTTGGTGAACAAAAATATATAACTGCCTATCAGCTATAACTTATATAAGACTTATCATTATTCATTTCTCAACACAAGTAAACGAAAAAATATGAGAAAATGTCTGTACCAGAAGCTATCAAAATGTATCCTTTTCTTAAAAAACTTAGTAAAGTTCGTTCACAAAAGAAAAGACAACAAATCCTCAAAGAATGTCCATGTAAAGTATATAAAATAATTGGTGATATATCCAGCAATGTCCTCAATGGTAATATAAGACTTAAGCCTTCTCAGTATAAACGAATTAAGTCACATAAGAAAACAATTCGGAAATTGGCCAAAAATAAATCAAATATTGTTAAAAAGAAAATCCTTCTGCAACACGGTGGAGCATTACCAGCTCTATTGTTACCTGCCATTTCTTTGCTTGCTAGTGTTGTTACAGATAAGTTTTTGAAATGAATTCTTTCACAAAAATGATTTTGATATCCGAAGATGAATATAAACGGAGATGTTTCAGCAACTCGGTAGATCCAATACAGTCAATTCTAACAACAAACATACCGATAGACTCAAAAATAAGACTTGCAAATAACGTGTTAATGAACAACCTAGAAGTTCAACAACAAAAACGTAATCAAGAAATCGAAAGACAAAATAACTATACAGAGCAAGCTTCTCCTGAGAGATTTGAAATCTCAAATATTCGTAATGAAAAACCAGATCACAGTTATAATACAGCTGCTGATGAATCATCTATTTATGACACGATTTCTGGTGATATGGTAGAGAATCCAAGAGCGATTAATTTTGATGAAGCAATCATTTCTACTCCCTTACTGAATTCAAATAAAATTGCAGCTCAAAGTGAAAAACTTAATCAGGTTAGATCACCTAATAAAGCCGTGTCACTTGAGTTAGCTTTGAACAATATACAAACTCTTGTATCAGAAGATGGTAAAATTCTTCGCAGTGATGGTACGAAAATTCATAATAGTGATATAAAAAGAATTGTTAAATTTTTATGTTTATTTAAGACATCTGATGTTAAAAAGATGATAACACCACCTGGGACTGAACGTGTAATTTCAGAAATTGAGAAACTGCCGTATTTGTTTGATTTAATCAATAACTCACCTGCTGTGAAGAGATTTGGAGACAAAGGAGTAACATATAATACATGGAAGAAGCTTTCAGAAATGAATACTACGCTATCAACGGGTTGGGAGCACTAGGAGGAGTTTATAGACTTTATAGAGAATTGAAACGTAAAAACCCTGATATTTCTTACATGAAAGTTAAAGAATGGTTAAATAAACAAGATTCATATAATTTATTCAAACAAGTGAAAAAAAACTTTATCAGACTCCCGATAATTGTAAAAAATATAGACGAACAATGGCAAGCCGATTTAATGGATTTGACATGGCTGCAAAAGTCTAATGAAGGTTATAAATATGTTTTAAATGTGATTGATTGTTTTAGTCGGTTCACATGGTCAATACCTTTAAAATCAAAGACAACTGATGAAGTTATAAATGCTTTCTCTAAAATATTGTCAACTGGAAGAAAACCAATGAAACTACAGACAGATCAGGGTAAAGAGTTCACCAATAATAGAATAACTAAATTTTTCACGGACAATAATATTCATCACTTCACTACAACTGACGATCTGATTAAATGTGCCATAGTTGAAAGACTTAATCGTACTCTCAGAACAAGGCTTTACAGATACTTATCATATAAAAATACCCACAAATATATTGATATTTGGAAAGACCTCATTTCATCATACAATGACTCATTTCATAGAACAATACAAATGACGCCATCTGATGTTACAGAACAAAACCGATCCAAGGTTCTTTATAATATAAGAAAGTCACATCGTATCATAAAATCTTTACAGAAACCTTATCATATCGGTCAACAAGTAAGAATAAGCCGGAAAAAAAATTTGTTCGAAAAAGGTGCTACGAGTAATTTTTCCGAAGAAATATATAAAATTTGTAAAGTGAAAAAGACACCACAAGGCTACGTGTACTACTTGAAAGATACCGCTGGTGAAAAAATTACGTCAATATTTTACCACTACGAATTAACACCTGCCGTTCTTGGAGACCTTTTCAATATAGAAGTTTTAAAGACACGAATTAATAAAAGAACAAACAAGAAAGAGTATTTTGTGAAGTGGATAGGATATCCTAATAAGTTCAATAGTTGGGTCGAAAATGTGGAATCAACCTGATGAATACTTTGTTGATGCAGTCTCAAACTCTTCAATGGAACATTTTCCTGATAATACATTATCAAAATTTTCAAATAAACTACCTTATCCTTTACAACTAGAAGGTGAATGGGTAGCTGGAATTCAAGAAGTTTTCTATCCTGTAGATGTTAAACCATCTAAATATACACTGGATATTCAACTACTAACGAGTGGCTTGACTGAAAAGTTGACGAAAAAGATTGAATTAGACTCTGATCTGGATGCAAGTACTATTATTGCAACCATTAACAAGGCATTTTTAAATCTTTTCATGTCTGCAACTGAGTTGAAGCCTGATGAATCTGCAAAAGTTAAACGATCTATCGGATCAAAATTCCCTTCGTTGGACTTAGATGAGCTAACGAGTGAAAAGATCAAAACTCTTACAACTGAAGAACGTGAAAAAGTTTTAAATAGAATCAAAAATACAACAGTTGCTTTTCTAGAAAGTTTAAAAAGTGAAATGACTAAATACAAACTAGAGGCAACGTTGCAAAAAGAAAAAATAACAAACCTCGAAAAGTCTCTGAGACAGTACGTTGATGAAGTTGAGAAACAAAAGCAAGAAGTGAAATTACAGAGATCTAAGGATAAAGAATTGATAAAAGAAGCATCAAAGAAAAAAATTGAATTAGAAGAGTCAAGTAATAAAATAGAAACATTGACTGCAGAGGTTAAAAACATTAAGATTAAAAATGAAGAGAATAAGAATGCACTCAAAGCTAGTATAGAAGAAAATAGAAAACTTGATTCTATCATTCAAGGAAAAGCTAAAGAGCTATATAAACAAACTCAAGAATTCCAAATACAGATCCAAGATTTGAATACAAAAATTAAACAACTTTCTGAGGAAAAAGAATTATTACAAAATAGCCTTAACTTGAAAAAAGATGAAAGACAGAAAGATCAAGAAAAAAATCTTCTCAAAACTACTGTTGATCAAAGTAAATTGAATACAATGAATGAACAAATAACTGAATTGCAACTGACAAAACAGGATTTGGAGAATAAGTTCAAAAAGTTCAAAAGCCGTTCCTCATCTGAAATTGCAGAAATGACCCTGAAATTGAATGTTTGTAAACAAAATGAAACCAAAACTGAGTTTGAAAGCAGAAAGCAGCAAGAAAGTGTTAAAAACCACATAATTGAGTTGGAAAGTGTGATATCGAACTTCAAAGATTCAACAAATAAGCTAAAAGAAGAGATTAACCAAATAAACTTGGAGAGAATGAACTTAAAAAGAGCCATTGAATCATCACAATCTCGAGAAAGTGATTTATTATCCAGACTACAATATGAAAAAGAGCGAACTTCACAAGTAATAAAACAAGCTGAACAAAGTATGAAAGGTGTTGAAATCGAGAGAGCCAAGCTTGTAGAACAAGAGAATATGCTACTAAAGATTATCTGAGCTCGGGATAGTAGTTAACGCAAAAGGTGAAAATCCAGCTGGTGAATTGAACCACCAAATGTCTGTTCCCGGTATCACTATACATGAAGGAAAAACTATAATTTTTTCTGGAAACTATCAATCAAAAATATTCACACCTTATTTTGCTGACGTAAATTTCATTTCAGCTTTGGGCTTTGATGCGAATAGCTATTTAACAATGATTGAAGCCTTCAATAGAGGAGAAAAAGCCTTTACTTCACCAAAAAATTTCAGCTTGAACTTCAAATCACACCTTATGTTTATACATTCCGATATTGTAGCTGAACATTTTGTTGGTAACAAATCAGCTAGAGTTATGCGTGTTGTTCCTCTCAAGTATGGAAGTCAAACAGAGATGGTACATGAGAAATTTTTGAAGCCATTTTACTACCCAGTTCGATCGAATAGAATTGAAGATGTAAACTTCATTCTTTCTAACGAAATTGGTGAACCTGTTAAATTTAATTCAGGGAGAGTGTTGATTAGTTTACACTTCAAGCGTAACTAGTTGTATAAGAAATTAAATAGTTATTATATTAATAAAATTAATTTTTAGACTATTGAATTCTCTCAACACTCATTATAAAAATAAAAAAATAAAAATGAATAGAAAAGTGTATTGTGCTTGTGACTCTAACTTCAACAATTATTATAAAGCTCAGGTTGGAGGTGGATTTTCCGATATCAATGTATTCAGAGGTAACCCTTACCAACGTGGATTCGGTATTGGTAGCTTATTTGCAAGATTTGGTATTCCGGTATTGAAATTCATTGGTAAACATGTATTGAAAACTGGTGTTAATATAGGAAATGATGTATTAAATGAAAAGAAATTTAAAGAAGCCGTAAAGTCAAGAGTTAAAGTAGGTTTTAAAGAAGCTGCCACTGATTCTTTAGGAAAGTTGAATGAAATCATTCATCAAAAAGGAAGAGGTATTAAAAGAAAGTTATATAAGAAAGCTTCCCAGAAAGTTAAAAGAAAGAAAGATATTTTCTCTTAGAATGGAATATTTACATCCATCTTCGTTACCAGCTAATAAAAGTGAACTAGATCTATTCAATATACCACCAACACAAGTTGCAATTGATACAGTTTACGAAACTGATTATCGACCTTCGTCGGAACAGGACTTTGCTAAAACTTATGAATTCAATGTTCCAGCATCAGAAGATTTCACAGATCTAAGTGCTACCATGATACACATGAATGTACATATTGTGAATGATAAAAATTCAATAGTAAAATCATCTGATTTAGTCAAATTAGTAAGAAACTTTGGTAACGCTTTGTTCGAACAAATTGACTTGTACTTAGGTTCAACAAACACTTCACTTGCTAATAATATGTACCACTACCAAGCATTTATTGAAGAGCTATTATATCGATACCCTACAAATATTGATACATCTTTCATCAAAAACGAAACAGTTGTCAGCATCGATAAAACATATGAATTATATTATCGATTACATCTGCCTATGTGCATGCAAGATAGATTGTTATTGAATGGAGTTCCATTGATCTTCAAGTTTACCAGAAGTTCATCAGCATTTCCATTGATAAAAATGAAAGCTACTGATACTGAAAACTACTCAGTTAACATCAAAAACTTTTCTTTGCATATGAAAAGGGTCAAGTTATATCCAGACGCTCAAGCTTCGATTCTAAACACTCTCAACACGCATCCGGCTAAGTATTTCATCACAAGAGCTGACACAAAAAGTTTCACAATACCAATAGGAGTTTCTACCATTTCGATAGAGAACTTGTTTGTTGGACAACTTCCAAAACGAGTGATCGTTGGATTTGTTAAAGAAGAAGCTTTAAATGGTAATCTCGCGAATGATCCATTCAGATTTGAACACTTTAATATAAAATACATAAGTTTAAATATTGATGGAGTTATTATACCAAGTATACCTTATAGACCTGATTTTACTAAAGGGAATTGTATTCGAGAGTATGTCAATCTTTTTAGAGCATTGAATCAAGATGAAGGAATACCACAAATTGATCTTACATATGAACAATATAAGAATGATACAGTTTTATTTGCATTCGATATTGGTGGATCATTAGGTGCTGAAACAGGTGTTTTGTCATTGATCAAAAGAGGTAAAATTCGATTAGAAATACGTTTTAATGTGAACTTGACTGAAGCTATAAAAGCAATAACATTCGGACAGTATGATAACCTGTTGACAATAGATAAAGATAGACAGACAAGCATTGATTATTGAAATGCTTAATAGCCTTGATATAATGAAAATGCTGAGAAGGATAAAGTGGTTTGGTGGTGTTTTCCCAATAAACCGATTACCTATTTTTTTTAAGAAACCAAAAACTTTTATTATAAATTTGGATCCAAACTATAAGGAAGGATCACATTGGGTTTCGGTACATTTTTCAAGACGTGGGACTGCTTTGTACTTTGATGCGTTTGGAAGACAACCTGAAAATGATATTTTGACTTTCATTGAGAGAAATGCTCCAAGGGGTTTCACTCACTCCAATCAAAAGTATCAGGGGAATGAATCAACAGCTTGCGGTTTTTTCTGTATACTTTTTGTAGTACTTGCTAATAGATCTAGAGAATTTTTCAAAATTTTTTCGAAATGTAAACATTTGTTAAATGAAAAAAGACTCAAATTCTTGATGAAAAAATTTATAGATTAAAAAATGTACAACTGCTTGTTTCAGTACAATTTTTCAGCCTGGCTGAAAATTGAGCTGGAGCAAGCAGTTTTTTACTACTATCTTGAACAATTAAAACATTTCGAACCAATCGCACTTCCATCGAGCTCTCCACCTTGTAAATCTTTCTCTCCATTGTAATTGGTTGAAATCAATTACAAACAATTAACTAATATCAGCAAGATGATCAATAACAACATTCTGACAATTACATTGATTGCCTGCTAACGTTAGTAAATCAGCTTCTCTTAACATTAGTTTTTTTCTCGGCAACTTCGGTCAAATCGTTTACTAGACAAACGACCAATTTTATTGTATCATTTAACTGAAGAAAATTTCGCACAAATATTAATTATCTGTTAATTTGATTCTCAAATTTAAAACCGGTGAAAATAAACTAACGGTTAATTATTTTAATCCTAAGAAAATACTACTGAAACAGATTCGAATCAATAGATGTCGCCACTTATTCTTTTTCGCGTTTGTCCACCAGGTGGTCGATTTTCTATAAATTGATTGTAAGGAAAACCGATTGTTTTGTTTTGTTCAAATCTCTTTATTTTCATCTCTTGTGGATTTTATTTATTTACTTTTTATTTTTGTGGTCTTATTTTCTAAATCCTTTTTTTATACGCTATTAATCATGGGTGACATTGATGATGATATGGAAATCGAGTCGAACAATGAACAACCAAGTAGCTCTACATCATCAGGCGGTGGAAAAAAACGATTCGAGGTGAAAAAATGGTCTGCTGTTGCTCTATGGGCTTGGGATATTGTGGTGGATAATTGTGCTATTTGTCGTAATCATATCATGGATTTGTGTATAGAATGTCAGGCTAATCAAGCCTCAGCCACCTCACAAGAATGTACAGTTGCCTGGGGCGTTTGTAACCATGCTTTCCATTTCCATTGTATATCACGATGGCTGAAAACGCGACAAGTTTGCCCATTGGACAATCGTGAATGGGAATTCCAAAAATATGGACATTAAATCCTAAACACTCAACTTATCGATTGATCTAACTCACGTTTTTTTCTCAATATTTGTTTTTATCATGTTAATTGAAGACAAAAAGTTAAATCTTCGTAGGTCAATCACCTTATTTTCATTTACATGAATAAAAATACAATTAAATGAATTGATCTTCGAAAGTTAATACAGTTAATGAGTCAGTTCTGATTTACATTTACTAACAATTTCTCTCCCTGTGATCTCATGATATTTGTTGATAAGATGATCAACTCAATAGGCTGGTAAATATCCTTTCTGTCCATCAACTTTGATCTCTCGACGTTTAAACCATTTGTTTGGTGTGTTCATCAAATGACCAAGGCCCATCAACGGTTCCCAATTTACAGTAAATTAAACTCATCTTATGATTATCGGCATCTATACATCTCTCACCAACACCAAGTTGACCCTCTTCATTGAGACGGAAAAGTTGATTACCACCCGATGAATGGCAAGTGGAAAGATGAACAGTTCGTGGTGGTGCCGATGATCCAGTGTCCAAACATTTGTCGGTCGCTTTGTTTCGCACTTCGCCCCAATGGACATTTGCTGGAAGGGCAGGGAAATGTTTGTAAACAACATGACCGATTCGATCCATGAACCAGTCAAATGATTTACATTGAAGTTAATCTTTGATCGCCAATTGAGCGGAAACATCACCAGGATCATAGAAAGTGGCCAAAGGCTCACGGGTGTAGAAATAATCTCGATACTTTTGGTCCCATCAAATTGAGCTTCAAGGAAAACATTAACATGCCCTTAGGCTGCTTTCACTTCTCGATATTCAGTACGGATTATAAATCTTTTCGTTCAACAATTATCTTCCACCGATCAAATTATCTCAATCAACGAAATATGATTAACACTTTGGAAGTGTTCATTTTAATCAGGAATCGTTTAAATTAGTTACATTGATTTTGATAAAATTGAGGCAAAAAGTGATTAGTAAAAAAGTCAAATCAGAGTTGATTTGTTATCAAAAAATGTTTAACAATTAGTGTTGATTACAATTTACAGAGTGAAAAAGATTGATTGTCAAGATTAATGGTACAATTAGAAAACAACTATCACAGTGATTCGTATTGTTGATTGGTGATCAACAATCGAAGGGAAAATCATAAGAAATTAAAGTAATCATAACGATGATCAGAATCTTTTTGTGTTTGATTCGTGTCAGATTTAACGCAATCGTCCACCGACGCTAACGACGATTGTGACCCGTTCATGTAGATATGTTGAGATGGCATTTGACGGGTGGAGTTAATTGTTGCTGCGATTCGTTGATTATCTTGCATCGATTGAGGAACTGGAGGTAAAGATGAACTTCGTTCCCGAAAAATTCTCGCCTCATAAGGTGTCGAGTATTCTTGGTTCATATTCTCAGGTACCATTGTCCTTTTAGTGTAATAACACTTGAGTGTATCAAAATCTTTATTCGAGATCAAAGTTCGAGGTATCAAAGGTTGACCTCGATCGATCGTATCGTTGGCATATCGATGCAAACTTAAGACACTATTGTCTGTGGACATCATGGTCGGATGATGAAGTGTCGCCGAGGCTGGTAATGGACTAAGATATTGGAAATTAGTGGCCGGTGTGTGCGTCATGTAATTTGATCTGATAAGGTCAGTTTTCCGTTCTTCTATGTAGACAAATACATAGGCAACTGCACAAATGACCACCACGATGATAATTGTTATCGCAATTGGAATCACGATGAAGGAACCATAATATTTAGCACTTCGAAGGTCATTCTCGTAATTGTAATCATGTTGATCGCTCAAAGAATCTATTGAGCAGAGAAAAGAAAACAATTAATTGTGAATATTTTCTCAACATATTAATGGTAATTAAATTAAATTCCACTTGTAATTAGCTTGAGCCAAAGACAGAATTTAAATTACCAACGTCATCTTAGTTTGTAAATCATTCTAAATGTAAATTTGCTATCAAATTTACTTAATTGCGTAGCAATTTGATTAGAAACAGATACTCAAATATCTATCACAATCAGTGAAGAATCAAATGTTAGTAACAATTTAAATTTAAAACATCAAGTAATCAATGGGAAAATAAATCAACGCAATTAACTAAGAACTGAGATAAAATTAGAAATCAAACCAACTAATATTATGGATACTAATCAACAATCAATCAAATTGATCACTAATTGTGTTACAATCGATGAGCATTAGTTTGAAAAGAGTAAAGTGATTAACGTATTTAGTTGATTTTGAAGGAAAATCAATGAATTTTTTTTTCATGTAAATAAACATGGAGAAGGGAAAAGTTCTGATAATCTGAAATTCAATGAGATTATTAATTTTCTTACTCAGTAAATTATTCAATATGCTAATCAATATGTTGTTAAATTTATTCTGATTATCATTGATACGAAAATGAAAATGATTCAATCCAATTTAATCAGATTAACCTGGAAATCTCCTGTTGGATAGTTAATCTTTTAATAGTAAATTAGATGCTGAAGGTGATTAGATTAATCAATTGAAAATTAATCTCACCTGAATTGAATGAGTCCGCTAATGTTTTCACATTTATCGTTTGACTGGGCTCACTTACTCCATGATCTGAATCGATTATCATGTAAATATAATACCAAGTGTTACTTTTCAGTCCATCGATTTCATATTCATTTGATTTGGAAACTGTGAATGATTTAGTTAACCATGAAGAGTTTTCTTCCTTATAGTAGATTTTATAATCTAAGCAGATACAAGAGACAAAAATTAAATTCTGTTAACGATTATGATGATTAACTTACAATTGACATTAATATTGGACGAGGGTTCGTCTAATTTAACTACGAAGCCAGAATCCTTTTTCTCAGCATTTCTGATGATTGGAGCTTTAGGTGGATCTGTAGTTAATTGGAAACAATTAGAATTGGATTTCAATGACTAATAATGAACTTTTCGTTTATCAACTAACCAAAAGCCGAAGTAGATGAAAATATTGGAGGAGAAAGTGGACCTTCACCGGCGGAATTGTAAGCTCGAATTAGAATTGAATAAGTTGTTCCCGCTTTAAGTCCAGTTATTGTCCATTTTTGTTGGTACTTATTACTTGGTTCGCCGGTGAATGAAATGTCAATCAAACTGTAAGAGCTAATTTCAAAGTCGCTAGATGCTAACATTGAATCAGCTGATTCTTTGTAAGTTAAATGGTAACCAATTAATTTTCCTCGCCAGTGGTTGATTAAAGGCGCTTTCCAGGTCACTTCTAATGATCGGGTTGTCTTGGACTCAACTTTAATATCGATCGGTGTTCCATTGGGAATCTCTTCTTTGGTGTTAAATGTGATTATCGATGAAGGTAAACTCCGTCCAATTGAATTTTCAGCGATCATACGAAGTGAATAAACTGTCCCAGGTTCCAATTTATCTTTAATTTGATGAGTTAATTGTGAACCGATGATTGATTCTTGTTCAGTTTTCTCACTCAAAGTACCATTTCCAGGCCAATATTCGAGGATATAATTAATTATCGGCGACCCATTAGGCTGGGCTGCTGACCATTGGAGAGTAATTGATCGAGTCCAAATTGTATCGATTTTCAAGCCTTCAACAATTGATGGAACATCTAATCAAATCAAAATTAGATAGAAAAAGCAACTGTATCATTATCCTTGTCAACAATTACAATGAGACACAATTGAATAGTTAAATAACATCAGGGAACAATTAAGGTTGACATGGAAAAGTTTAAACAAATAACCCAAAGCTAATGATTTGACTTTAATCAAGTTAATTAGAGTGACATGTAGTCAGAAAAAAAAACCATCGAGTTTCAAATGACAAGTTTGAAATTAATCGTTTGGAATAATTGAATTAAATTGTTACCTTGAACAATTAGAACGTTAATCATTGAATCGTCACCGAAATCATTGTTAGCATTACAAAGATAAGAACCAGAATCGTCTAATTGAACTTTATCGATATGAAGATTGAACAAACTTCGATTGTGATCTTTCCCGGTATCTCCTTCGTTAATCATGTAACGTGATTGACTTGACGATGACAATTCAATTGGCTCCAATTTGCCGGATGAAAATTGCCGATGCCAAGTATTGATTATCGGCTTAGTACCAGAAGCCTCACAAGATAAGGTCACTTTGGTCCCGCGAGCGGCAGTAACCCGATTATGTTTGATTGAAAATCGAGGTCCCTCTAGATACAATATTAGATACAACAAATTGCAATTAACTCTAATTGATTATTTATTAGTCAGTAATCATTTTAATGTTTACTCAATCAACAATTGACAATCAGTTAATTGCCAATTATGATTAAAAAAAGAGCTCCAATGATCAGTTGATTGATTCATCCGAAAGGTTTATCATGAAATTAACACTTCATGAGTATCGATCAGTAGTAACTAATCATAATCACTAATCGGATCTATTTAATTTGAATTAACTGATAATCAATGAAACAAAAAATTCATTAAAAAAAAGTAAACAAATTTATATTTACAATTAACTTTCTCTCTTTCATGATCTGGTTATGATTTCAAGTGTTCTCATCAATCTCAAGCAATTAGCTAATAATTAAATTGTCACTCACATGGATAACTTACCATAGACTTTAATTAGAAACATCCAATTAATTGATTCTTTATTAGATGTTGCTTTACATTCATATTGACCAGAATCCTCTAATTTAACTGAATCAATTGTGTACGTTGATCCATGACCAATAGGCTTGTAGTAATAATCTCCTTGATCTGGATTTAATTGTTATCAATTAAAAACAAGTAGAAAAGGTGATTAAAGATAATTAATTGTATATTCTTATGGCGATAATCATAAACCATAATCAAAACCTCAGTGAAAAGGATAAACTTTTAAAGAGTGTAAACAAATTGGCTTGAAGAGAATGATAAATGAACGTAATCAAATCAATCAATCATTAGATTAACAATGGAAAATGAGTTAATCCAGAAAATGTTTTTTCTTCTTTTTCTCCAATTATCAGAATGAAAAGAGAAAAATTTTCATTGTTCTTCCGTTTTCTCCATAGATTTGAATAGAAGTTTTCTTTTCGAACCCATTACCATGAGTCTTTGTGTATTCGAAATTGTTGTTGAAAGATAGAGAACAGTTAATGATTCTGATCAATCAGAGACAAAAGACCAACATGGGAGAGAGACAACAACATGAGGTCTTTGGGTGAAATGGATGAGGATGAAGATGAAGATGAGAGGATGAGGATAAGAGTTCGAGGTTATTTTCATCAAAAATAATGTTTTTACCTCTTCGAAGGCTTCGAGGAGATAATGTATCTTTTTCCTCTCTCTCTTTCTTTTTTCTCTTTCTTTTTTCTTTCTTTGAGGTAAAAATGATGAACATAGAAAATAGAATGTTTCTGAGAATAGAACTGAAATGGGAAAAGGAAATTCAGTAGATGATGAAGAAGAGAAAGAAAGGAAATAAAAATTCGAAAATGAGTATAAGATGAGGGATGGAAAATTGTTCGCGTTTGTTGAAAGATGAATTAGATTCTACATGGATGAAGAAAGAAATTGTTAAGATGAAGATGGAGAGAGATGAATAAGAATAACAAAGAATATGATGATTATTATTATTATGAAAAAGGAAAGGGAAATAAAGAGCATGATAATATCAGGAGAATTAGAAAACTAATCAAGTTACAGAATAATTTAACAATTTATCCATCAGTTCAGACTCTCAATAGGCTTAACCTTAGGTGAGAAAGAATCATTAACCTAAATTCATCTTCGAAATCATTGGAAACTTTAATTGTCCAAAAAGAAGAGCAATTAACCGACTATTACAGAACCAAGAAAATATTATTTTTACAATGGAAAACAATGTAATCTCATTTTCGATGTAAAAAAAAGTTGAACCTAAAACAAAGAGAAGGTCAAAGACATTCGAGGAAGAAAATGAATTGAGATTGTCGAGTTTTCCTTTATATCGATAATCGATTCTCAGTTCAGTCATTGAGGTAGATTTCTAGTCAACTGGATGATTGAGATAAACAGGGGAAGATGATGAAAGTGATGGAAGAAGAAGATGATGAAGAAAAAGAGGTAAAATGTAATAGAGGGAATTGCGATTGACTAACCATTCAAATCGCAATAGGAAATACTATCAACAGATTACATGATTGAGTGAAAGGAACATATTTAGGAATCAGATATTCGGATGATGATGAAGATAAACAAGGTCACGAATCATAAATTTAAAGAGAAAATGAAAGTTACCTTGAGAGAGAGAGAGAGAGTGAATATATTAAATCAGCTGATTTTTTGCTCTTTTCTTCAGCAAATACAGAGGAAAAAAACTACGAAATGATTATGATTTTTTCTTGGTTACATTTCTGATTAGATTAACCATTAAATTGTCACTAAATTGTTCCATTTCCTAATGATTTGAAGATGATAAATTGTTTGGAAAGGAGAAATTATCACAATTTAAAAAGTGCGAAAAAAACTTTCTCTGGTTTAATCATCGCCATGGAAATGGTTTTCATTTTTTTCTGGTTATGCTTTTTTTCAGTTACGTAATCAACTTAATTGTTACAATTAAGTTGATCTAACGATTTTATTCCAACTGAAAACTCTTTAAATTGTTGTAATCATCAATTGATTTGGTTCGTTGATTTAAATGATTATTATGGTTACTTGTTTTTTTCTGATTTTCTGATGGTTTATTAATCCAGTTGCAGAGTTAAATTGTTATTTATGGTTTTCTAATGATTTCATAGTTGCTCTTTGATTTAGATTAATCCTCATTAGTCTAGATTAATGAGGATAAGATTCATCAAGTCATTAGTGGTCAATGTTGACAAGAAATCAGCTGATTGTGAAAATGACCAAGTTTCACTTTTTCCATTGACTTTCTCTCACAATCATTTGTAAATAAATCAACAATTAATCTGATTGGAGTGATGATTAGCCAATCTAATCCAACATGCTGACCATAACTGAGATTAACCCACTTTAATTGTAAAAATAGTTAATGGAAAAGCCCTCAGGTTACTAGATTTCATCAACGTTATTGTTTTTTTGTCTCCTTCTTGATTGTTGATTGGCTCTTATGTTGATAACAATAATTGATTATAACTAATCTACTAAGTAGTTTAATTGGCTGATTATCCAATATGTGTAAACTAGAGTTAACTGTTGAAAATAATTAACTAATTAACGACTGATTAACTGACTAATTACTGTAATTGCATCCGTTTGGAGGCTTAATCAGTAACAATAATCGGTTGATTTTTAGTCACCTTTATCCGTTTTTATCAAAACGATTAATTGTCACACATATTATTTGATTATAATTATATGGTAATGATTGACGATTGATGATAATTTGAAAGTCTACAATTAAATTAATAGTAAATTAAACTTACCTTGTGATGAATTAACAACTCTAAACCATGAGATGGTTGGATTTGGTTTACCATGAGCTGAACAATTGATCACAATTGAATCACCTAAACCTAAATCTAAATCATTTGGACGTAAATCCCATCCAAGACCAGAATCAATGGCTAATAGTGATTAAAGTTAATTGTGACAATCAGGTTAATAACCAATAATGAACCAGGAATACAGGAAAAAAAATGATATTGAAAAGCAAACAATTAGAAAAATATTTAATTGTATTAAAGTAATAATCATTATTATCGATAAAATTTGCTAATTTTGCTAATCCACTTTAATTGTTAACAATCAATACCATGAATTAAGGTGAGTGACTTGTTGAAAATTAAAAGATTGTCCAACAGCAACAATTAAATTTGATCAATACAAATAACATGAAACTGAATTAAAAGTTATCGTGTTAAATTGTTACTTTTCAACAACAATTGAAATACAATTGGGTTGAAACAATTAGTAAATTGTTTCGGAAATTTAGCTTTCAATAGAAAAGAATACAATTAATCTTTAATTGCTCGATTAATGATAAACTTTTCAATGTCAATTTATCTCTAATTTAAACAGTTAATTGCAATCATAAAAGTGATTCAATTAATCAATTGGATTTAATTGTTTAAAACCATTTCCAGAGGTAATGTAAACAAATTGCTGATATTAATCATTGAATATGATAAAATATTGATAACAATTAAATCTAAACAATAACAGTTGGGATAAACAAACTGTTCACAATTAACAATCAAAGTATGATTGAGCAATTAACTTTAATTGTAAGACTATTTTAAGTCAAGTATTGATAAAAAAACTTTTTCCCCAATTAATAAACTATTAATACTTTTCATCTAATTTAAATTTAAATTGATAATTACCAGATTATGATTAACTCAATTAGCTTGATTGTTAATTTAAAAGCTTAACGTTGACGTAACTAAATTAACTAACTAAATCTAAATCATCTTCAAAGATAAACAAAAGTTTTGGTTAAGTTAAATTAAGTAAACTAATCAAGTAACAATTTGATTATAATGAAAGGATTGATTGTTGTTGAATAAAGTTCACAATTAATCACATAAATCACAATGATTAATGATTAAAAAATCACTGAAAAAACATTACAATCAGTTGATTGTTATGAGGTATGAACTAAATTAAAATCCACTGGCAGAAACAAACCACAAACAATCAACAAGAGCACAATTAATACTTACATATGATGGATGGTAAACAATTAAACACAATTAATACTGAAACAATTAGAAGCATAATTGATTGTGCAAAATATTGATTATGTTAATAAACCACAACAATTAGAAGACAAAATTAAGACGGCAATTTAGATCGGAGTTGAAGAAAACTAAATTAAATCAATATCCATGTTGATGAGTGTTTGATTGAATAAAAGGAAAGTAAATGAACAAAATATAATCAACAACAATTAACTAATCCAACCATAGGTTTTGGCACTATGGTGACTATTGTTACGATAAAACAATTAACTTGATCATAGATTGATAATCATGATCAACATTGGAACAATTAATTAAAAAGGATAAGTGATAACAATTAGAAATAGACAAAAGATTCAATGGGAAAAAAATATTAGATTGAAACTGAATTTCAAGTGAAGTGGATAAAGATCATCATAACAAATGAATGAAAGTGAGATGATGATGAGGAAGATGAAGATGATGAAGATGATGATGATGATGATGATATTAAAGTAAAGGTTGACAGTAAATAGTTATTACAATGTTTGAGGTCTTTCAAGTATGACAAACTACATTTGGAACGGAATCTTATCTCAATCAACTTTAATCATCATTTATGAAGATCCTCCCATTGAATAAAAAGTGGGAGTTAATTGTGACAATAATCATCCTCATCCTTTGTCATCATCATCATCATCATTATCTACATCATCCTGATCATCATTGTAATAATCATTATTATTATTGTCAACTAACTCACATTGATGCCTATGAAAAATACTAGAGTCTAATTGTTGTTTCAACGATTTAAATTGTGATCAACTTTTCAATTTTTTCCCCTCTCCTATCAAATTAATTGTTATTGTCTCTTAATTAAATTACTTGTTCTTGTTATTATTATTATTGTATCATTATTGTGATGATTGTTTATTATTAGTTTTAATTTAGTTCAGTCTCTATGAGACTAATATTGAAAACTTGGTTGATAATTAAAACGGATTTCCTGTGATTTGTTAATTGTGATAATCAGACAAGTTGAAATATTATGAAACTAAGTTACAATTAAGTTAACAATTAGCTGATTAATAATAATGACTTTTTGTTTTTTTCCCTCTGTTGTTAATATTACAATTTCATTAATTAGATTTTGCTTTTTTTTATTGTGTTAATTTTTTTTTTTGATTAATTGTTACGATTAAAACTAATTAATGTGTTGCTGTTGATCATTTATGTTCACATTAATTTGATCAGATTGAAAATTAATCAAGTGTTAACACTAAGAAATATGATTATTATCAATAATGGTTGTTACTGATTAGTTAATTGTTGTGATTTCCTACCGGAAGATATTAGTTGATTACTTAATGATTGATTAATTTAATGTCTCAATACAAGTTAATGATGATTTAAACTGTTAACTGTAACATATATTACCATGATTGTTGATTGCAAAATTAACAACAATTTAAATTACATTGAGGTCCAGTGGGTCAAATTGTTGGTCAATGAATTGAAAATTAAATCATTTGAATATCAATGAAATGATTACAAAGTTAATTGTAAATTCAATTGATTATCAATCAAGCTGATCATTTTGCAATCAAATTAAATCATCTAATCAGTTTTGCAAATTGTAAGTGTTTTCAGATTTAATCATTTGGTTAAGTGAAAAAAAGTTACATTTAACAAAATTGTAAATGATTAATTGTAAATTTAGTTAACTATTTAATGATAACTCAACATGGAATCAACTAAATGTAAATCATTTCATTGATTGTTATCAACAATTTCATCTCAATTCATGAGGATCCGCCCTGAATTTCACCATGAATAAGATGAGGACAATATCATGTGTTAGGATTATCATTTCAATCAACAACAATCAACTCAATTCATGTAACATGATGATGATCATCAAAAGTTTCCAGAGATACAAGGAAATACCTTTTTCTTGAGGATTTAACATGAAAAGTTCATTGAGTTCAAAGTGATTTTATTATTTCATGATAATATCATTACCAAGGTTCATCATCTCAGGTCTTACTGTTTATTTAAATTGTTTACAATCAGAAGCAGTTGATGGTTATCATGTTGATTAATGATTATCATCAATAAGAAACTGTCATTTGATAATATTAACATGATGATAAGTTTTGTCATCTTTGTCCTTTGTTTTATTTTTCACTTTCATTTGTTTACTTCCGGGTTACCGTATATGAGATTTGATTGATTTTTGCAAATATCATTTTCACCATGTAACCAATTCTAATTGTTTAGTTAATTAATACTTCTAATTGAACAATTTCGAACTGATTAGTTGATAATTTATTCCTGTGTTGATTAATGAAACGAAACACTTAATTTAGGATAAACAATCAATGTGTTTTAATTAGTGTTGGTTGAACTAGATTTTTCAACGCGAATCCATTCAAGGATGAGAGAGAGAGAGAGTTTGTTGATTGCTGTTTATTAAGCAAATAAATTAGTTTAATTTTTTTTTTAAAAAGTTGATTGTTTGTAAAATTGATCCTCTTTACAAGTTTCATATGTATAAGGAATTGATTCACAGCAATTAAGTTGTAAGATTGATGCCTGAAAAATTTGATGAGTGAGTTTTCTTGTTGAATTGTCAAGAGTTTGATGACAAAAAAGCAAATGCATATTAAATAAATTGTTGGTGTGTAATTGTAATGATACAAATATGAATTGATAATAATTTACAAAAGAGATTGAAAGAGAAACAATTATTATTTTTGTCAAGAAAAATCACTTTAAGAAGATGAGTGTGTGTGTGTGTGGATGTAGGTGTAGGTGTGAGGTTTTCTTTTGTGAAAGTTGGGGTAGTGTCATGATACTAGAGAATGATGATTAGGCATCATGACAGAATATAAAGAAAAAAAAGAGAAAAAAATTCCGAACAACTCATGGTAATTAGAATTTTTTTTGTTACTTTTCTTTCTCATGCTTGAAAGGAGAAAAAATTGTACGAACGAGAGTTTCCATTATCACAATGTACATCAGCCTTACAGAAGATATTATTTGCAGAAGATGATGAGGCGGATGAAGATGTTGTTGATGTACCATGTTGGGGTGGTGTTTGTTGTTGATGATGAGCTGTCGATGTTGATGATTGTGGTGTTTGATGATGTGAGTATGATGTTGATGGTTGAGGTTGAAAGTGAGCTGTTGTTGGTGATAACATGGTAGATGTTTGTTGTTGTTGTTGTTGTTGTTGTTGTTGTGACTGTACTTGGGTTGGCGATGGTGGTGATTTATGTTGACTGGCGGGTGATTTTTTATTTTTTGGTGGAGCAGCTAAACTTGGTGGGTGTTTTGGTGGTGGTGCACGAGGAGGTGGTGGGGGAGATGTTGTGGAAAAGGTTGATACTCTTTTAGAGTCTCTATGATTCTTATTATATGGCAATGACTCGTAAATATAGTTTTCAGCTTCTTCTTCAATTATTGGTCCTTGTTGTTGAGCCCAAAGTGCTGAAGGAACTGGTGGACGAGCTAATAAAGGTTTACTACGATCTGATGAATCGGTGTATCGAAGAGTTAATGAACTCTCTTCGGATACAATGGATTGGGAATGATTGGGAGTCGATGCTGTAGAAATGTATTGAAAATTTTTGGATGGAGAGGTGGGCATTATACCCGCTCTGAGTAGAGCTGCTTTCTTTTCTTCCAGATTAAGGTAAGCATAGGCCACAGCACAAACAATTACCACCACGATTATGGCAATAGAAATGGAAATGACGATCATCGTATTAAAATAAATAGGCACTGATCGATCAGGTGGTTGTTGAGATCTTTCATAGATATTATTACGCTCTGAATTATAGCCTTTAAGAACTAAAACAAAATGGAAGAGGAAAACAATCAGGGAGAGAGAGAGAGAAATAAAAATAAAGAGAACAAAATTAAGACAAAATTAGAATCAATTAAAAGAGAAAAATAAGCGAGAATTGGATGAAGTGCGATTTGGAGAAATGAAAAGCCACTTATTTATGGAAAAGACAAATAGAGATAATTAGAAGGAGATAGAACTAATTATTCTACTTGTGAATCAACAGAATGATGAAATTTAGGAGATAAGAGACCAGGGGGAGAGCCCACGAGGAGACACAAAGCAATAAAGAAGAAGAAAGGAAAAGAGAACAGGAAAAGGTGGAAAAGAAAGAGAACAAAAAAAGGTCGAAGAACCAAGTGGACTTACCTAGATTTTTACCCAAGCTTTTCATTACAGATCCAAATTCTTTGACACTAATTGTTCCATCTCCATCTTTATCAAACAGAGAAAAAGCTTCTTTAAAATCTGGATCATCACTTAACAATAATCCCTCCGTCATGGTGGTTATTAGAAATTAACCTCACAGATCACAATTTACAATTTACAGATAATTGTTACACTTGTAGATAAACAATTAGACTTGAAGAGGGACCAAAAAAGAGCAAAAAAATTAGAGAAAAAGCGAAAAAGAATCAAATTTTATAAACAAGAGAAAAAAAATTGATGAAGATGAGGAGAAGAGAAAAAGAATAAGATTTCAAGAGAGGAAAAGAGAAATTCTCTCTCACTGTGACTCATAAAGTGACGAGAATATTTTCCTTCTCAATAACATCATTTAAAAGGCTCTTTCTCTTTTTTTTCTTTCCTTTCTATTTAGAATTTTCGTCTTTTCTCCTTTCGTCTTCCTCTTCTTCACTTATCTTCATTCGCTCTTCTTTCATCTGCCAGACTCGCGAACTCGGTTAAGCCAATTTTCGATTATTATTCTCGAGCCGGTTCACTTATTTTCGTTCTGTGACTTCTAACGCCATCTAACGGTCGACATTCATACGAGAATTTGGATTTTTTTCGATTTTCTATCAATTTTATGAGTAGAATTTATTTAAATTCTTTTGTTTAATTTGTTGATTAGAAAGAGTGGAATTGGATTGTTGAAGTACAGTTGAAAACTGTAACTGAGAATTTTAATTCGATATTGATGATTGAACAATCCAACGGTTCTGATGAAGATGCGATGGTTTTGATTAATCGAATCTTGTCTCCAATTTAATTAACTATTAATCCAAAGTATAATTTTCTATTCTATTTTTTTTCTAATGTCTACTAATAGAATTGGAAGAATGAAAAATGAAAGTATTGAAACTTGTGAACATTTAGAGTTCGAAACTGAGCAAAAAAAAAAGATCTGATAAAAGAACCAATTCTAAACATCCTACAGCTTTTTCCCTAATTTTTTAACAATTGAAGCTTTAAAATAGATTAATTAAGTTAATTACTTAATGAAGAAAAAAAATCGTAAAAAAGGAAACGATAAATTGATAAAATCTGATCGAAAATCGAACTTGGATTCGAATACAACAGAATTTGATTAGTTGATATTCCATTTAAAATTTTTCCACCAAATTACTAAGATTCGAAAGAAGAGAGACAAATTATTCTTCCAAAATTGATCAATAATTTCGAGAAAATTACAAGAAATTGAATCAAAGGAAAAAGTGAATAATTAAAAAAACTAATTAACAAAAGATTCGAATCCAAAAGTATCTTATCTTAGTATCGGTTAAAGTGGTTACCAAGCAACGAATGTAAACAAGGGGAAAGAAAAAGGGGTCGAATAGAATTTCTCTCAAAAAGAAAGACTTTTACTCTTTCTCTTACTTTAGTTTCTTCTTATTTTCATCCACACATTTTACTCTTTCTCTAAATTGTCTCTCTCTCTTTTTTCTTTCTATTTTGTCTAAAGAATCTTTTTTCTAACCATTTATTCCATTCTCATTCATTTTCACCCTCGTTCGTGTGTGTATTCAACAAGTAAAGAGATAAAGAGAGAGAGAGGAAGAAAAAAAAACTAAGCCCAAAAGAAGAAGAAAAAAAAAGAGAATAAAATGAGAAAAGAGAGAGAAGAGAATAAAGTAGAAAGAGAAAAGAAAGAGTAACATCATCTTCCAACAGGCATCAACAGGCAGATTCTCAGTTCTCTCTCTCTCTCTCTCTCCTTCAATCGCTCACTAAACTCACTCATTCACTCTCTCTCTCTCTATCTTCATCTTTCCATTACTTTCTCTCTCCATCCGATTCTCCCTCTTCATTATCTGTCTTTTATTCAGTTTTGTCAGTACTTGACATCAACTTTACATCATCATCACCATAATAATAATCATCATCATCGACAACAACAACAACAACAACATCGCCATCAGAAAACACCAACAGTATCAACAGCTTTCTTTTCATATACAGTCAGTGTATATGAAAGTGTTTGTGTTTACCTAATCAACAACGAAAACCACACAACCACAACATCAACAAGAATAACAAACGAACAATTAATCAGCGAGAATATTAATATTTAATAACATTCTAGTTATTTAGTCAACAATATGAACCTCAACAATCACCATCTTAATTCATGTCAAACTCTAACCATTGACAATTGTAATTTTCTACAATTAATCGAGAAAGAGGAGAAACGTTTGGATTTAGAATGGCAAGATACTTACCGTGAGATTAACCGGATCGAAAGTCTAATCAACAGTTACACTGCTCTTAAATTAAATCTACTTGCCAAATTGGATAATATTGAGATTAAGAAAAGTGAATGTGTCAAGAGAAAGACCAAATTAATCGGTGAAATGTCATGTCTACCTCTTCCTATTGATGGTAATTATAAAAATTCTATTCTCTTTTTTTATTCTCCATTGAAAATTCTATTCTCTTTTTCTCAAAATATGTTCTCTTGTTTTCTTTTCTTTTCTTTTCTCTTTTCTCTCCATCATTTTCCATCTTTCTCCTCTGTCTATCTCTCTCTCTCTCTTTTTTCTCTCTCACATATTTTCTATCTACGTATGTTATTTTCTTCTCTTCCTCGCCCTTTTCTCTTTTTACCTCTTTCCTTTCTTTCTTTTCTTCCCTTTCTTTTCTCTTTCTTCCCTTACACCTTATTTTCTTTTCTTTTCTCTCTCCCTTCTAAAATCTTTTCTTTCTTAATTAATCGTTATTGTTGTTAACCATTTTTAACGATGGAAAAACAATAATAATCGCATTAATCTTTTCCTCTCTTTTCTCATGTAATCATTTAATCTTCGTTTTGTTGTCAATATAAACGTTCAACATTCTGACCAACAACCTTTTTCGACAAACAAATCATGCTCCATATCTACATGAATTATCCATTTAAATTAATCTGCTAATCGAAGACAAATAACAATACAAAATGGTTTCAGAATATCAACCTAATCTCTTTTTTTTCTTCTATTCTATTCTCTTCATTTTCTCTTTCTACCTTTTTTTTCTCTTCAGTTGCAAGTCAATCCCTTCCTTCATGTAATACTTAATTTCTCTCTCGCTCTCTCTCTCTCTTCCTCTCTTAACTTGTTCACAATTCACAATCTAATCAACAATTCAATTCTCTTGATCGATTACATTCTGTTTAATTTAATCGTATTTCTATCACTTTTCATGTCAAAAATTGTTATTTAATTTTTTCTTCTTTGTCGAATAGAAAAAGAATAGAAAAAAAAATTATTCTCCAACAATCGATTAGAAAGCAAACATATATAACATCAGAATAATATAAAGAATCCAACCAACAATTAAATTAAATCAAATTAAACGGTTTAGTTTACAATCTTCACGTTTGTTTCTATGATTACGACATTATTATCATCATCATGATGATAATAATCAAATGATGATTAAAAGGGATGAGATGTTTTTTTTCAATTCGTAATCGTAAACAACCAACTCACTGAACACTTTCCTCTTTCAACGATAATTACATATACCCAAATGTATATAAATTCACCCACAACTTCTTGATGGATTAATGAGATTTTTACCTTTTTTTTTAATTAGTTGCATTAGTTTACTAATATTTGAACAGATTTTCCATCCAACAATCGTAATGAACAAATCAAACTTGATCGTAACGATAATATTTGATTTCCATTCTGTAAACAGTAGCTAAACCATTAGAAAAACAATACATCAACAATCATCATCATCATCATATGAATCACATCAGATTAATTTTCTTTATTCTATCTTGATTACAATCAGTCGTTTGTAATTGTATCTTTAATTAACTTTCGTCTTTTTCTCTTCCCGAATGTTGTAGAACAGCAAATTGTAAATAAACCAAGAAATCAGACAAATCAACATCTCACACATCTAAAATTATATCTAACGGTAAAAGAGAGAGAGAGACAGATACATTCGAAAATCATCAAAAAGGTAGAAAATGAAACAAACAAAATTCGAGTCGATTCCATCATCGATATTTCTGATTTTTATCATCAATTATTTTCGTTTCCATTTTATCACAAACAGTTTTATTATTATGATTTTTATCATGTTGGTAAATCGATGAAATTTTTTTTCGTTGATATACATTTGCTTGATACGTAGATGAATTTTCATCATCGATTGATTATTGAGAGAAAGGAGAGCAAGAGAGAGAGAGAGAGAGAGAGAGAGATTGAATGAGTGAGTCTAATGAAAGAGTAGGAGGTGTAAGTGGTAAGGAGAAAGTGAAACAAAAAAAACTAGATGATGAAAATACATTGACTTGTAATGATGATTCTAATAATAATATTACAGATGAGCTCGTAAATTGGGTATCACAAGTTACCGTTATTTTCTGGTTGATGAGTTGACAGCTTGTGTGTACACACCTTGTGTGATCAGCATGAATTAAATGAGCTTCTGACATGTATTATTATTATCATTTATTATTATTATTGCAATTATTGAGATACAATTGAATATATTTATATATAAATGAAATGTATAAATATATTTGAATAATTGTTTATCCTGTTCTCACCTACGAATGAGCTGGAAACTTAACGGAACGAAGTAACGAATGATAGAAAGAGAGAAAGAGAGAGAGAGAGAGAAAAAAAAGAAAGAGGAAAGGAAACGAATTATACGAAATAAATTCGATAAGAAAAGTGGTTAGAACGAAATTATAAAAGGAGTAGGAGAAAAAGAATAAAAAAGTTGTTCTATCTCGAAAAAGAGAACATGATTTAAGTGAAAAACTTGAGTAAAGTTCAATTGTTGTGAAAAAAAAGAGAAAAAGTTAATAGTAATTTACTCAATTAACTTTAATTGATTGTGTAAGAATATCGGTAATAATTATTACGATGATAATGATGATGATTATACAGCAAATCTTTGTTCCAAGTTGGTACACATCTTACAAAATATGTGACTACTACATGATGGTTTATATTTATATCATGGAATCTGAAAAATTAAGAATCAGAATATGAATTAAGAACAAGATTTTAAAATTTTTTCTTCTCTATTTACTTTGCTCTTTTTTTTCTCTCTCTCACTTATTCATACATTTTCATTGAAAATCCTTTTTCCGTTTACAGAAAAGTCTGTAGGGAGTGTTGAGAGAAAAGTGAGAGTATATTTGGTAAAAAAAGAGAGTGGGAGAGAAAGAAAGAAATGATGATGACGATAAAAAAGAGGAAGATATATCATCATAAGTGTAAGAAGAAAAAGTGACGATTGGAAAGATACGAAGAGTAAATTAAAAAGTTAAATAGTGTTGATTATCGTAATCATCTTGCGATGTTAAGAAGACAGACCATCGGACCTGCTTGTTTTCACCATGAAGATGAAGTTTTATCATGAAAAAAATGTTCTTTTTTTCTGATTAACAAACCAAAAAGAATGTTGAAAAAAAAGTTACCAAAATAATTTACCAGCAAAATGGGTCTATGACCTTTTCTTCATCTTGAGCTTCTACTTGATCCTGGGTTGATGGAACTCAGCGCAAGCCAGAGGAACAGGTCAGATTGAATGGAGTGTAAACTATCATCATCATCCACTCATCATCATGACAACAAAGCTTAATATCAACTTATTCTCATCTTCTCTCTCTCTGAAATGATGCAGGATGATGGCGGTGGTTCACCATCATCATCCTGAAGAGTGTAAAGAAAACCTTTCGATCCATAACACAAAACTAATGCATTTATTTGTCTATTTTTTTTCTTGCTTCTGTTTTTTTAGTAACTTCCATTCAATTTGATTCTTGATTGTTTGTGGAGGCAATTTACCTCATCATCAATACTTTTTTTCAAGTCTCATCATCTCAAAATCCTCTCACTTGCTCACTTCTTCCTCTTCCTCTTTGCTCCTTTAACCTAACAGGTTCCCTCTCTCTCCCCAATCTTTCATCTTGATCACTCTCATCTCAATATCTGAACATACAATTAATCGAGATCGCATCATTATTACAATCATAGTCTCATTACTATCAACCTCTAACAACAATAATAATAATAATAATAACCAACTACACATGATAACAAGAGCATCAACATGATCACAACCACCAAGAAAAAAAAACAAATGCAAAAATCAGCTTATGTAAGAGTGAGAAGTTAAGCTTGAGAAGAGTAAAAAATTCAACAAAAAAAAGGAGAGAGAGAGAGAGAAATGGAAGAAAGAGAAAGTAAAGAAAGTGAATGAGATGATGAAAAAAAGAAAAAAAAGAAAAGGTTCTTAACCCAGACGACAGAAGAGATTACCTGTAACCTGTTAAACAACTTTCATGATGATTATTATTGAGAAACAAGTGAATTGTTGGGTCGTGGCCTTTTCGCTAACATCCTTTTCCGATTGAGATCGTATTTTGTGTTCTTCTCTTGCTTGTTGGGCGAGAATCGTATCTACACTCACTCACTTACTCACTTATTCATCCTTACAATTTACTCTCATCATCTCATCTTTTTCATGTTTCATTGGTCGTTCATCTTTTCGCCATCATCTTACCTTTTTTCCTTTCTCTCTCTCTCTCTCTCCAACCTACTAGTATAATCATCATCATCTTCATCATAATAATAAGAAAAAAAATTAGATCTCAATGTGTATCTGATTTCACATGAAACTTGTTTATCATTCATTTACAAATCATCATGAATTTGGAAATTGTTTCGTTGCTAAATCAGTTGGGATAATCACAATAACCATTAAATTGCTGGTTAGATGATTGTTATTAAAGTTTTTTTCTTCTTCGCCTTGATTATGTTTGGTTGAGAGAACCAACAATTTGCAATTGATTAATTTACATTTGATTGTATTTTCCTTTTGATTTAAATCAATCAAATCATTTTTTTTCTTCTCTCAATCATTTCTTTTTCCAACTTTACAAATCTAATTGTAGTTAGAAGAAAATTTTAATTACAATTAACTTTTGCCAATTTTTTCCAATCAAGGGAAATTTAAATCTCACATATCATTTAAAAGGTATTATTTATTGGAGCAAGGTTATTAATTGAATTGAATCAATTATCATTATTATTATTATGTTAATTGTTGTGATAATGATATGAGAAACAAAACAGTTTTCATCAGGAGAAATTGATTAATCACAATTAACTTAATCTTGCCATTGGATCAATATATTGTATTTATAATAATGTATTTATATTATTAGTATTTGCGTGTCAGGTAACCTTAAAGATGATGATGATGATGATGATAAGAAACTAGGAGCATCTCTAGTTACTATTATAATCAATAATGATGATATTTGCTTGATTGTAATCATTAATCTGATGATTATTGGTTAATGATTTTATGCAATGAAGAGTAAATGTTTCATTTGAAACAATTAACTCTCAATATTAAGTTTCTCTGTTTCTAATTTACTTAAACCAATGTTAATCATTTTAATTAATGATTATATTGTTACAGTTAATGTTGATTAATTTGTCGTAATTTATTTCCTCGTTTTCATTGATTGTTGTTAATTATTAATTTGTTTCTTATTTTCCAACATTTTCTGTGAATTAATATTGATCTTCTCTGGTGATTAAGATTGATAATCAATCAACAATTTGATTTTTCTTTCAAACCAAATTGATTATTATCATTTTTAACAATCAATTCTGTTCCTTAAATGATGAACCAATTTCCAAACTTAAATTAATCATTTAAATTTTCTGTTTATTGTGACAATTTATTTCACTTTAAATTGATTGTTATTCTATTGAGACTATTTTTAAACAATCATCTTAATTAACTTAATATGATTATAATGATTACCTTTCATCGTTAAATTATCATGAGTATAAAATGATACATTTAATGTGGTTAACAATTACTTTTTGTTACAATTTTCTCAATTAATTGTAGACAATTTGATAATAATATTCATTGATTGTTATTAACTTTAATTCTAATCATTAATCTGATAGGATTTCACGTTTTTCTTCATAAATATAATAGTTGATCAAATTAATTGTTAAATAATTTGTTCTCATTGATAATAATCTTTGTAGAAATCACAATCTATTCATTGTTCCTTAATGATTATCACCTTTTCCTTTTACTTTCACTTTTAATGTATTGATTGTTGTTCGATAATTAACTTTCTCTTTTTTCTAATTCTTTCTTTTTGATCAGATTTTTCGGCAATCCATCGATTCAACAGTGATGATGACCTTCAAAATTCAAGTTTATGTTTACGTGAAAATGGAAGTGAATCTGGGTCTAATAGCTTTTCAATGGACAACATAGTTGCTGATCTTTTGCAAACCATTTCTGAAGGAACCGGAGTTTCTGGTAATGGTGGTGGTTCAATTGGCTGTGGTAGCTCATCATTGGGCTCATCAACCGGTAATGGAACCTATGAAAGACCTGAATCTTCAAGTAGTGTAACCTTTTCATCGGGTTCATCTGACTATCCGGCAACCGTAGGACGTATCTCATCACCCCAATCATCAATGACCTTATCTTCATCAACTAACAACAACAACAACAACAACACTACCGGACTTGATCATCATCACTCAAACCACCACCTCCATCAAAGGAACCAAAATTTTAATCACAACAACAACATCAACATCAACAACAACAATAATAATAATAACCATCATCATTCAGGAATGAAACCAGTTACAGCTGCTTCAATTGTAAGCAACATATCCGGAAGTAACAGTAACATCAGCACAAATAGTAACACCAGTAGCATCAGCAGTTCGGGAAAAACTAATAATAACAACATCAACAACAACAATATCAATGGTCACCTTAATATTAACAACATTAATAATAATAACAGTTTGGTTAATAATAACAACACTGAGAATGAGGAATCAAGTTCAACCGGAAGTAATGGAGCCTCTAGTCAAGTTGTTGGTCCTCCACCTCGGTTTACCTCAAATCGTAGCTTCAATACACATAAAGTGCAATATAATTCCGTCCTTACCCTGGAAACATCATCCAATGGTTATGTTTACAAGTCACTTAATGATGGAACTGTGATGAGATATAAATTTGGTAATCCTTCTGATAATCAAATTTTCCCTGGACACAAGGATAAAGTCAAAGTTTTGGTTCTAGATTCTAAATCTCAATTACTTTACACTGGTTGTGATGATGGTAATGTCCGGTGTTTTAACGCGACCACAGGTCAACTTTGTAACCAATTCTCCTGTGATGGTATAGTTATCAGTATTGATCGATCGGTTGATGAGTATCTAGTTTTCGCCACCAATAAGGGCTGGATTTACCTGGTTAACCATAATTTTAAACTAATCTCATCTCATCGAACCTTTAATTGGATTTTTGCTGTAAAAAATATTCTTCACCCATATAAAGATGGTTCTAAAAGATTATTGGTCATCCCAATGAAACATAAACCCACCGTGGTCGAAGCCATGTCGGGTAAAATTTTACAAGAAATTGGTACAGCTACAATTGAGTCTCGACCCTGTCTCCAGGTTAACGGAAGTATCGCCATTTTAGCATCAGTTGTTGATAAATCAGATAACGGTACATCTCATATCAATGTTTATGATTCGGCAAGTGTAAGTGTCACCAAAATAATACTCACACACACCTAACCCAATATTGCACAAGTAAATAAACATGACAGAAAATTCAAATCATGACCAGATATAAACCTTTGATTATCTGATTATCATGATGATTACTAATATTATGATTCTGTTAATCATTATTATTAGCATTTACCACATCATTTTATCACTAAAATCATTATTTATTTTATCACTTTTTTCACTTTCTCTCTCTCTCTCTCTCTCTCTCTCTCTCTCTCTCTCTCTCTCTCTCTCTCTTCCTTGTCTTCCTTTTCATCTCTCCTTCCCTTTCTTAAATGATAATATATTATCAGGTTAATGAACTAATAGGTTTTACTTTTTTTGCATAACACTTATAACACAATATATTTACTACATTTATATAATATCACATAACGGTAAATGCAAATGACAGGTTATCAGGATTGTCATTTTTGAATAGGAAATCGATTAACTAAAATTAACATTTTTAATTTAAATGAAAGTTATCGGTTCTGTATCGTCACTTAATTGTACTCAATTTACTTGTTGATAAGATAATGATGTTTGTTAATAGCTGTCAAATTTGTTACAATAATAATATAATAATTGGTTAAATAGTTGAAATAATTGTAATAGTAATTAACTGTTATGTTTTTGTTACTTTTACTTTTCTCTCAATTAGATGATAATTTATCCGTCTGATTCACCTTGATAAACACAATTGATTGTTTACTAATTGTTGTTATTTTCTTTTTGTATTTTTTTTTCTTCTTCTTCCTTATTTCCTTAATTTTCTCGATCAATTAGAATTGGAAATGTATTCAATCAATTAAAAAGGAAGGATTAATATCATCAATGTGCACTCATGGACACGATCTCTACGTTGGAATAAAGTTTCCCTCCTATGGACACGTTCAATGTTTCAAGTGGTCAAATCGATCTCTTTACCTCAAATGGGTCGCCTGTATTGCCTACGTGCACACCCTTTCAGTGATGCCCTCGGATGTTCACAATTTATCCCTGATGCCCTCTGACATCGTTCTCAATGGTGGACCTGATGGTAACGTTTACAACACCACACCAAATGCAAAGGGACCATTTTTCTGTATGAACAAGAAATGTGATTGTAAACTACCTTTTGCTAGAAGAAAGGATTTAGATTTTCACTATTCGAAACTTCAATCATCATCTTAAATCGCCAACAACAATCAAAGAAACTCAACACCATTTCCTCCTCGAAAATAAACAATCTCCACGTCCCCCATTCCTCTTCTTCCGCCACGAAACCACAACTTTAAACCATGATGATTATACACGTTGAAGATGATCAGAATATCGGATTAACGCTTTATGAGAATCTTTTTTTTTTGGCAAACAAATGAAAACTAAGAATCGAGAGTAACACCAACCACCCCCACAAGAATTAACCTAATCCCCTTCGATGGATATTTAAAGCTTGGAATTTTTTTTTCTATCAACAATACAAGAAAACGTAAACACCGTCAAGTTAATAACGATGAAAAAGATCAAGAAGGAAAAGAAACATAAAAGGAAAACAAGGCAACAACAATTAACAAAAATCAACAACAACACAATCAAGATGCAAGAGAATTGACTACAGAAAATAAATCAACAACCTCTTTCTCCAATTGGGAAGTCTTTTTACTCTGTAGAAGACAACAATTAAATCATCAACACACATGAAAGCACACGAACACACACTCAACATCTCATCAGCACATCAACAGAATTTTTTGTCACCAACATTAATCAAATCGATCTAATTTTTTTAAATCAACTTTTTGTCCTCAACAAACAAAAGTGTTTAGTAAAAAAAAACACTCATACAATCAACACCAGTTGACACCAAACCAAGAAGAGAAAAAAAATCAAGAATCAGCAACAACAACAACAAAAAAACACCAACAACAATCAACAAGAGGAACAACAAACTAAAAACCACATCAACATACAAACACTTTCCTAATTTCCTATTTCCTTTTCCTTTCCTCCATTTTTGCAAATTCACATGCAAAAACCACTTAGGTGAACACCTTCCTCTCTCTCTCTCTCATGCTATTTTTGTTCCATTTTTTTCTCTCTCTTCTATCATCATTGTAATTACGATGATCCTTAACTGATGATTGCATATTTACATAATATCTAAATATGCAAATAAGTTATCCCTCATTCTGTTGATCCATCAGCTTAAACTGTTTGTCTCATTCTGGTAGACAGATTATCCTGATTAATCATGATCTATCTGGATGATAACTTTAATTGCTGATCGTTCCTAGAAATACAACATTAACCCAATCACCATCAAGCCTAGACGATTGATTATCTTCATATATTTTAAAATCATTTATTTTCTCCATTCATATAATTAGTTAACCAATTGACCAACTTTTTGATTCATGAAACTTTTTTTTTCCTCGTCTTTGTCTCTCCCAATTGTCACCTAGATTGAGAGATACATCAAGTGATCATAAGCCAAGGCTGATGTGTGATAACAAAAACCTATTACTTTTTTTGCATTATCATCTTCATCTTCATCACTTTCATCATCTTTCTTATCATCATCATCAACCTAAATCATTTTCCTGCTGCAATTTGATTTAACTAATCAATCAATCAACTAACCAAAAAAAAAACGCTAAACAATTTGTGTCCTTAAACAAGCAAGAAGAAATCACTTTAAGAAAAAATCACAATCGATGAGATTGAGGCTTGTCCAAGTTAATTGTGATTCCCGTTAACAATTAATTTTAATCATAAAACTCTAGATGATATTTTTTGCCTCCTTCCTGATTCCCTGTTACTCTGATTGTCCACTTCCTTGATTTTTACCCACAAAAAGAAACCTGTGACCTAAACTGTAACAATCAACATCATCATTACCTGTAAACAATGATGATTTAATTGTTTATACTCATCTCAACAATTTGTAACAACAATTAAGCATTTTTTTTGTCATATTCAAGTTATATCATTTTATATATTGTATCTTGTGCATTTTGTTTTTTTTTCATAAGTTATAATGCTTACCCTTTTTTGGCTGTACAACAATTAACTCGTAATTAACGTTAATTGTTATTTCTCGTCTATTTCACCCAGAGTGAGATTTAACATTCAACATTAATCAATTAATTGTTTACCAAAATCTGTTTTAATTGTGATTATCAAACTTATCAAACACCAGTTACTGTAAACTATTATTATTAATGGTACCAATTACTTCAGTTAATTGTTGATTAATTGTAGTTATTTGTGATACTCTAATTGTTCTCACTTTTTACTTTTAATTATCTTAAGTCTTTCTCTCTCTATGATTTATATCCTTTTCTTTTTTTCTCATTAATCATCTTATCATCATCTTAATTGTTGATGATTCTTTTTAATTGTAACCTTTGTGGAATCATTTTTTTCCTCTTTACCCTTTTTCCAATGATATCTTTTCAATTCTCTGGTGAAAATTAATTGCTGTTGATTAATTTCCGGTTAATTGAGAAAAAGAAACTTTTTTTTTCTATCAACTATTAACTATCAACAAAGATAAAAAAAAATAATTTAATTGTAAATGTAAACATGAAAACGAAAGTGATTGATTTTGTTAGATTGTTGTAATTTAACTACAATCATTTTTAATTGTCTTTTTGATTCTGACTTTTTGTTTTTGTCATACTAATTAATTGTAATCATCATTGATCATCCCAGTGTAAATCAAATCTAATATATTGTTTATCCTCTATCATTAATTGTTAACAATCAAACTCATACAAATTTCATCGTAGTGATTAACTTTGTCAAATTTACCGTTACTTTTGTTGTTAATTTAAATTTGACAACAATCACAGATGACAATTTAATTTAAATCAGTATAATGATGATAAAAAAATTTTTTGTTAACGTTATTGATTGTAATCAAATTGTGATTCCAATCAAATTGACAATTAACTTTGCTCTCCATCAACATCACTCTGGTCCTCCAATCGCAATTATAATTAACCACAAAACTAAATTGACCATTTGGACATCGCACACGTTAATTAATTCAAATTGTTCATGTTTAACAATCAATCCACAATTGGTGACACTTAATCACAACAATCAAAACAATCAATTGATTACAATTTAAAAGTGAAAGCCATTCCCATTCAATTGGATTAACCTTTTGAGAATCCAATCTCTTTTTTCAAATGATCAACAATTTAACAACAATTGATTAACCTAAACAGTTAATTCATATTCACAATGAAGACAGAAAATCAAATGTTGTCCAAAAACAGATCAAATTAACTACTAATTGTTGTTACATTTGTGATCTGTTGTTTTTGCTTTTGTTTCTACAATTAAATTAATCAACACAATCAGTTGATTAAAACTCTTATTATTCAACAATCAAAGGATTTTGGAACCAAGGAAAATCATAAATCAACCAAACTCATCGAATCGTAATTTTTTTCCTCTCGAAATTGTGATTAACTAATTGGAGAAAGTTTTTTTTTCGTTCGAATCGAATCCAAGTCAACAAGAGAAGAAGATATTTTGTCATAAACAACATAATTACCAAATCATCATCAAGATCACCAATTAATTAACTGGAGTCGATTTTTTTTTCTTCACAATCAATTGGACGACTGGTGATGGAATCAATTTAATCAACACAATTAAATCCCAATCAAGACATGTTACAATCAATGTGGATCAACCTCATCATTAGATTAACCTTTTAACTCTACAATTTAGAGACTTAATCACCAACAAGAACTGAAAAAATGGTTTCTAGTGATTAACTTAAAACAATTAACTAATTACGATTAATTTTTCTCGTCACATTCATTTGCATTTTTTGCTCTTTCGCTTGGTTTCTATTAGATGATTTTATCGCCTCCATCTTCATCATCACCTCTCTCCTCTCTCTCTCTCTCTCTCTCTTTATCTCAATTTTATATAATTAATTAATTCTTGCTAATTTATTAATTACTTTCTCTCTCTCTCAACTTTGACCTAATTTTTTTGCGCTTCAAGTCGACAACAATCAACAACTTTTTTCTTCTCCCCATTAACTTATCATCTTTATCTATTTTAATTTACTATTATCACTTTATTATTAATTATTATTATTTACTATTGATTTTATTGAAAATATTTAAGAGAAGAACCTTAATGTTCATCCCCCTCTTCCCTCACCACACCCTTTCACCCCCACTTCCTCAATCTTCATCTTATTGCTTTTCAAGTTACCATTTTTTTTGTCTCTATTTGGATTAATTCAAAAAAAAATCTTTATTTTCAATTATAACTTTTGAATCTAATTTTACTTTTTATTTATTCACAATCAATTAATTGCTCTATTAAATTGTTATTCTCTCTCTCTTTCTGATCATCTGATCCATGAGAATGATTGATTCTTGATGATTAAGAAAAGGGATTAAACTAAATTAACTTAATTATTGGTGGATTAACAAACGACTATGTTGATTGTTTTTCTGTCAACAATTTGATTAATTGGTTAAAAATTTTTCTCTCTCTCAAATGTTGATTAAAACAAGTTGACACAATTAAGTGATCCTTAAAATTGTTGTCCAAATGGTGATTAAATCATTTATTAATCCAGTTTGGTTTAATTGTGATCGATTTTGATTGTTTGTCTCTCTCTCACTCTCTCTTTTCATCATCTTAATTGTTAAAAATGATTAAATTAAGTGATTCAATAAAATGATTAAGTTAATTATTATAAAAATCCAATGATTTATTATCGTTCAATTAGATTACAATTAGTGATGAAAATAAGGATAACTTTTAATGGTTAATTGTTGACAAAATTAAGAATCAATTTCTGGATAATTAAACATCAGATTTATTATCTCAATACAAAATTAATCAATCAGTTTAATCAATTATCATTTGATTGATTGTCTTCATCGTTGTTGGTACTTGTTTCGTTAATTGTTTCAATCAATGGGCTTTGGTTGATTGTTAATTCTGGTTGATTAGGGTTGACAATAACATCACTATTATTATTATCATCATCATCGATGACAATTACTTGATTACGATTATGATTAGATCTAAATTGATTTCTCCGATTTCGTCGATTTTGAACTAAAGTCCAACCCGATTGTGGTTCAATCAAATTAATTGCAGTTATTGAATTGGATGAAGATGAATTAATGTTAATTGTTGTTGTTGATTCTCTAGGATATTCAAGATAATTGGAAAAAATTTCCCTCGGTGATGGTAAATTTAAAACGTTGGTTAAATTAGTAACCATGGAGTCGATCATTGAATCCCAATAATTGGTAACATTTAGTAAATTGCTTGACCAGTGGCCAGTTGTTGACTCGGAAACTGGAATCTCATCATATAAATGGTCATCCAATACATTACAAATAATGTTATTGAAGGTGGTCCGGCAAACTGGACATCGATTGGACTGTTTTGACCATTGTGACAAACAGGGTGTACAAAATATATGAAGACAACCATCAGCATAACAAGGGTCAGTTAATTCACAGAGACAAATATAACAAGGGTTATTACAATTAAGTGACCTGGAGACGACTTCAGCTTCACTACAATTTAAATTGTCTCCTAAATTGTTTGATCCATTTATCGGTATTTCATCAGGTTTATCACTCATTTCACAATTAACTTAAATTACTACTAAAAGACAATTTAAAAAAAAAGTTAAATCATCAAAATTTTAGGATTTGGAATGAGCCAAATCAAAAATCAATCCTCAAAACAAAACAATAACAACAATCAATTTAGTTTATTGTTAGGCTGTAATTGTTAAACAGAGATTAATAGTCAATCATTTGTAGTCAACAACAATTAAGTTAATTACAGCTATTAGTTTAATCTAATCAAGTTTAATTGGATGTAAATTGTTGTAAATTATTTTTACGGATTGAAATTGATGAAAATTGCAAGAAAACGAAACAAAAAAAGCACGTTAATTGTTGTAATTAGTTGATTAGTTCTTGAGGCACCATTCGTAGGCGTTGTAAAACATTTTCGTCCACGGGGAGACGGTCAACTTTTTCCACTCCTTCGGGATGTAAGGCCACTGCCAGATTTGGGTGCATCTCTCCGGGTGAGGCATCATTGCTAAATGGCGTCCATCGTAACTGGTCAGTCCAGCGATTCCAAAGGCACTTCCATTGGGATTCATTGGATATCTAAAAGGTTAAATGGTTGAGTTAATTGTTTGCAATTGGAAATATAAATCATCATTATTATTGTTAATTGTCTTACTTTTCGGTATCAACTCCGTTATCATTAACGTAAGTTAATGCCACACAATTTGATTTAATCAACTTGTCAACAATTGATTTCTCTCGGTAAACAAATTTACCCTCCCCATGGGCCACCCAAACCCCTAATACCGAGTCACCCATACCCTTTAACATGATTGAATTATTATTATTATTAATTTTAACAGAAACAAATCTAGATTCAAATCTTTCAGAATCATTTGTGGTCAGTAAAGTTCCTTGTGTCCCATCATCTTGACCACCAATCCAACCAAGAAGTGCCATCAATTGGCAACCATTACAAACACCAAGGGAAAATGTATCACGACGTTTAACAAAGTGATTAAGTTGATTGCTGATTGTTTCATTGAACAATAAAGTAGCTGCCCAACCCTTTGCTGACCCAAGGACATCAGCAAATGAAAAACCACCAGGGAAAACTAATCCTCTGAATTGATTTAAGTTAATTCCTGGAAAACCACCAAACAGCAAATATACGAGAAAAAAAAATGGAAACAATTAAATGATTGATGATAAATCAACAAGTATAATTAGCAAATTACACACACACACACACAAACCATATACGAATACAGGGGTAAACAAATTAACATGTTTATCTACAGGGAAGTGTAACAAGTAAAAGTGTTAATAACAGTTGCCGAAAATAAGAGTTAATTGTATAATCGGTGTGATGATTAGTGTCCGATAATAATAAAGGTAAACAAACAATCAATTAATGTCATGTGTACTCTTTGTGTATGGACAGATTATTATTATAACATTAGAGTTGATTTATTTGATCTAAATAAAACTTACCTGGATCATTGAGCAGATCGGTGACTGTTAAGTCAATAACATCAAAACCAACCATGTAAAAAGATGCAATCATTTCACGATCGCCATTGATTCCCTCTTCTCGAATAACGGCAACTTTAGGCCTAATTGTGAACTTATTATCAGCAACTTCGAGAATGAGAAAAGGGCAATTGGGTTAATTGTTGTTCCATCTAATCAAAAGTGTGTTTACCTTTAAGGTTTCTCAGTTCGGTGTGAGTTGGATCAAAGTTAAGTGCGTACAGGGGAGTTCGTCGTTCTTTAAGGCTTCGTCTCTCCTCTTCGACACAAGATGGATTAGCTTGATGCAATTCCAATTGGAAACTGGTCTCTTCCCAAATATCCATCATCTCTTTAGTGTTTAACTAATTCAACAATCAAGAGGAAGAGAAAATGATTAGAACAAGTTAACTTTGGTTAACTTTGATTACGATCAATATTTATAAACATATTGATTAACTTGTGGTTAATGTTATTTTCTTGAAATCTCTTTGTTGTTACCTTGATAAATGGTTGACCATTAATGGTGATATCAATTATATTAGAATCTAGATTAGCTTGACCAATGATTGTTGCTGGTATTCCTGCTGTGGTCAATTGGTCCATGAAAGATGATAAACTGTCCTTTGAAACTTCAACAACAACACCAACCTCTTCAGCTAAAAGGTAATCAATTGGTGATTCATTTGATTTAACATTAAAGTTTAATGTTAATCCACAATTAGTTGCAAAAGCCATTTCCAGTAGAGTGGTAATTAAACCACCGTCGGAAATATCATGACCTGAAAGGACTTCCCTTAATCTAATTGAATCTTGTATCATTGGGAAACATTTCCTAAGGATGGAAGGGTCATCAACATCGGGTACACAATTACCCAGTTGACCATAAACTTGAGCTAAAGCTGACCCACCGGTTCGTCGTTTACCCGAATAACCAGAAAGATCAATATGAACCAGTTTACCTCTACCCTCCATTACAGGGGTTACCTTGAATCTTATATCAGGAACCGGAGCATAAGTTGAGATAACCAGAGTTCCTGGTGATTTAACCACCTCACTTGAACCCTTTCCTCCTTCTCCACCTTTCATGTGAGTCTTAACCTTTGCCGCCATTGATAATGAATCTTTACCACCGTCGATTGCGACCCCCAATTCACTCATTATATTGCACATTGCACGACACGCATCAACAAGCTTAGCACCTTCCCCTGGATAAATGCAAGAGTAATAATGACAAGGGATTAACGGCAATAACAACAAACGGGATCAGGATAAAAAAACAGGAAATAGAAAACAAAAAGAGAAAGTTAATGATTGAAGGAAAAAGGCATGAAAAAGGTAGAGAGAAAGAAGACAAGATGATGATAAGGAAGAAAGGATGAAGAGTGTGTGAGAGAGAGAGAGAGAGAGAGAGAAAGAAAGAGAAAGGTAAACAATATTTAGAAAAAGTTTCTCTCTTTCGTAAAGGGAATTAGAAAAAAAAACGATGAGGATGATAAGGTCACAAGAAGCATTCGAGGATGTAATCTATTTACAGAGATGCTGCTGTCGAAGATGATAAGGATGATGATAACAATGATTACGATGGTGGTAAGATGATGATGATGATGGTAAACATGCATCGGCACGCGCGCGTCAAGTTTTTTTTTACCCTCCACGAGTTTAATTGTACAAAAAGGACCAACAGTAATCATTCAAACTTCCGTCAATAGTTTTCATCTCCCTTCACATAAAAACACACACACTTAGACCCACTCATTCATAGACACACACATTCACCTTTAGTACTAATAGGAAAAGTAACAGCATCCCGATCATCATCATCATCATCATCATCTTGACCGTTGTATGATTATCATTATTACCTTCTAGCTTCGCAGGCCACATCCAGTTACCACTACACTTAACATCTGGTAGACTTGTTATACAAGCAAACATTAGATTGGTCAACGCTTCGGTGACACTTAATCGAGCTCCAGCTTCGGGGTCAATTAATCCTTTGATTGGTTGTTCACCAATTGAAGTTGCTGCTCCTCTGCAATTAAGAGTATGAATCAAGAAAAAAAAAGTCGATTAGAAATCAACAATTATTGATTAGCTTGATTGGATTTTGTTTCCCGTTTCAAATGATTACAATTCTCATTGATAACAATTTGTAATTGTAACGCTGGTGGACATGTAATTTGATCATCGTCATCATCATCATTCACTCAACATTTAAGCTTAATCATGTTTCCATCTAGCGAAATTAAATCAACTACAATATAATAATAAAATGTAATATTAATCACTAATCAAGTATCAGATTAATTTTAAAAGAGATACAGTAACTTGATGGATTCTAAAGTTAATCCAATTAATCGGTCCACTGTTAGAATTAATTAATCACTTATAAGATGAAATTTAAGTGAGTAGGTTGATGATGATGATGATAATGATCAATTTTACCACCCAATTGATGATGTTGATGATAAAGATGATTATGATTACCTTGTATCAAAGTAGGAGAGAGCAATCATCCCATAATCAGCCAATGGGACACCAAGTTCACCAACACATTGCTGTTGGGCAATTAATCCTGTTTCCAGGTAATTAATATAAAATGAAAAGTAAAGGTAAATAGAAAACAATTTACAGGTAAATACAGATTAGTGGAGATGGAAAAGTAATCACAATTAATCAGAATTAAAGCAGAAAAATATCACAAATTTCAATATGTCTACAGGTTACTCGGAATTCATGTAATTCTCATCATCATGTAACTAAAACCTCCTCCTCATCCCTCCTCTCTCTCTCTCTCATCATCATCATCTTCATAATTTCCGTGACTTTTTAGCCTAAATTGAAGATCACTTTTCATTTTTCATCCTTCGTCATCATCATCAGAATCAGAATCTTCTCTTAATCTGAGATAAATTTCATCGTCATTCCAATAATCATGATGAAGAAAAAGTGAAAATTTTTCAGAATTTTTTCTCAATCAAATTAATATGAATGAAGATAAAAGTTTTTCTGCTAATTATCATCAAGGGTCAAGGACAATATGATGATGAGAACAATTTATCAATCATCTTGTTAACTGTCACGGAATAAACCATAAATCAATAATCAACCTTGTTAATTATTATAATCAACAATCTCTTGATTGCTACAAACTAAATTTACGACAATTAACTTGAACCTTATGGATATTGATTGATTGTTGATTTGATCATTTTTTTTTCAGTGTCAAAAAGTTTCACCTTAACAATTAACTTTCCATTGGACCGGTGAACAATTAAATTACATTATATCACCATCAACATTATCGTCATCATTATCATCATTGTAATAACAATTAACTAATTATTTGTCACTTTAATGATAATGATAAACGGAAATAAGGTTTTTCTATTAGTACAAATTTAGTTATTTTTATTAATCAAAGGAAATAAGGTTTTCCTTTTGATAGTTAACTAATTGTACTAAGTTAATTGTTAACTTCAAGTTTTCTAGTGTATTTGATTACTACAATTAACATACAAGACACAAGATTAAATAAACTAATCATTGAGATAACAATTAACTGATAACTATTAATTCATTTAGTATTAATCTATTTCAAGGTAACCTTGAAATTAACCTTTTTCATTTGATAATTTGTTGATTAATTTACATTAGTAAACAACAATTAACTAATTAGTATCTTCTTGTTAAGGTTAATAGGGTAATAAACTTTTAACTTTAATTATTTCATTTGATATTAGCTGATTTGGTTAACCACTTTTGGTTAAATTGTATTATCATTACAATCAACTGATTGTAAACCTTGACAATTGAAATTTTCTGGCAATCATTAAATGATTAATCATATTCAAGAAAAAGTTGATTAGTTGATAAGTAAAACTATTGATTGATTATGATTTTGATCATGATTAAGATAAGTTTTTCTTATAAATATATAACATTTAATTGTGATTGATTAGAAATCCAGTCATTTCAATAATCAATTACTGATTTAATCAATAAATCATATTAAGTGTTTACTAGTTGATGATGTTGGCTGATTGATAATATTACAATTATAATCAAGAGAGTGTAAAAGTTAATGATTGTTTTTCTTCATTTTCTAGTTAATTGTGATTTAGAATACGACAAAAAAACAATCAACTAATTAATTGTTTACTTTACCTGTAACACTGCGATCAACTTTGTTGGTTAAATAACGTTTAGATGCAACTGAAGGTAATCTTAAGACACGATTAAGGGCCTGATAGAGATTAAGATTAGCTGGAAGGGTAAGTGGTTTAAGTGGATTAACCTTATGGTCAAGATTAAAGGTTTTCGGAGGTATGTCACCAAGAACATATTTCAAGTCAAGTTCAACTGGATTATCGGACGATTTACTTTTAATTAGCTTAATTAGTCCATCATTTGTAACCGTTCCAACAAAATCAACTGGACATTTTTCCCGTTTACTTATTTTCTCAACAGTTTTCTGATCTTCCGGTTTAACCAGGATAGCATTTGATTCCTGATACTCAGCCCCCCACAATTCAAGGGTATTAATTGTCGGATCACCGAGAGTAAATTTATCAATATAAATAACAGCTCCATTGGGTTCAACTATCTCCTTTAAGACATTACCATTGCCTCCAGCTCCTTGATCATGAATTGATTGGATTGGATTATCTGTAAATAGTAATCAGAATTAGTGTTAATCAAAATGATTCAATAATAACAATTAAAAGTTTATCAAGTTAAATTGTTATCATACTAACTAACCTAATCTCTCAATACAACCACGAATGAGACGATTTAATTTCTGCTCCATCTCAGGGTCACCTCGTTGAACAGCCTCCATGTTTAATTGTTCATCCTTATCATCACCTGTCCAAATAATGACAATTTATTTATGTACAACAATCAAGAAAGAAATTACAAAACAATCAGCCATTAATTTACTTTTCTTTTCTCAAAAATTAAAGGTAAACAATCAACAAAACAACAAGCAAATCATCAATAGTAAACACCAGTAACATTGATAGTAAATAAACAAATTCATCATTCTCAAATAATAATAATGCTAAATGTTGATTATTTGATCCTTTCATCGTAATCATCATCATAATGATTACAATTTATTAATGATAAAGTGGCAAAAGTATATAATCAATATATATAAAACTCTGAATGAGAAAACATTACTTTCCCATTCTGATAATGGATCAATGGATAAGAGAGTGAAAAAAATAGTTTCCCTCCGAGTACATTATCCATTCACCTCCCATAAGAAAACAACAAAAAATATAATCTCGAAATCAACTCAACTCGAGGGACTAACAAGGGATTTGCTTGGTTGATTTTCTCATGTTTTTATTCAGTGGTAGTTAATTCCGGAATTGTGGTAAACAATCAACGTGAAATATTAACCATCATGATTAAAAATCATTTGCAACTTTGTGTTTACATCAATTTACTATCAAAGTCCGGTTATGATCATGATGATGATTGTTTATAAATCTCTTACCTTGTATCTCAATTGAACTTGCGGCTCCACCACCCACTCCAATTCTGTATACAGGTCCACCGATTTTAGTGACCAACATACCTTGGGATGGACTATTTTTATCACAAAACTTATCCTCAATCGATCCAATTCCACCGCTGAACATGATCGGCTTGATCCATTCCCATCGTTCACCTTTTCATATCAAAAGATAAACAGAGAGAGAGAGAGAGAGAGAGAGATTATCATTAATGCTCTTGATAAGTTATTCGATATTCTTAAAGTTTGACCATTGGAGTTAATTACCATTGGCTAATCTCATTCCAAATGATCTCGCAAATCCGGTGATCACTGGCTCACCAAATTTGTTACCATAATCAGAGGCTCCATTTGAAGCTTCAATTGCGATTTCCAAAGGTTTAGCAAAATTATTTGGATAAACTTCCGATGGCGATTCCCAATCGAGCTGATAACCAGGAATTAGTAAATTACCAAACGAGTAACCAGCAGTTCCGGCAATTACATGAGCACCTCGACCAGTTGCTTGGACATCACGAATACGACCTCCAGTACCTTTTAAATTGTTCATCCCGAAATTTAGGTGAAAACGAGAAACAATTAAATTCAATTGTATGATCATCGACAGAAACAATAATCCATCATTCTGATAATTAATTCACATTGACAACAATTTATCAATTGTTAATCATTACTAGTACTGAAAATCATCAAACTTACTATTATTATTTAGAAACATGAAATATAAACATTATCATTGCCCAATGAGTTATGATCTTATTATTGTAATTTAGTGATTGTAATCAATAAATTATCATTACAAACAATTAAATCTTTACCTTAATCAAAATAATCTTTCAATTAATCAAACCAAACAATCAAATATTGAAAAATTCATTGACAAGATTTTTACAATTTTCGCTTCTCAAATCATTTGATTGTTGTTGTTTTTTAATTTAGTTTCTTGTTGATTGAAAAGTTTAATTGCTTAATTTGACACTTGATTACTATATTGTCTGTGCTTAGTTAATTGTAAATGGTTAATTAAGCTTGATCACTAATTTTTGTAACCATTTTTTGATTTTAATTTAAAGTTGAAAGTGTAACAATTTAAACAGTTGAACTAAATTTTTACTTATTAAATTTTTGGATAAAATTGTTTAATTTTTTAAACTAAATTGTGTCACAATTAAGCTAATTTTCATCCCCGTAAGGTTTAATTGTCAATCAATATCCTACGGATTAACTGTTAATTAATCAAATTGTTGGAGATTAACTAAAGAAGAAGAAGAAGAAAATTAAAAGTTAACCAAAATACTCCAAATGAAACAATTGAATTAATCAAAATTAGATTACATTTCCATTGACAATTAAGATCAGCAATTAGTTGATTACCTGTTGTGGCTCCTTGGAAAGGTGCAACGCCGGTGGGAAAGTTGTGAGTTTCCGCCGTGAAAACCACGTGGCGAGTTGATTTAGGCTTAATTGTCACTTCTGATGATTGGGACGATTCCTTTGGTACCATAATATGTAAATCATTAAATCCCTTAATTGCTGATGAATTATCACTAAAAGCAATTATGTTATTAGGATTAGAATTGATTTGAGTTTCCTTAATCATCTTAAATAGATTGGTTTCCATTTGTTTACCATCGATAATCAATTTACCCTGTAAACATATGAGATGATCACAATTGACAATTAGATTAAATTTAATCATTGTTGTTTCATTTTCCATCTTTAATTGTGATCAGAGATGTTCCAACAAAGAAACTGTTACAATTTCAATCATCTTACCTAATAATTGACTCTAATTGTCAACAATTAACTTTTTCCTGAGCTTCAAGTTGTGTTATTAATCCTAATCTAATCTGGATTAAGTGATTCTCTCTCAATCTCACTAATCTTCATCACTTTGAGCCTCAAATCATCATTTTTGATTAAATTATAATTAAAAAAGTTTTAATTGCTTTCAAATTTTGTTGATAACAAGATTAAAATCAACTATTAATAAAATGAAATTCAATTAATCAATGAGTGAAAATTGTTGATTAAGTTGAAATAATTTCAATGATTAATTTTAATTGTTATTAATTGTCGCCTTAATTGTAAATTGTTAAACTTTTTTACTCGGTAAACAATTAATCCAGGTTAATCAAATTTCATCCGCAAGCAATTAACAAAATATCAAATCTATTTTTACCTTAATCATATTAATTGTTGATGATAAACTAATAAAAGTTTCACAAATTAACTGGATTAAAAATTGTTAATCTGTTGATTGATTTAAATTGTTACTAGTACAACAATTAAACCAGATTTACTTATATAATTAACTTAATCAACAGAAAAATTCATTCATTTATTTGTTTCAATATTTTAACCAAATTATAATTGCTACAATTAACTAATTTGTGTATCAAATTATTAAAATTAAACAAATTTAAAATTCAATGAATTAATTTTACAAATTGTTGATTAACTGATTGAATTATTATTAATTAAAACTTCCTGTTAATTGTAAAATAAAGTGTTGCAATTACACAATTTGTTTATTGATCAACCTGATTACAATTAAATCAGTTAAATTGTTTTAAATAACATTTAACTATTTCCTTTCATCACTCAGACTCATCTAACCTCAAGCAATTGACTTAATCAACGAGTGAAATTAAATCAGATCTTAATCACAATTAGCAGACACAAACAAATCAAAGTTAATAACAATTAACGATTAACCCTTTTCATTGACTGAGAAAGTTTAAATTACCCTCAAGCAATTAACCTTTTAATTTTTGTTTGTTGATAATTTGTTGACTCAATTAACTTTTTCTATCAACACAATCATCCTAATCACAATCAGATTAACTCTTTAATATCATTAATTAGTTAAATCATCAAGTTAATCATCATAATTAATAATATATTTTTGCCTTTTCTGTCAAAATTTGTATTCAATTTTAATATCCAAAGTGTCACCAACAACTCAAGTTAATTAATTGTCAATCTTAAAATAAAATCAAACAATTAAGATTAGTAATTAGATTGTAAACAATTTTCCTTAACCTTGATTAACCTAGTAAACAATTAAATTAAAAGTTGATCAACAATTTAAGAGTCTTGATTGAGTTAAACTTTTTTTTTCAAATTTTGATTCCAATTTTGATCATCAGACAACATTAAACTTTTAATTGTTAACTAATTAATTGATTATATGATAATAATCAATTGAAAATGATACAGGAACCTCATCATCATCATCATCATCTTAATTAAGACAAAAATCATTAACTACAATTAACTAAATTAATCGTTTTTAATTTAACTTATTTATTTCCTTATTATTGAACTAGAAACACTGAAAGAAACAGTTAATCAACAGCAAATTTACAATTAACCAACAATTAAACATCCCAATAAATGATAAAACAAACAGTAAGTAAGTTTAATCAGTTGATTACAATTGTAATTAACGTAATTGTGAAATGATTAAATATTATTATTGATTAAAATGAACAAAATTTCAACCAAAAAATAAAAGTTCAATCAATCATATTAAACCAGAAAAAAAAGGTTAATCAACAATCAGATTAAAATTGGTAATCTGATGATCGTGATTAAGAGCTTGATTACATGAAAAAATTAACCAATTAATTAGTTGAAATTCAAAAAAAAAATTAATATTAAATTGTTGCTTTTAAAGGATAAACAAACTAATATGAAAAGTTAATTGTAATCAAAAAAGGATCACAAGTTAAATCAACAAGTCTCACCAAAGTGATTACTCAATAAACTTGAACAATTAAACATTTTATCAAATAGAAACTATTAATTGTGATAATCAACTGTTGATAATAACGATAATGATAAGAGAAGATGATTAACTTTAATTGTCGATAGTGAAAACTTACCCTGAAGAACCAATGTCTCGAGTGTTCAGAATTTGATTGAGCTAAATCAAAGCATTCGACGGAAGTTGGATTTCGTTTAATGTCCGTTTTGAACATTTTCGTATAATAGTCAAGGTCCCAATCGTCAAACGATAATCCCATTTGATCATTAATCGCAACGAGAGCCTCCTTTCCCTTTCCAAGTATATCGACCACTGTCCAGTCTTTACCAGTAGATTTACCTGAGCTCGAAGTGAAAATATTTTTACCTGTAAATTGGTATCTTTGTTGGGTCATCCGATCATGTAAACAACTGACCAATTGTTTTTCCAATTTCTCATTCATTTGTCCCTGATCATTGAGACAGAGAAATATCAATAATCAGTTAATCTTTTAGTGGATTTCAATTTCTCTGACAATTGGTTGGGATTAGTTAATTACCTTTTCATAATGGATTAAGTAAAGGGTTGTCCTTTCCACCCTGTTGACCTTTAACCCGAGAGAGGTAAAAATAGCCACTGCATTTGATGAATAGGGTGAAGCAAAATTAAGTAAAGGTCCAATCTCAATGAGAAGAGCATCTTGACCATTGGCCTTTGACCGTAAATTTGATTTAACTGTTAACTTATCGGTAAATGAAGTTGATCCCAAAACCCATTCCAATGTTGCCTTATCTTTATCACCCAAAGAAGCTGAAACAATCAAATGAAAACAGGTACACAATTAAGAGACAAAACAATTAGATTTAATTACTTACCTGAACAATTAACATAGTAACATGTTTCCGTTTCAATGTTGGTAACAATTGAGCTTAATTGTTGTAACTTTTTCAAAACAATTAAACTTTTAGATTGAGACAAAGCTGAATCTTTATAATATTGCAGTGAGCACATTGTAATCAGTTGATTACGATGATGAAATAATCACAATTAGTATGTAAATTGTTTCAATCAATTGTTTTGGTGAACAAAAAAAAAGAAGAAAAAAAATCAACAAGATGAAGATGAGACATGAAAGTGATACTTTTTACTTATTTCTCTTCATCTTTGGAAGATAATTCAATGATGATAAGATGATGAAGATGATTTTCTCTCTCTCTCTCTCTCTCTCTCTCTATCACTAATATTTATTGATTGTAAATAAACTGAAGTGAGTTAATTGATTGCAATCAAAATAAACAGATGAATATATTGGAAGATGATAACAATTAGTATTAATTGCTATCTATCAATTGACTTTGATTTTCCTAACGAAATTGATTATCTTCAATTTGATGATAATTATTGATTAACTATCTTGTTAATCTAATTGATTATCATACCCACCACGAAGTGAGATGATGATTAAAAGGGGGAAGAATCATAATTAATCCTCTTATCATTAATCTAGTGATACTTGTTAACATTGATTGGATTAAATTGTTTAATCAAGTTAATCAGTTGATTTAAAATAATTGATTGTTTATCACTTGTAAAGGTGAGTCCAAGTGGTGATGATGAAGATGATTATCATCATGAGAGTGTGATGATGATTTAATTGATGAAATGATCTTTCACCTTTTCCAATTAATTGATTTTCTAGAATTCTAATGATTAATTGTCATGATATTTGGTGAATTGATTTTAAATTGTTGATATTTTCCAGATCATTATTATTCATACGATTGCTGGCTATTCTTGTTAATTATACTCTTAATTGTTGTTAATTATTAACCGGAAATATCATTCACTAGACAGTTTATCTATTGGTTGATTTATCAGAGAAAAAGGTTTTTTAATTGTTACCAAAACAATTAATTGTAATCATAAACTTTTCTCTCTTTTCTTAAATTGTTGTTCTTGTTGTTATAACGGAAATACACAAACTTATTATGATAACAATTAACTTAATCATTATGTTTCCGGACAAATGGTTCACGTTATTAATAGTTGATGGTTCATGATTTACTTGATTAAAGGTAAATTATGTTTATCTCATTAAATTGTTATTGATCAATTTTCTAATTGTAACCAACTAGTTTTTGTACAACTTGTACAATTAGTATTGATATTAAGGATTAGTTTAATTGCTCAGTTAGTACGTTAGTTGGTTAATTGTCATTCTGATCACAAATTCAATCAAATTGTTGATTAAATTTATGATTATCAGGAAATAGATTTAGTTTTTATCTAGTTTAAGGTCAGTTGAGGCCAATTTTAGATTCATTTGAGTTTGATTTCAATTCATTCAATTAACTATCAATGATTTTAAATGATCACAATTAAGCAAAGACAAACTAATTACTCCATGTGAATTTTTTTGGTGTATAACAATTTGAATTTTATTATATTATTATTACAATTAAATATTAAATCAATAAAATAACAAGTTGATTAGAAATACAAAAAAACATTTACAATTGATGAGTTTCTGTTAATTTAGTTTGTGGTGAGAATGTAAATTGTGACAATTAAGTATTAGAATTGTGAAACATTTTATTAATTATCTGTAAAGAGAGGATTAAATTGATTAGTTGTTAATTGTTACACGTTTTGTCTTGTTAATTGTTGATTAATAAGCTTACCTTTAAGTTGAGGTTGAACAGAATTCACTTTGATTCTGATTGTTAATCAAATAAATGAATTTTGATTCTCAAGCAATAAATAATCATTGATGATCATAAGTCGATTGTTAATAATTAACACGATACTTAGGCCTCGTTTCCAGCCAGATGATGCGACAAATCAAGGAAACAATTGTCAACAATTAAGTTGGACAACTGTTAACGGGAAGAGTAACAATAATGATCGATGTAATTAAGAAATTAATTTCTTATCCTTTGCTATTTAATTCAAGTCAATTGAATTGAAATTGACTGAAGATGAATTAGTAAAACAATTAGTATTATATGTACAGCATAAGCGACCATTCTGTTGATTGTGGAAAAATGAAAGGGAACAATTAGTTAATTGTGGTTGTGCAATTTTAGCCTATGTGATTTAGTTAACGTGCAAAGCGGAGTGAGATAATGATAAGCGATATATGTGCTTAATTAAGGAGGAAATGTGCGCGATTATGTTTGATTTAATTGCTCGATTGTTTTACTAATATAATTTAATTGAATATTTTTATTAATGTTTTTGATTAGTTGATGTTTCGAGTGTTATATTTGTGCCAACAATCAACATAAGGTTAACATATTCTGGTGACAGTTTGTTAATGATGGTAATTAGGGTCTACCTCAATGCCCCAATAGTTGTGGTAATGGTTTAGTTATAAATATGTTGCAGTTTAAATTGTTACAATTAAAATAATAAACAAAAGAGCAAAAATGATCAAACTTAATTGTGATAAAAAGCAAATGCAAGCAAATGATAAGATGCAAATAAAAAGGCAAAGGATAAATCATGCAAATTCAATCAATGATTAACTTGATTGTTGTTGGAGTGCAAATGACAGGCAATTTAAAATACGTGCTATTCAAATGATTGTTGTTTGTGATTCTGTTTTTGTTGTTGTGCAATAGCAATGAGATTATGTGAATAACGTGCATTTAAATTATGATTATGATAAAAGGATTAATTGATTACCCATGATAATTATTATTATTATTATTTTCATATCTCATAAATGACGATGCTGATGATGAGGTTAATTGATTAATTGTTTGAGCTGATTGTTGACTGGATGTTAACTGGATTAAATTGTTAATGTTAAATTGATTGGGAAGACACAACAATTGATACAAATGAACAAACAATTGACAATTTAAATTAAAATGATACAAATCAAACATGAGACAAATGCATAAGAAGAAAGAAAAAAAAGAAAAAAAAAGAGAAATTAAATGTTAATCATTTGATTACAAGTTGACAATTGACAATTAAGGATTAGGTTGTGAGGAGAAAGAAGAATCAAAGTTGATTGTTTATTGTTTGGTTTCCATGAGAATTGAAAAGATTATCATTGATCATTAAGGTAGAAAATTCGAAGTGAAAGTGGAAAGGACGAGGCAGAAGAGAAGAGTAAGAGAGAGAGAGAGAGAGAGAGATTTCAAGGTGAATAACACATAACATAGAGATGATTCATTCGAAATCATAATTCGTATTTATGGTGATCAATTAATTATTCATTCGGATTTTCCATTCACTTGACCGACTATATTTTCATCTCATTAAATTTACTTGTTTACTTTTCGATAATTTCACTCAATCCAATTGCTAAAAGCGATAAACTTGCGATTTGTTTACATTTGGAATTTAATATGGAGAAAAAAACTAATAAATCGCCTCAAGACTTTTCGAGTTAATAATTTTTCTTGTTTGTTTGTTTACTTTTTACTACGAAATTATTATTCATAATTGTATTTAGTTGGTCAGTACTCGGATCTCTCAGTGGTCATTATGATAATTGTTGTTTTTATTTATGTTCCGAGTTAATAGAAGTAGAAGTGTATCAAAGGATAGAGATTATTGTAAATAGAAAAGAAATAGAAATGGATCAAGATCAATATGAAGAAGAGAAAAGAAGAGAAAAGGAAAGAAAAAAAACTAATCTCATTTACCTTTTTTTTCGATATTAGACACTATTCTCTCTCTCTCTCTCTTTCTTTTCTCTGTTTTTCTCTATGAACATTTGCTCGTGAATCGATTTGAGGTCAAAATGTGCATTTCGACCCAATTTGTTTCTTCGATTCTAAATACTAACAAACATAACGGATAAGAGAATCGAAAAAAGGAAAAGAAAAAAATTCTAATAGAGAAAGTTTTTTCTCTCTCTTTTTTATTATTCGTCTGATACCAAACACATTGCGATTAATGAATGTAACTGTTTGATTGAATATGAGGGAGAGATGAGATGAGATGATGAGGATAAAGATGATTAGAAGTAAAGGTAAATTAATAGAAAGAAGAAAAAAGAGGATGGAAGGGGAATAATCGTAACAATAGATCACTTATACAGTAAAAAGAGGGGAAGAAACAGATGCTTATGGAGGATGAAGATGAAGAAAGAAAGAGAGAAAGAGAGAGAGAGGACGATGAGAATGTGGTGCTAGTACCAGGTGAAGAGAAAGACATTGGCACGAGCCACAGTTACACTTACTTTCTCTTCTCTTAGAAAAAAAGAAAGAATAAGAAAAAAGAGAGAAAAGAACAGAAAGAAAGAGGAAGAAAGAGAAGGTAAATGCGCGTGACGCGTGTTCAGAGTCACCGGTAGTTTTAATGCTTCTGAAACACGCGACACGCGTACGATGATAAGAGAGAAGAGGATAACACCTTGTGGTCGATGGTATACAAGGGAGAGAACGAAAGATAGAAGAGAGAGAGAAATAGAGAGAGCGATTGTCTCCCTCTCTCTTTGGATGAAGATAAGGGACAAGGATGATAAAAGGAAGAAGAAAAGAAGAGGGAAAATATTTCATCAATTTTCGTCCAATTCGAAGACTTAAAAATTAATAAAATCCTTTTTTCTTCTCTTTCCTTTTGTTTTGTTCACTTACTTTACATTTACAATTAGCACAAGGATCTTTTCCAATTACAATTTGTTGATCATTTGCATATAATTTACCAAGATACATACAACCAGATGATAGACTTGAGTTAATTGAGATTCCAGGTTTGATTAGATTGTCAAATGAATTGTGATTATCTAAACCATCAATATAATCACCACAAGGATCATCACCACAATAAGGGCAACAATCATCAGCAGATTTAATTGGATTTGAGCATTTTATTGGTGGACAATCAATATCGCGACATTTTGATTCACCAAACTATCAATGAATTTAAATTCAAAAGTCGAAAAGAGAGAGAGAGAGAGAGAGTAATTAGTTAATTTTGATAATTATGATTATGAATGAATTTAACCTTACCAAACATTGACAGGATTTACATTTGGATAACCAAGTTTGTCCATTTTTATATTTAATTGTTTCGTCCAATTGATCAACACAATCAATTGACTTTTTACACTCAGGACAACATTGAAATCAATTGAATCATTTGTTGTTGTTGTTGAATTACAATTACATTGTCTTTTTGAACAATTAGTTACTCCAAATGAACATGAACATTGGAAACAAGAATCAAACTCTGAATCCCATTTAGATCCATGTAATCGTCTTAATCCATTGACAACACAATCTCTTGAACATGAAGAGTCCAGAGAAGAAGATGAAGAAGATGAAGGTGATGAGGAAGAAGATGATGGAGATGATGAAGATGAAGATGGACATTGACATTCATATCCACCTTCAGTATTGACACATATTCTTTCCTCATTACAAGTATCTACTCTTGTATTACATTCATTTAAATCAACGCATTTCAGTTGATCATGATTAGAATCACTTTTGTCTATGTAACTTGTATAACCATCTAAACATTGACAATAATACCAACCCGGTTTATTGATACACTTTGAATTGGATGGACATTCATGTAAATTCAATGAACATTCATCGATATCTTTTTCACAATATTTCCCATGAAATCCTCGTTTACAAAGACATTTATCTGGTCCAATACATTTACCACCATTGGCACATTTCTTATTACAGATCGCTGATGGAGATTAGAATTGGACATTAGAGATCAGAGTAGAAAAGAAAAAAAAGAAAAAAGAAAAAAAAAAAAAGAAAAAAGAAAACAAAACTCACGTTGACAATTAAAACCATCGCCAGTGAATCCATGTAAACATAAACACGAATAATTACCATGAGTGTTGATACATTTACTATTTTCATTGCATTTGTGTTCATTTGTCGCACATTCATCAATATCAAGACAATTAAGTGAATCTCGTCGTCGGAATCCAGGTAAACATTGACAATAATAGGAACCATTTGTATTGACACATTTAGTATTATCTCTACATAGATTTCCTCATTCCACCCAATGAATTGCATTCGTTTATATCAGAACACAATCGTCCGTCTCCCCAATACCCATCGGCACATTTACAGGTGAATCCAGTCTTTAAATTGATACAATTCGCATTAGAATGACAATCGTGTCCATTGCCACAGAAATCGGTGTCCACACAATACTTGCAACATTCACCATCAGCCTTGAACTGCTTCTCAACTGGACACTCTAATCGTGGACAATAACTCAATGGATTCAACCTCTTACACCGCAGTGACCCTTCATAACAAACGCACTTGACACAGTCTTTCACGTAGACATCGTTATGTTCAATGTACTTTCCATCTTTGAGACACTTTTTGTGACAAATTGGACAACAATCAGTCGCTGATGCGAAATACAAGGAACTTGCCTTACAATTGACCGGCGAATCACATTTCATTGGGGAACAATTAATTACTCCATGATCACAGAAACAATTTGAACAATTGCTAATCCATTTAGATGAATGTACAACACTAGATCCATTTGATAATAAACAATTTTCTCTCTCTCTTTCTCTCTCTCCTTCTCTCTCTCCTTTTCTCTCTTTTCTCTCTCCTTTTCTCTCTTCTCTCTCTCTTTCTCTCTCCACCTCTAATTGGAGTTTAATTTGATTCTCACTCTTATAATTACTATTGATACATTTACAATCATCTTCTACTCGAGATAATCGTAATTCAGTTTGGTGCAATTGGATAGTCAAATTTTTCACATAATCTTCAAGTTCACTGATTGACTCTTTTAGATTTACAATTCCAATTTCAACACAATTAACCAAATTATCATCACTAATCAATGATGATATTATTATTGCTAATAATAATAGAGATGATCGCAATAAATTAATCACATTCATTGTGATGAAAATTATGAAAATGATGATGATGATGATGAGATTGGTGATGATCAATATTAACAATCATCTTGTTGGTGTCACAAAATCATATCTTTCAACACAATTAGTTGATTGTGAATGAAAAATGAATAAAAACTCAATATAATCCATTGCAAGTCCACTAATCATCAAATTCGCGATATTAATAATATTTTAATATGATAACATGAAACAATTGTTTCGATAACAAACAAACAAAATTAACTTGATCTCTTTCAACTTGATACCAAACATCAATTGCTAATATAAAAAGTAAAGTGAGAGATTTTCACTCGTACAAGAAGATAAACAGAGGGAGAGATCCTGATGGTGATGATGATGATGAGTATGCGCTCTATCCAGGTAACAATAATAATACTCATCATCATCATCATCAACATCATTATTGGCACGTACTTAAAACGCGTGTTTATGTTTCTCCTTAACAAACGTTACTGTTATTTTCTTACATATTAACATACATCATTTATTATCACTGACAAACAACAGTATCGATTAATACTATCAACTATTAATAATAATCAAGAAACAAAAACAACAATTAACCAACCAAATCAACCATCATCTATTACTATTATCATCCATAATCAACAATTATCATCATCATCATTATCAATGATCATATGTTACAAAATATGTTTACTATCCAATAGTCTCTCCAATTAAATATTTTTTTGAGCTGGTTATCCTCTAATGGTCAATGATTTCACCGAGAGTTCCCAGATGAGTGACATCTTGATTATTACACAAGATTTGACAATACTCTGAATCAATCTGACGAGGAGACGTTAAGCTGAATGAGATGATAATGATCCTGATGAAGAGAATTGTGTACATGGCATTTCAACTTCATTTTATGCACATTTATGAAGGTTATTCCGAACTTTTTTGGACTATGAAGGTCAAACCTCAGACAGATACATTTCATAATTGAATAACTTCTCATCATACTATATTTAGAGATCATTTGATCATCAAATGTTCGACTTGAATCACGTAAATATTAGGTATCTACATACAATGTAAGTAATGTCGTTTTTTAGTTACCGTTCACTCGTTGGACAATTTCTTGGAAATCGACGATTAGTTAATTGTGAAAATTTTAAAATTGGAAGATTAAGGAAGGTCACTTCGAAAATTTGATATCAGAAACGAAGAAAAGGTTGGTTTAGATTAATTAATAAATTAGAGAAATTAATCGCTAGAATATAATAACATTTATAGCACTTTGAAGCCAAATGTTCAACTAATCAATGTTAGTTTTTTTTTGTAATTTATTATCAACTAATTTTCGAAAAATCAAAATTGCGTCAAACCAATCAAAAAATGACATTACTTATGTGGATACAAAATATTTTTTGCAATTCAAAGAGAAAGTGAATCTAAAACATATCATGAAATCATAGATTGTAAGGAGTCAGATCACTTTTGACATGATTTTCTCAATTTGCTCTACGAGTTATAACCACGTGATTTTCTTTCTGATGGAAAATTATGCAGAAAAATATTTCGGTGATCTTGAATATGAAAGTGTAAAAAGTTAACAGTTCAACACGATTTACGTCACTTTACACTATCACTGCTTATTATATATTCAAATTTAGAAATCTCCGTTGTTTGAACTGATATTGAGAATATCCGAAACTTTGATGACCGGGGCGGAAGACCGGAGACGACCAAACTCGTCCAATCATTAAAGGAAAAGGGTTACACTTTGTTACAATTTATCGACTTGGATCCAGCTCGAAAAAATATTTAATTGGAGAGACTATTGGATAGTAAACATATTTTGTAACATATGATCATTGATAATGATGATGATGATGATAATTGTTGATTATGGATGATAATAGTAATAGATGATGGTTGATTTGGTTGGTTAATTGTTGTTTTTGTTTCTTGATTATTATTAATAGTTGATAGTATTAATCGATACTGTTGTTTGTCAGTGATAATAAATGATGTATGTTAATATGTAAGAAAATAACAGTAACGTTTGTTAAGGAGAAACATAAACACGCGTTTTAAGTACGTGCCAATAATGATGTTGATGATGATGATGATGAGTATTATTATTGTTACCTGGATAGAGCGCATACTCATCATCATCATCATCACCATCACCACCATCAGGATCTCTCCCTCTGTTTATCTTCTTGTACGAGTGAAAATCTCTCACTTTACTTTTTATATTAGCAATTGATGTTTGGTATCAAGTTGAAAGAGATCAAGTTAATTTTGTTTGTTTGTTATCGAAACAATTGTTTCATGTTATCATATTAAAATATTATTAATATCGCGAATTTGATGATTAGTGGACTTGCAATGGATTATATTGAGTTTTTATTCATTTTTCATTCACAATCAACTAATTGTGTTGAAAGATATGATTTTGTGACACCAACAAGATGATTGTTAATATTGATCATCACCAATCTCATCATCATCATCATCATTTTCATCATTTTCATCACAATGAATATGATTAATTTATTGCGATCATCTCTATTATTATTAGCAATAATAATATCATCATTGATTAGTGATGATAATTTGGTTGTTAATTGTGTTGAAATTGGAATTGTAAATCTAAAAGAGTCAATCAGTGAACTTGAAGATTATGTGAAAAATTTGACTATCCAATTGCACCAAACTGAATTACGATTATCTCGAGTAGAAGATGATTGTAAATGTATCAATAGTAATTATAAGAGTGAGAATCAAATTAAACTCCAATTAGAGGTGGAGAGAAAAGGAGAGAGAGAAAGAGAGAGAGAAAATTGTTTATTATCAAATGGATCTAGTGTTGTACATTCATCTAAATGGATTAGCAATTGTTCAAATTGTTTCTGTGATCATGGAGTAATTAATTGTTCCCCAATGAAATGTGATTCGCCGGTCAATTGTAAGGCAAGTTCCTTGTATTTCGCATCAGCGACTGATTGTTGTCCAATTTGTCACAAAAAGTGTCTCAAAGATGGAAAGTACATTGAACATAACGATGTCTACGTGAAAGACTGTGTCAAGTGCGTTTGTTATGAAGGGTCACTGCGGTGTAAGAGGTTGAATCCATTGAGTTATTGTCCACGATTAGAGTGTCCAGTTGAGAAGCAGTTCAAGGCTGATGGTGAATGTTGCAAGTATTGTGTGGACACCGATTTCTGTGGCAATGGACACGATTGTCATTCTAATGCGAATGTATCAATTTAAAGACTGGATTCACCTGTAAATGTGCCGATGGGTATTGGGGAGACGGACGATTGTGTTCTGATATAAACGAATGCAATTCATTGGGTGGAATGGGAGAAATCTATGTAGAGATAATACTAAATGTGTCAATACAAATGGTTCCTATTATTGTCAATGTTTACCTGGATTCCGACGACGAGATTCACTTAATTGTCTTGATATTGATGAATGTGCGACAAATGAACACAAATGCAATGAAAATAGTAAATGTATCAACACTCATGGTAATTATTCGTGTTTATGTTTACATGGATTCACTGGCGATGGTTTTAATTGTCAACGTGAGTTTTGTTTTCTTTTTCTTTTTCTTTTTCTTTTTCTTTTTCTTTTCTGATCTCTAATGTCCAATTCTAATCTCCCATTCATCTCCATCAGCGATCTGTAATAAGAAATGTGCCAATGGTGGTAAATGTATTGGACCAGATAAATGTCTTTGTAAACGAGGATTTCATGGGAAATATTGTGAAAAAGATATCGATGAATGTTCATTGAATTTACATGAATGTCCATCCAATTCAAAGTGTATCAATAAACCGGGTTGGTATTATTGTCAATGTTTAGATGGTTATACAAGTTACATAGACAAAAGTGATTCTAATCATGATCAACTGAAATGCGTTGATTTAAATGAATGTAATACAAGAGTAGATACTTGTAATGAGGAAAGAATATGTGTCAATACTGAAGGTGGATATCAATGTCAATGTCCATCTTCTTCCTCATCTTCCTCATCTTCCTCATCATCTTCATCTTCTTCTCTGGACTCTTCATGTTCAAGAGATTGTGTTGTCAATGGATTAAGACGATTACATGGATCTAAATGGGATTCAGAGTTTGATTCTTGTTTCCAATGTTCATGTTCATTTGGAGTAACTAATTGTTCAAAAAGACAATGTAATTGTAATTCAACAACAACAACAAATGATTCAATTGATTTCAATTGTTGTCCTGAGTGTAAAAAGTCAATTGATTGTGTTGATCAATTGGACGAAACAATTAAATATAAAAATGGACAAACTTGGTTATCCAAATGTAAATCCTGTCAATGTTTGGTAAGGTTAAATTCATTCATAATCATAATTATCAAAATTAACTAATTACTCTCTCTCTCTCTCTCTTTTCGACTTTTGAATTTAAATTCATTGATAGTTTGGTGAATCAAAATGTCGCGATATTGATTGTCCACCAATAAAATGCTCAAATCCAATTAAATCTGCTGATGATTGTTGCCTTATTGTGGTGATGATCCTTGTGGTGATTATATTGATGGTTTAGATAATCACAATTCATTTGACAATCTAATCAAACCTGGAATCTCAATTAACTCAAGTCTATCATCTGGTTGTATGTATCTTGGTAAATTATATGCAAATGATCAACAAATTGTAATTGGAAAAGATCCTTGTGCTAATTGTAAATGTAAAGTAAGTGAACAAAACAAAAGGAAAGAGAAGAAAAAAGGATTTTATTAATTTTTAAGTCTTCGAATTGGACGAAAATTGATGAAATATTTTCCCTCTTCTTTTCTTCTTCCTTTTATCATCCTTGTCCCTTATCTTCATCCAAAGAGAGAGGGAGACAATCGCTCTCTCTCTCTCTCTCTTTCTCTCTCTCTCTTCTATCTTTCGTTCTCTCCCTTGTATACCATCGACCACAAGGTGTTATCCTCTTCTCTCTTATCATCGTACGCGTGTCGCGTGTTTCAGAAGCATTAAAACTACCGGTGACTCTGAACACGCGTCACGCGCATTTACCTTCTCTTTCTTCCTCTTTCTTTCTGTTCTTTTTTTCTCTTTTTTCTTATTCTTTCTTTTTTCTAAGAGAAGAGAAAGTAAGTGTAACTGTGGCTCGTGCCAATGTCTTTCTCTTCACCTGGTACTAGCACCACATTCTCATCGTCATCTCTCTCTCTCTCTTTCTCTCTCTTTCTTTCTTCATCTTCATCCTCCATAAGCATCTGTTTCTTCCCCTCTTTTTACTGTATAAGTGATCTATTGTTACGATTATTCCCCTTCCATCCTCTCTTTTCTTCTTTCTATTAATTTACCTTTACTTCTAATCATCTTTATCCTCATCATCTCATCTCATCTCTCCCTCATATTCAATCAAACAGTTACATTCATTAATCGCAATGTGTTTGGTATCAGACGAATAATAAAAAAGAGAGAGAAAAAACTTTCTCTATTAGAATTTTTTTTCTTTTCCTTTTTTCGATTCTCTTATCCGTTATGTTTGTTAGTATTTAGAATCGAAGAAACAAATTGGGTCGAAATGCACATTTTGACCTCAAATCGATTCACGAGCAAATGTTCATAGAGAAAAACAGAGAAAAGAAAGAAAGAAAGAGAGAGAGAGAAAAGTGTCTAATATCGAAAAAAAAGGTAAATGAGATTAGTTTTTTTTCTTTCCTTTTCTCTTCTTTTCTCTTCTTCATATTGATCCATTTCTATTTCTTTTTCTATTTACAATAATCTCTATCCTTTGATACACTTCTACTTCTATTAACTCGGAACATAAATAAAAACAACAATTATCATAATGACCACTGAGAGATCCGAGTACTGACCAACTAAATACAATTATGAATAATAATTTCGTAGTAAAAAGTAAACAAACAAACAAGAAAAATTATTAACTCGAAAAGTCTTGAGGCGATTTATTAGTTTTTTTCTCCATATTAAATTCCAAATGTAAACAAATCGCAAGTTTATCGCTTTTAGCAATTGGATTGAGTGAAATTATCGAAAAGTAAACAAGTAAATTTAATGAGATGAAAATATAGTTGGTCAAGTGAATGGAAAATCCGAATGAATAATTAATTGATCACCATAAATACGAATTATGATTTCGAATGAATCATCTCTATGTTATGTGTTATTCACCTTGAAATCTCTCTCTCTCTCTCTCTCTCTCTCTCTCTCTCTCTCTTACTCTTCTCTTCTGCCTCGTCCTTTCCACTTTCACTTCGAATTTTCTACCTTAATGATCAATGATAATCTTTTCAATTCTCATGGAAACCAAACAATAAACAATCAACTTTGATTCTTCTTTCTCCTCACAACCTAATCCTTAATTGTCAATTGTCAACTTGTAATCAAATGATTAACATTTAATTTCTCTTTTTTTTTTTTCTTTCTTCTTATGCATTTGTCTCATGTTTGATTTGTATCATTTTAATTTAAATTGTCAATTGTTTGTTCATTTGTATCAATTGTTGTGTCTTCCCAATCAATTTAACATTAACAATTTAATCCAGTTAACATCCAGTCAACAATCAGCTCAAACAATTAATCAATTAACCTCATCATCAGCATCGTCATTTATGAGATATGAAAATAATAATTATCATGGGTAATCAATTAATCCTTTTATCATAATCATAATTTAAATGCACGTTATTCACATAATCTCATTGCTATTGCACAACAACAAAAACACAAACAGAATCACAAACAACAATCATTTGAATAGCACGTATTTTAAATTGCTTGTCATTTGCACTCCAACAACAACAATCAAGTTAATCATTGATTGAATTTGCATGATTTATCCTTTGCCTTTTTATTTGCATCTTATCATTTGCTTGCATTGACTTTTTATCACAATTAAGTTTGATCATTTTTGCTCTTTTGTTTATTATTTTAATTGTAACAATTTATTTCATTTTAAACTGCAACATATTTATAACTGAACCATTACCACAACTATTGGGGTATTGAGGTATTGAGGTAAATCCTAATCATCATTTTCATCTTCATCTTCATCTTCATCTCATCCTCATTATCATCATCATCATATTTATCATCATCTCATCTTCATCTTCATTAACAAACTGTTGCCAGAATATGTTTACCTTATGTTGATTATTGTTGTTACAATTATGACAACATCAAATACTTTATTGTCACAATAATGACACTCGACACATCAGCTAATCAACTAATCAAAAACACTAATAATCATGTTCAATTAAATTATAGTAGTAATACAATCGAGCAATTAAATCAAACTTAATCACACAAACACACACACACATTTCTTGCTTAATTAAGCACATACATCGCTTATTATTATCACTACACTTCAAGATTATCATTCACTTTGCACGTTTATTTATTCAATCACAATTAATTTTACTTTCGTATAACTAATTAATTATTTGTATCATTACAATTAATCCTAATATTTTCACTTTCTTTTTCTATTCAACCCTTTATATATAATCAACAGAATGGTCGATTATGTTGTACATATAACACTCGTTGTATCGCTAATTTATCAACATCTTCAACCAATTTGAACACAATCAACTCAATAGATTCAAATTAAATCACCTATTCAAAAATGAACAGTTAATTGATGAATCAACCCCAATTGGATAAAAGCAATACCAATGAGTATCAACAAATGGTAAACTTTGATCGTTGAACAATTTAATTGTTGATTCAGTTGATCTAAACTAATGATCATCAATGATTATTTATTGCTTGAGAATCAAAATCCATTTATTTGATTAACAATCAGAATAACTTAAAGGTAAGCTTATTAATCAACAATTAACAAGACAAAACGTGTAACAATTAACAACTAATCAATTTAATCCTCTCTTTACAGATAATTAATAAAATGTTTCACAATTCTAATACTTAATTGTCACAATTTACATTCTCACCACAAACTAAATTAACAGAAACTCATCAATTGTAAATGTTTTTTTTGTATTTCTAATCAACTTGTTATTTTATTGATTTAATATTTAATTGTAATAATAATAAAATTCAAATTGTTATACACCAAAAAATTCACATGGAGTAATTAGTTTGTCTTTGCTTAATTGTGATCATTTAAAATCATTGATAGTTAATTGAATGAATTGAAATCAAACTCAAATGAATCTAAAATTGGCCTCAACTGACCTTAAACTAGATAAAAACTAAATCTATTTCCTGATAATCATAAATTTAATCAACAATTTGATTGAATTTGTGATCAGAATGACAATTAACCAACTAACGTACTAACTGAGCAATTAAACTAATCCTTAATATCAATACTAATTGTACAAGTTGTACAAAAACTAGTTGGTTACAATTAGAAAATTGATCAATAACAATTTAATGAGATAAACATAATTTACCTTTAATCAAGTAAATCATGAACCATCAACTATTAATAACGTGAACCATTTGTCCGGAAACATAATGATTAAGTTAATTGTTATCATAATAAGTTTGTGTATTTCCGTTATAACAACAAGAACAACAATTTAAGAAAAGAGAGAAAAGTTTATGATTACAATTAATTGTTTTGGTAACAATTAAATAACCTTTTTCTTTGATAAATCAACAATTAAGTTATCTAGTGAGTTATATTACCACTTAATCACTAACAATTAGTAAAACAATTGCACAATAACAGGTAAGTTAATTATGAAACTAATTGTTGACTCAAAATTTGATGAATTAAAACCAGAAAGTTGAAAATGATTAATGAAAATGAAACAATTAATAAACCATTTTGCTAACATTATCTAAAATTGAATGATGATGATGAGCAACAAATTTCTGATAGTTAATCACAATCAAGTCTGACAGGAATGATTAATTAATTGCAATTCTTATCAACTTAAATTGTATTAATTATCAATCTCTTAAAACTGATCTCGTTTGAAAATTGAATTGAATATGAAAGTTAATCAAGATAAAAGTTAATTTCTTACTCTCTCTGTTTAAAATTAACTCAAACAGATTAACTAATCAAGTTAATAATCATCATTATTTAGTTAATAACAACACGAAAAGTTAAAGGTAATAATCATAATTAACTTTTAAATTGCAGACAAAATTGTCATGTTATCTAAATAGTAGCATGTTAATCAGTATCTTGATCATCATTTCTCATTCCAATAGAACTGAAATTGCTCCCATGATCATGATACAATCGAATAGCATTAAAAGTGAGAGTTAATTCAGTTCCAGGTAGATAATCAATTTAATCGTCGCGATGATGATTAAATAATGAAAGAGAAACTTTCAATTGATATTGGAAAGGAAGAGAAAAAAATCAAATGGTAAACTTGAAAGAAACAAAAAATTAGCTCAATTGTTGCAATGGTCATTTGATTGATTGTCGTTCACTTGTGGACATAAATGTTGACCCTTGCAAGTGAATCAGTTTGATTGTTATCGTTTAAATTGTTACCTTATCGTTATCAAGATAATCATTTATATCTCGTTCTGGTAAAATGTTTACAAATTGGTTGACCAGTTAACGATAGTTATGTTAATTGCTTTGAGCTACTGACCAGTGGTCATAAATCCTAGTGAAAGGGATTTCGACCTTGTTAAAGTTTCGGAAAGTGTTACCTGACCAACCCTGTATATCTTTGGGTTCATCTGATTGGGATCTAAGGGCAACATTTTGTGACATTTTAATTGTTTCTTTATCATGATTAAAGTTTGACTCTTTTGAAACCCAATCATCATTAACTAACTGTAATTACTTTTAGACCAACAATTTAGTTGTTACCTTAACTCCAATAGATATAAACAATAAATGTATCTAAATATTATCCAAGCAATTAAAGTTTGATCAGTTAATCAACTTTTTAAAAGATCATCTTAACCTTAAAAGCCTGAAACTTTTTCCTTGTAACCAATAAGATGAATCAACGTTAATCACCAACAATTAAAGTTAACCAATAAGAGAGATGTACAGTTATTGTCTTAATTGTTACAAATTGTTCACCATTGATTAAGATTTCAATCAACATCTGATTGTGTCGTTAACAATTAATTAGGAATGAAGATTAACATGAGATATTCACTCTCTCTTCCTTAATTGTTACGATTCTGTTTGTGTGTGTGCCTTAATTGTTGGGTTGTTAATCACCACGTAGGAGGAATGATTAAAAATGATCCAAAGATGATTATAATGATATCGTTAATGATTAAGATGATGTTGAGAGGAAAGAGTTAATTATGATAATACTAATCATCAATAAGCTTTTATCTGTGTTAACCTTTACTCAATTACGATTGATTAAATTGTTGACAGGTTTTAATCAATGCCAATCAACTGATTAACTTAAATACTGATTAGGTTTTGTTGATCACGGTTTTGGTTTCTCTTGATTAACATCACTAACTAACTAATAAGAGATGAACAGATTCTGATGATCATCATCAAGTTTAATTTTTCATTTCTTATTTACTATTTGATTAAAAATTTGTTGGTGTTAAATTTAATTGTTCACAATCAGATTAATCTATTTGATTGGTTTACAACGTAAACTTTTAATTTACTTTGAAAGATTTAGGTTAAATTGTCAAATATATTATTAGAAAAAAAAGTTTCATCAACTGTTTATAATGAAGTTTGTTAATCCAGTTCAGAAATTAATTCAAGATTAAGGATTGTGATTAAGGGGCTGAATTAATTAAACTGTAGATATAACTAATTTCTTAATCTAATTGTTGTAAACAATTAAACTTACCTGATCCTGATGCTGCGATATCCTTGATAATTAATTTTGATTTGGTTGTTAATTGTAGGTCAAAATTTAGTAAACTGTTAATTGCTATACGATTGATTATTTGATTAATCAAATTACAGCCCTGACCCTTAAGCCACCGTAACAATTAGTTAATTAACTAGTGAGTTGATCTAATTTTTTTTTCAATTTCCATTGTTTCCTATTGACTTTATCCTTAGTTATTTATAATTTACAATTAAGATGTTGGTTAATTACTAAATATCATCAAGTAGAGTAAAGTTAATCAATCAATTAATTTGTGGAAAATTTTTCCTGCAATAATTAACCAAATCCATTGTTAGTTAACAAAGTTGTATTGTGTTAATCAACTCATTAAGGTTCATTATCATTATGATGATCATCATTAACCGCATCCACTATTTGATGATTAATGTTAAAATTAACCAGCATCAGTGAGTGATTAACTTGATTATTCAAGAAACTTCATTTTGATCATCATCATCTCATAATTAAGATCACCGTTGATGTTAATTTAATCTAGTTGAAATACAAAATTGATTCTCAACCAAATATTCACAAAATTGATCAAATTGATATTGTCATTAACCTGGAGATTATTATTGATGATGATTAAGTTGATTAAGATTATAATGATGATTATGATTAAATTTGATACAACCTTTGGTTCCTTGTATATTATAATATACAAGGAAGCAATAGTTAACCTAATGAGCTTTGTGATAAAATTGATGATGAAGACGAAGATGAAGATGAAGATGAAGATACCTTGTCTATTGTTATGATGATGATGATGAGAATGAAAATTACTCTTCTCTCTCTCTCGTTTGATGATCTCCTCCTACCTGATGATGACAAAAAGAGTTATAATCATTAAGAGGGCGATGGACATTCGGATATGATGAAGGAAAGATAAACCAAAGGAGTTTAATGTTGATCAGCAAAATTATCGTTTAGCTTAATTCGTGCAATCAAGAAACTGAATCATTTCCTCTTCCTCTATTTACTTTATTATCATATTTATCTTCCTCCTTTTCCTTTTCATCATTTTATCTTTATTGTTACTCTCTCACTTTCTCTATCTCCCACTTAAGGAATAGAAAACATAGTGGACACAATGGTCAAGAAGAGAGAAAGTTTGGAGAAAGTCGATCCACATCTAGGATATTTCGTGGAAGTGAATGAGAGAGAGAGAGAGTTAAGACAGGAAGAGGAAGAGAAAAGTTTATGTCCAAAGAGAAAATCGAAGTAGGATAGAGAAAAAGAAATCACCATTTTCTTTCTTTTTCCATACCTAATCTTTTCTCTATGATGGAAGATGATAAAAGAGTCAATCATCATATTCTTCTCTCTCATCATCATCATCCACCTTTTCAAAGTCAAACACAAAAGCATCAAATACAATGTTTCAAACTGACTGATGATAAGAAAACATTATCATCAAACCAACACACACCAGAGTATCATCTTCAATCAATTATTATTATAATGATTAAGGTTCCATCAATAATTTTCTCTCATCTCTTCATCTTCATCCTTTTTTCTTCCTCCTACTTCGTGGTGGTATATTTATCTTCACCCACCTTACCCAAACTTACACTTGACTCGAAGGTGTATTTCCATGTTAATCCTTCCCTTTCATCATAATTTATCATCTCTCTTTTGATTTTGTAACATCTTATACTTTAATTGCAACAATTAACAAACAAACATAAAACAATTAACACCAATCAAGTTTTCAAGTATCAACAACAACAAACAAGCCAAAATCATCAAGTACATAAAGAGTTAAGGGGAAAAAAGAAACAAGAAAAAAAAACAAAACAATCAAGAGCATTAACCGCAAGAGTTAAGAAGATGGAGATGAAGATGAAGATGAAGACGAGATGATGATGATGATGAAAAGGAAGTATGAAAAGAGCAAAGGATGATAATGATGATTAAATGGAAAATTCATACAACTCAAATTCTGAACGGAAACGATGAACGAGATTGAACTTTCTCTCCATGAAATGAAAGAGTCTCTTCATGATTTTCGATCACATTGATTCTGATTAATTGTTATTCTAAACTAAATTCAACTAATTGGCTGATTATGAATGAAAAAGGATTAACTTTAAACACTCACACACAATTTGATGCCTACAAAGTTAAACAATTCAAATTCATGGGCCTCTCAATAATCACCTTCAAAGATAATCAACAATTTAAGTTAACAACAATTTTCTGATTGATTCATATTGTGAATTTACAAATATCATAATCATGAATGATTGATTGTTAATCATAATGGTGATGATGATTTAGGTTTGTCTTTACTTTTAATTCATATTCTTTATCATGTTAATTGTTGATTATTGGTGCAAATTGCATTTAATTGTCATTAATCATTAAATTGCTTTTCCTTTTTCATTTCATAAGGATTTTAATTGTGATCAATTTAATGCCAGACAAAGTCAATGGTATCTTTCAACTATAATTAACCTTTACAATTAACTCAATAGTTAACTAAATTGTTTGAATTAAATGTTTTGATTAAAATCATTAATCTTTGTAACAATCAATATAAATATTTTTCCGCCACAGTAACAAAACAATTTAGTTTGTAACCTTAATTGTGGTTACCAAATTGTGAGATTAAACATTTTGTTTGTTACCTTCAAATGGAAAAACTTTATTTTTAATTAATTCATATTAATTACAATTGTAAATCATTGTAATCAGAGAGTTAAATTGTTTGAGTAATTAACACGAATCTAGATTGTGAATGGTTACGATTTAAACAATCGTGAAGTGATTAAATTGTAATTGATGAGGTTAAACTTTTAACTCTTTTCTTGTGGTGAAAATTTTGTTTCCAAATCGTAATCGTTAAGTTAATCACTAAATCAATCCCATTGGATTAACGAGATACAATCAATTTAAAACGTTTAATTATATTTATAATCTAAAGAAGCAATAAATTAGATCGATTAAAGGTAAAAAAAAACAAATTGAATATCCAACAATCAAGAGCAACAATTTAACTGTGATAATTTATTATGGTTAAAGTGCCAAAGTGCTCGTTGGTGTTAATTGTAAAGGCTTGTATGTGTGTTTATGATTTAATTGTAACAATTTATGATCAATGATAATCGAGTATAAATGATTTGATTTGTTTTCCTTTTCTTGCTTCTTACAATTAACTAATTTCTCGTGATAAATTAACAGTTTCACCACGTTGAATGAGACCACGAAAACATTGATGATCAAGGTGAGATAATCCCTGTTGATTATCAACAATTAATCTGACCTTTTGATTAGATTTGATTTGAATAACTTATTGGACATTAATTGATTATAATCATTATCAATATTGTTCAATTTTAAAGTGGACAATGGTCATCATCATCATCAGTAACTGGCCCAATGTATTTAACAGTGAGAGGTGCAAATACTTTAATAGTGATGGTCAAGCAAATCAAATGACCACAAGGTAAGTCACAGGAGGTGGTCAGTATCACCCAACAGGTAAGGAAAATTATTTCACTCTAATTGGTGTTGTATTGGTCAAGCTTTAGCCTTGATTGTTACCTTGATTACTTTTTGTCTGGGACTTTCAATTTGCCCTCAGGGTAAAAATACCATAGGTGTTCAGATTGAAGATGTTGCAACATTTACATGGGGAAAATGGTTAACATCAAAATAAATTGTTCACTTTGTCTTGATTGTTTTACACTCGATGTGATTTTTTTTTATTAGAAAACATGAGATTGGCAATTTAGTTGATTGTTATTATAATTACATGAGTGTATTTTTGGCTTATGTACAGTAAACAATTAGAAATTAAATTAATTAATAAATTAGATTTTTAAATTGCACAATTAATGCAATTTGTAGTTGTGTTGCTGTGTAACTTGTTTCATTTTTTGATTGGTTTCCTTGTCCTTGATTGTTGACTTTTGTGCGACCTCAATAAGATTTTAATTGTAACAATTAACTGTTTTTTTTTCTTGTCACCATCAGCACTAATTGTTGAATTGCTTTGTTTGAATTGATCAACAGGGTTAAAACCAGATGAGTCGGCAACAAATTGAATGAGTTGATGATTGATAATTATTGATAATCAATCGATGAGAAATTGATTGGTTCATTTTTGAATAGGTGATTTAATTTGAATCTATTGAGTTGATTGTGTTCAAATTGGTTGAAGATGTTGATAAATTAGCGATACAACGAGTGTTATATGTACAACATAATCGACCATTCTGTTGATTATATATAAAGGGTTGAATAGAAAAAGAAAGTGAAAATATTAGGATTAATTGTAATGATACAAATAATTAATTAGTTATACGAAAGTAAAATTAATTGTGATTGAATAAATAAACGTGCAAAGTGAATGATAATCTTGAAGTGTAGTGATAATAATAAGCGATGTATGTGCTTAATTAAGCAAGAAATGTGTGTGTGTGTTTGTGTGATTAAGTTTGATTTAATTGCTCGATTGTATTACTACTATAATTTAATTGAACATGATTATTAGTGTTTTTGATTAGTTGATTAGTTGATTAGCTGATGTGTCGAGTGTCATTATTGTGACAATAAAGTATTTGATGTTGTCATAATTGTAACAACAATAATCAACATAAGGTAAACATATTCTGGCAACAGTTTGTTAATGAAGATGAAGATGATGATAAATATGATGATGATGATGATGAAGATGATGATAATGAGGATGAGATGAAGATGAAAATGATGATTAGGATTTACCTCAATACCTCAATACCCCAATAGTTGTGGTAATGGTTTAGTTATAAATATGTTGCAGTTTAAAATGAAATAAATTGTTACAATTAAAATAATAAACAAAAGAGCAAAAATGATCAAACTTAATTGTGATAAAAAGCAAATGCAAGCAAATGATAAGATGCAAATAAAAAGGCAAAGGATAAATCATGCAAATTCAATCAATGATTAACTTGATTGTTGTTGTTGTTGTTGGAGTGCAAATGACAAGCAATTTAAAATACGTGCTATTCAAATGATTGTTGTTTGTGATTCTGTTTGTGTTTTTGTTGTTGTGCAATAGCAATGAGATTATGTGAATAACGTGCATTTAAATTATGATTATGATAAAAGGATTAATTGATTACCCATGATAATTATTATTATTATTATTTTCATATCTCATAAATGACGATGCTGATGATGAGGTTAATTGATTAATTGTTTGAGCTGATTGTTGACTGGATGTTAACTGGATTAAATTGTTAATGTTAAATTGATTGGGAAGACACAACAATTGATACAAATGAACAAACAATTCAGAGTATTAATGAAATGATATGAATAAAATTAAGACAAATGCATAAGAAGAAAGAAAAAAGAAAAAAAGAAAGAGAAAAGGTTAATCAATGTTATTAGATTTTAATTAATAGTTGATTGTAGAGTTGATTAGTTAATGCAGATCAAGAGTCATGGCAAGATTGATAGAAATCTGAAATCAGTAATCAAAGATCAACAAGGAAACAAAATCGAAACAAAAGTTTTGATTCTCATCTCTATGGTTTCCATTGGGATGTGATGACCATGAAAAGTTAGTGGTCAGTGTAAAAGGGGAAGGAGTTAGAATCAGGTAATAGGTTAATGGACACGAAGATAGTTCAAGTTCAATGGCAGTTAACATAAAAATCATGATTCATTCATTTTCCACCCAATTAATTATTCAGAGTCAAATTGATTTGATTTATCATCTGACAGTTGAAACAACACAAAAGTTTCCAAAAAAAACTAATCTATTTTTAGTGGTCAATTAACTGGGTTACAATTTAAATTGTTCTAGCTGATTATTATCCATAGTTTACCTCAAGGGTTCTTGTTGATAATTTGTTTAGGAGTTAATTGTACCTGAGTCATAATTGTGTTTACCTTTTGTTTGGCTTTTCTGATTCTGTTACTGGTCAGTATTGGTCAGTCAATCAATGATTATTTACTCAAATTATTGAAGTGAAATGATTACTTTGTTTGGGTAAATACAATTAGCGAGTAATCAAAGGATATCCCCCAAAGTGCTGATCGATAAACTCAACAATTAGTAGGCGTTTTCCCCGTTCTCGAACTTGAGGTCAGTCTTCTGATGGACTAAACATTGACTTTTCTTAATGGTCATTTGTTTTCTCTTTTTGATTTGGTTAATTGTTGTCATGGTTTCGCAAATTATGTCTACTATTAGCACGTATTTTGAGAGAGTTTGTTTGGTCAAAGGTGAATGGGTGAGTTTAGGATAATCATTTTGACGATGACCTTGAGTGAGTTTGAGCTCTTCCCTTCCCCTATGGTTGGATGGTCATCCAATCATTACAATTAACTGTTAACTAATTAATATATTAATTTGTTGTCTTTTGCATTATTCAATCTATTGGGTCGAATTTGTGTAATTCATTCAATTTGATGTAACCATGACGATGAAACTTTACAACATCAACTGTTACATTCATTGTATTAGGTAAACAACGAGACAAGAGGTGAAAGGTAAACGCGCGTGACGCGTCCTTCAAGTCACCGGTAGTTTTACAGCTTCTTGAAGCACGCGACACGTGAGATGAGGGACAAAGGGGCCAGAGAAAAGAGAGAGAAATGATAAAAGAAGATAAATGAAGACTAACACCTTGTGGTCGATGAAAAGAAGAGAGAAAGAGAGAGCAATGATGAAGATGAGGATCTGGTTCGGATGATGATAAGGATTATAAAGAAAGAGAAAAAGAGAGGGAAAATATAAGAAGTCTGATAAAATCCTTTTCTTTTGTTTCATCTCCTAATGTTTGCCAAGAATAGAAATTTAATATAAATGATTTACTATTAATACACTTACCTTACATTTACAATTAGCACAAGGATCTTTTCCAATTACAATTTGTTGATCATTTGCATATAATTTACCAAGATACATACAACCAGATGATAGACTTGAGTTAATTGAGATTCCAGGTTTGATTAGATTGTCAAATGAATTGTGATTATCTAAACCATCAATATAATCACCACAAGGATCATCACCACAATAAGGGCAACAATCATCAGCAGATTTAATTGGATTTGAGCATTTTATTGGTGGACAATCAATATCGCGACATTTTGATTCACCAAACTATAAATGAATTTAAATTCAAAAGTCGAGAGAGAGAGAGAGAGAGAGAGAGAGTAATTAGTTAATTTTGATAATTATGATTATGAATGAATTTAACCTTACCAAACATTGACAGGATTTACATTTGGATAACCAAGTTTGTCCATTTTTATATTTAATTGTTTCGTCCAATTGATCAACACAATCAATTGACTTTTTACACTCAGGACAACAATTAAAATCAATTGAATCATTTGTTGTTGTTGTTGTTGAATTACAATTACATTGTCTTTTTGAACAATTAGTTACTCCAAATGAACATGAACATTGGAAACAAGAATCAAACTCTGAATCCCATTTAGATCCATGTAATCGTCTTAATCCATTGACAACACAATCTCTTGAACATGAAGAGTCCAGAGAAGAAGATGAAGAAGATGAAGGTGATGAGGAAGAAGATGAAGATGGACATTGACATTCATATCCACCTTCAGTATTGACACATATTCTTTCCTCATTACAAGTATCTACTCTTGTATTACATTCATTTAAATCAACGCATTTCAGTTGATCATGATTAGAATCACTTTTGTCTATGTAACTTGTATAACCATCTAAACATTGACAATAATACCAACCCGGTTTATTGATACACTTTGAATTGGATGGACATTCATGTAAATTCAATGAACATTCATCGATATCTTTTTCACAATATTTCCCATGAAATCCTCGTTTACAAAGACATTTATCTGGTCCAATACATTTACCACCATTGGCACATTTCTTATTACAGATCGCTGATGATGAGAATGGGAGATTAGAGATCAGAAAAGAAAAAAGAAAAAAAAGCAAAAGAAAAAAGAAAAAAAAAGAAAACAAAACTCACGTTGACAATTAAAACCATCGCCAGTGAATCCATGTAAACATAAACACGAATAATTACCATGAGTGTTGATACATTTACTATTTTCATTGCATTTGTGTTCATTTGTCGCACATTCATCAATATCAAGACAATTAAGTGAATCTCGTCGTCGGAATCCAGGTAAACATTGACAATAATAGGAACCATTTGTATTGACACATTTAGTATTATCTCTACATAGATTTCCTCCCATTCCACCCAATGAATTGCATTCGTTTATATCAGAACACAATCGTCCGTCTCCCCAATACCCATCGGCACATTTACAGGTGAATCCAGTCTTTAAATTGATACAATTCGCATTAGAATGACAATCGTGTCCATTGCCACAGAAATCGGTGTCCACACAATACTTGCAACATTCACCATCAGCCTTGAACTGCTTCTCAACTGGACACTCTAATCGTGGACAATAACTCAATGGATTCAACCTCTTACACCGCAGTGACCCTTCATAACAAACGCACTTGACACAGTCTTTCACGTAGACATCGTTATGTTCAATGTACTTTCCATCTTTGAGACACTTTTTGTGACAAATTGGACAACAATCAGTCGCTGATGCGAAATACAAGGAACTTGCCTTACAATTGACCGGCGAATCACATTTCATTGGGGAACAATTAATTACTCCATGATCACAGAAACAATTTGAACAATTGCTAATCCATTTAGATGAATGTACAACACTAGATCCATTTGATAATAAACAATTTTCTCTCTCTCCTTTTCTCTCTTCTCTCTCTCTTTCTCTCTCCACCTCTAATTGGAGTTTAATTTGATTCTCACTCTTATAATTACTATTGATACATTTACAATCATCTTCTACTCGAGATAATCGTAATTCAGTTTGGTGCAATTGGATAGTCAAATTTTTCACATAATCTTCAAGTTCACTGATTGACTCTTTTAGATTTACAATTCCAATTTCAACACAATTAACCAAATTATCATCACTAATCAATGATGATATTATTATTACCAATGATAATAAAGTGGATGCTAATAAATTAATCACATACATGATGATGAAAATGATGATGGTGATGAAGTAGTGATGAGGATGAACTTTTCATGGCACAATTAAAAAACTATGAAATCAAACTAAGAAATTTGGAAATTGTGAATCAATATTATCCATTGATTCACGAAATGAACTTGTCACGAATAGAGAAAAATTAACTTGTCTAAGGATAACATTAAATTGAGACTAATACAAACTCAATAGTAAAGTGAGATACTCACTCGTCGAGAGAGAGGAAGAGAAGATGATAAATAAGATGATGAGTTTGCGCTCTCCAAATGAATTATGAATAAAAAAGAAAATCGTAACAATCAGCTGATCTAAAGATCACATTCGATTAGAACCAAAAACCTGAGCACTTGATCGATAAACTTGGAAAAGTTTGTCAGCTGAAAAAATTCATTTCCAATTCAATTTCGATAAACTTGTAATCTAATTAACAAATGTCCAAAACTTTTCGAACTCATTTTGAACAATTTGGAATCGAAAATCGGCAAACTCACAATTAACTTCAATTCTTCCATTGTACTAATTAACTTGATTGTCAAAAGTGTTTAATTGTTGTTAGAAATTGATCACATTTTGATTGAGAAAATGAAAAAATAGTTAGAGATTTAAATTGTTGTCGTTCTTAAACCTTGATTATTTAAACTCAAGGACGATTTCTAATTGTGATTAAGTCCTAAAATTGAGTATCTAGAAAATTTAACTAAAACTGTCACATTTATTAAATTTGATTTGTGGCAATTTATTAATTAGATGAAAGTAAATCTACAAGGTCTTTAATTATCAGACAATCAAATCTGATTAATGTGAAACAAACAGATTCAATTAAACACTCAAATCTACCCCTGACTTATATATGCCACCAACGCAATCACCTTAATCACTAGTATCAAATTGTACACAATTAAATTAATTGTTGGCAGAAAACAAAGAAAGAAAAAAAAACTTGATGAAATAATTTAATAACCTAAATAGTATTGAAATACTTTGATGGTAATCAGTTTGTTCCCATTATAGTTTAAAGGAATTAAACTATTTTCTTTAAACAACTAAGATTTTAATTTAAGATTAAATTAAATTGAGAAAAATTAACTAACAAAAATGAAGAAAGAAAGAAAAAAAGTGAAAACGAAATTTCAAAATTCGCGCTTGAAGAGTAAGTTTTCAAAAAGACTCGAATAGTTGCCTAAAAAGAACACCAGACGACGCCAGTTCTCCTCGAACTTTTCCCTGTTCGAAACTCGAACTAAAAACTTTTTCATGATAAACTATAGAAACATGAATTATTTACCATGGTGGCTCATCAACATGAACAAAATATTAACAGATTTTGATATGAAAATTTGGTTAACATTTTCCCGCTCACATAATATGCAAAAAAAGGTAATCAGAGTAACTGTGGCTCGTGCCAAGGTATCAGCACCTGGTATCATCCTTATCATCATCACCGACACCAAATTCTTCTCTCTTTTCATCCTCATCCTTATTCTCATCTGTTTCCTCCCCTCTATCCGCTTTCTCTCTCTCTCTCTCTCTCTCTCTCTCTCTCTCTCTCTCTCTCTCTCTCTCTCTCTCTCTCTCTCTCTCTAAAGGTGATCTATTGTTACCTTTCATCATCTTCTTCCTCCTTCTCATCACAATAATCATCATCATTATCATCTCTTCTTTCCCCCTCATCATCTAGCTATTTATCTTTACCAAGATAATCATTAGAATCGCCCACAAGATTCAATCAAACAGTTAGATTGCAATGTGCTGACCAGACTGACCAAAGGAAGGTCAAGAAAGAGAGAGAGAGAGAGAGACAGAATCATCCTCTCAACCAATAGCTAAAACATATTGTTGTTGATTTAATAATAATATCTTATGAATGAAATAATAACAATCAAGGTAAATTGATAATGAATGAAAATTTTAGATGACCTCAAAAACGGTAAACAAATAAACGTTAGAAGTTAAAAGGTAAACTTTTGACCACATCTTGACCATTAATCCAAATATTTACAAGACAAAATTGAAAGTAACAATACTAATTACGACACAAATTGAAAATATTCATCACGATCTTGAATCCGATTATGATAACAAATGGTTATCATTGACAATCGGTCAGTTGCCTAAACTGACCAATAAATGATGAAAAATTAACAATGATAAACAAGGAGATGAGGGAGTGAAAATGATTTTATTATTATCATAATTATTATTACAGCTAAAAAGATTGTCAAAGTTTAATTAACTTTTACATTGTTATTGGTCAAATGTTGATATTGATTTAGATGGACAATGGCTAATGCAATTAAATTAAATTACACTTATATTAGTTTACTTTTTTTACTCAAATTTAACTCAAATAAAGTCACATTATTGTTATCGGTGATCATGATGACCAACAGAAGATGATGATTAACAAAACCAACAATATCCATTGAGCTGGTCAGCAAACCAACTTAGTGGTCAGTTTGAAATGGAAAAAAATTTCTTCACTTTTTTTTCTTACTCAAAAGGTAAACAAAACAGAAATACATCAAGTCCACTTATCGAAATGTTCAGTTGATTGTCTTTCAATTCACATTGTTGACCATTAGCTTGACCACATGGTTCTCATCCATTTGTTGGATTTACTGAGTGTTGAATGTATAAAGCACAATGACCAAAGACCAAAGGATGAACGAAACTTAATTAGTATCGATCTGACCTAATGAAAAGATTGAACAACATTTGAACATTGTTCAGGAGGCACTTTAATTGTAATCAAATTTCATCGAATGGGAAAAAGTTCCGTTCATCCTGATGATCTTTCCACCTCAAGCTTGACCATTGAAAAAGTTTTCCAACTGAGATAATCTCATATCTTGATATGCTTAACGTTAACTAGAAGATATAATCAAATGTAAGAAGATAAAAAAAATAATATTGATACAAAATAATCATCTTATTATGAACCTTGAGATTCATGGTACATTTATGGAGATAAAATGAGAATCAGAATTCAGGAAATACATGCTAATAGAAATAAATGAAAAGGGAAAGTAGGAGGTACAGAATTTTATCTCAATTATGAGAAAGAAATTCATTTACTTACCCTGATAATGCATATTCTTCTTCATGGTGGGACAATCTTCCCCCTGTGCATGAAAGTGAGAGATATAAAAGGAGATACATTATGAATTCAGAGCCATGAATATGAATTTATCTTATTTTTCATTCGTATATTAAATGATAACTTTGAAATCTTTTCCCTCCAAGAAAAAGCAAACATCCATATGATGATAATATCATTTCCTTTTGCAATATAATCATTTCATTTTTCATTTTCTTTGTACATGATAACAATAATTCAACCAATTAATTGTAATCTAACGGTAATTGGAGACGATTAAATTATCAACAATTTACCATTTAATTCAACTTGTAATAGTAATAGATTGTTACACTTACCGGCTTACGGCGGAAGTCAATGTTTGTCCGAACGAACCTTGAATTCAATGGCTGCAATGGGCGATAATTGTTACCGAGCGGAGCCTTGGGCAGGTCAGATTCACCCTGCATCAATTTCCTGAGGACAAAAAGCTGAAATGAATGAAAAGAAAAAAAAAGAAGATGAAATAACGGTTAATGGTTACTACTAATTTCACATCATGATTGTCAATCTGATTCCCGAATGATATAAATGATTTTTCACTCTTTCGATGAGGATTTTTTTTTAATATCTTTTTTATTTTCATGAGTACCAAGGGAATAACAGTAAAACCATAAGTCGATTGAGGTTTTTTCACCATAGATTTTGATTTCATCTCTGAATAAATTCAATCTCTGTGATATAATATAATCCATTATTAGTATTATATGAATTTTGACTTGTTACTCCTTCATGATTCTGAAAAATTTGCTTCTCAATTGTTATTATTAACAAATAATCATAATAATAATTGTATAAATTGCCAAATGGTTGATTCAATTTCATGATACGTTCAATTTTAAACTGCAACAATGCATAATCCATGGTGAAATCAAGGAATCAAATCAGTTGATTGAGGTTTTTACAGTTGATTGAATTAACTATAACTTTTTGCAAACATTTTTGATTGTTGATTTGTTTTCTTACCATAAAATAATAATAATAATACTTTAAATCTTGTTTTTGTTTTTGAGTAAATCATTTTCATTTTTAAATTGGTCTCAATGATTAAGGAAACATTGTTTTCCCAATCATTTGTAAGTATAGTAAGTTGATTGTAATGATTGGAAATGGAGTAATTGTAATTGAAATCTCATTGAAACATGATATTCATTCATTGAAATGTCATTTGCAATGAATGTGAATGTTTTCCCAGCTATTAGTCATTCTGAGCGCATCAAAATGTCATTTTTTTTATCATGTAATTCAATCATCATCATCATCATCATGTTAACAATTGAATTGAATTGCTGGTTACTGAAATGATTAAACATTCAGTTTACCTGATTGGGTGTAATTGTTGCTGGTTTATTTGCTATGATCCAAGTAACGGTTTCATGACATCCTGGTATGGTCAACGATCCTTCATAGGTCATATAATGAGCTCGTTCAGGTAAAAGGTCACCAACTGAAAGTCCTTTTACCGTAACATTTTGACCTGAAAATTTGAAAACATTTAATCAAATTAGTTGATTTATTGATCGATTTATGGATGAGAAATGGTTATGAAAACACCGTTGGGTTAATATTAGACTAGATAACATTTAGTAAGTTGTTAATCTGTACGTGGTCTGAATTATCATGGTTATTGAATAATATTATCATGAGTCTAAGATTGAAATGTATATATGGTTGTCAGAATTGATTAGATGAAAATCACAATCTGAAACAAAGTTGTTTTAAAGTTGAATAAGTAGATGACAATTTTTATCAGATTAACTCAAGTTAATGTAATCAAAACATTGTGATGATGATGAGAATTCATTGTTAACATCAGCTGATGATGAACACATCAACAAGATCAACAACAACACCTTTAAGGTGATAAGAAGCTGAAAGTTGAATGAGAAACTTTTATGTAAATCCATGTCAACTTATGCAAACTAAACCTTCAACATGACAAAAGTTCAGTTCCATTGAATTACAAAGGTTATGATGATGATCATAATCATCAAACTGTTCATCATTTATTTGATAAATTCTGGTATAATTATCATGAATCTATTTTAATGAGAATGAGATGAAAAAAAAGTGCAACTGAAAAACAAACAATGAAAAAGTTACAATCAACTTTACATATAAACCGGAAAAGATGAGCAAAAAAAAAGGTTCAGTAAAAATGTTTCAGTTATTATTACATGAATATCATGAACATTAAGATGAATTGTTAGATTATACTCAGACCATGGTGGGTATTATATCATTTGAAATATGATTCTGATTCAATTTGATTGTTGTTGACGTTACAATTGAATTTATTGTTGATCAATTATCAAGAGATAAACTTGATAATCTTGATTCACCAATGAAAATGGTCAATTATTGTGGCACTTTGGAAACTTTTTAAAAGGATTTGATTCTAATATTAGTTGATAGTATGGATAAGATGTGAGATTATGGGTGAGATTAGGATTGGATTGAGGAAGAAAATTGCAAGTAAACAATTGAATTTGATTCCTTACCTCGAAATTTTATCCCTTGAACAAGACTGAGTAAATGATTGAGCTCCATGTTACTGCTATTACCAACCTGTTAAAAGTGTTTACCATTAAATCAATTAGAAGACAATTAATTAATTCATTTTGAATCATGTTTCCAATATAAATCACAAAAAAAGGCTGACACCTTTTCCTTGTATTTAATATCAAACATGATGATGCTTCCCGGTGGGTGATTTCCCACCCCAATCTTTTTTTTGTTTGTCTTCTGTCATCATCATCGCCATTGAAACCATATAGTGATGATGATGATGATGAGATAATGCTAATCATAATTATGATGATGATACCAACCTGAATTAATAATGCAATGGCTACAAGTCCATTGGCTTTGTTTGATGCATCACTGATATTTTGATACAAGTCTGAATTATATCCAATTATTTGTAACTTTATGCCAACAGGAAGAGGAAGAGGATGAAGATAAGGATGAGAAGAGAGAAAAAATTAGATAGATAAAAATATGAGTCTCTCTCTCTGAAAAAGGATCAGAATGATGATATGGAAAGGATGAAGAGATTGATACAAGAATAGGATCATGGTGACAATTACATGTTATCCTAACATCGCCCTAATCATGTTTCAGTTTATCTGAATTTCCTCTGAACAATATAATATTAATATCTACCACCCACAACACCACCTTCAGACTATCAACAAGATATAATGATGATGCTGATGATGGAGAGAAATGTTCATTGTAACACTTTCAATTTCCAAATGTTTTCAGATTTAATTGTTGGTTTTAAATGGCGCAAAATTAGGTGGTAATTAAAATTCATCAAACGAGACCAATTTTAATTCAATTAAATTCATCATCATGAAGGAAAAGTAATTGTGACTGAGCATAAATTCAAAATTTTCTGATTAATCTACTAAAGTTTTTCAATCATGTTTAACTCACGAATCAACAATTTAAGCTAATAATCATAATGATGGAAATCAAATCAAGTAATAGCTCAATTTATTATCATGTTGGCCAATATGTAATTCATAAAATCTCAATGAAAATCAGATTTACGATTTCAGAATATCAGAACTTTGATCGTTTTCTTACCATGTAAAGTTTGAGATCTCGAATCTAATAGGATCCAAACAGGGAAAATGTTCTGAACTGAACTTCTCTCTCTTATTTCCTTTGTGAATTTCTAACCATGATGATTACTCACCTTCACATGCTACCTGTTGTTTATCATCATCCTCATCATTTTGATCATCCTCAAGTTAACTCCCAGTTTAATTTGTATCATCCTCACCTTTGAGAATCTATTAATTACTGGAAACTAATAACTAACCCGCTGAGATGATTAAACAATTAAAACAACTTTCAAGCTAAATTAGATTCATGAGTTTCATTAAACTCATCTAAGGACAATTAGTTTTATGCTAATCACAATTAATTGAATCATAACAATCTAACCATTATGATGATTATACATCAAACTGATATTATTAATGATTATCATCATCATATTTTTTTGTTCAGATTTCAAGTCTTTGTCTCTTTATATTGATATATACAAATATTTTCATGGTGTATTATCATGAATACAATATTAATGATAATGGTTAACATGATGAAATCTCATGAATATTCAGTTAAATTCATGGCAGATTTAATTTTGATTCCTTGTTATTATTCATTATCATTTATTGGTTAAGGTTAAGACGGAATTTATATTTTCTTTGTTATTTTATATATTATCTTGATGATTATTGGACAATCAGATAACCGGAAATTTTAGTAATGGTCATTGGATGACCAGTGGGCATTAGTTTCAGGTAATTGGTGAGTTGCATGTCAATGGGAATATATATAAATATGAACATAAGATGGAAAAGAAATGATAATAATTTATATATGAAAGAGATTTTTTTTTGTTTTATTCGAAAATTGAGAAAGATATAAATGGTCATTATTGCTCTGTTGTGGTCAGTTTGATGGTCACTTACCTCGGCAGGAAATGATTGGCCACCTATCGAATGTTCTGAACCATGATTATCGGTACGTCCAAAGTGTAAATAGATTGCATTGAATGAATAAGAATATGAAAGTGGACCTCCGGTTATATTGACCGATAACTGGACACGACTTGGTGTGGTCTCTATATGTACAGATGATTCCTCGACTAGATTATCATCAACCCTGAGTTCAGTCTGTTCAGAGACCTTGAATATTATTCCATGTCCATTATTTTCAAGAACACCAATAACCTAATATAAACAAGAATATTTTAATAATTGGTTACAGATTGATAAATAATAATATTAAGTTTTCGGACATTAAGATGACCAGAGGCTCAAAGTACTTGTATTATCATGAAAAGTTAACCCTCAAGTCATGACAGTCATGAGAATATAATTGAAATGAACTTGATAGGAATTAAAGTAAATTAAGATATCAGTTTCTCTTGGCTGGACACTGGTTAGTATTAACTATTAATAGGTCTCTTCAACTGACCAATTGACTTGTCCGTCTTTAAACTGTATAATAAATAGTTGATACTTTTGGGTGGGTGGTCATTGATTCAATTTCAATTAGGGATAAGATTAGAAAGAGAGAGAGAGAGAGAGAGTCAAACTTTTCTGATTTGATTCCTTCCTGATCGTTAACTTGGACTAATTGATTAAATATCCTTCCATGAGATTCAGAAGGTATCATGAAAAAGGCTCATGAAAGATTTAAGATCAATGAGGAAAATAATAACAATGAAACATGAAGATGAAGATGAAGAGGTTACCATTGAGAGAGAGAGAGAGAGAGAGAGAGAGAGAGACAATTGATCCGTTTGTAAACAAGTTAATCACTTGGAATGATAAACTCACTCTTAAGATTATCATTCACTTTGATAATATAACAAAATTCAGGGAAAACTTGAGACCCTGAGGTTTAGTTTTTCTTCCTGTAAATTTAATGTTTAAATTTTGGTGAAATCCAAATTCTTAATTCATGATTTACCAATGATAATCAATTTCCAAACAGAATGAGAAACTTTCTCCACGAGGCAAAAAGTTTATGACTATCTTTCTACCCCAAGTGAGATCATCAATATCCCTTGATAATTGATTAAGAAAAAACTAATTTGATGATCTTAAACTTGATGTCAAGTTAAATTAAATCTACAACAATTAACTGTGGATTATAATTTTCCACTCTAATACCTTCACATTGTCTCACCATCAATCTAATAATTGCATTGTAAAGGTTTCATAACAATGTTTCAAAAATAGTTGCAAGAAAATCAAAAAGGATAAAATTAATTCAATTGAAGGGATATAATTGTTCATATCATTTATTATTTAATCCACATCAAAAGTAAAGGATAATTCACTAATCCTTACTTACAAGATAATCCTTTCTCCTTAATTATTATAAGTCAAGATTATATAACATCTTGATCCTTGACAAGTGACAAACAAATCAACAAACAATAAGAAATCAATTAATCATCAATTGAGAATAATAAATTGGTAATAACAATCTGGATTAACTAAAACTTTTCCTCAATAATAATCCTTCATGATTGTTGGAGTTAACGAAAAATTTGATTTACTCTGTTAAACTAATCCACAATTTCAGTGAAATAATAATGAGATTAGACTTTAAATAATGAATAAGAACATGTATCAAAAGTTGAATCCGATAACATGATAATCATGATTGAATTTAATCCTCATGAAATATGATTTAAACGATTAAAGAACTCACCTTGTTTGGATCAATGTGAAGAGGCCTAAGTGAAGGATCGTAAAGTAGTTGAGGTGGTTTGATGTCTATCGGCGATTGCCTTTTACCCTTGGAGCACAAATGCCATTCTGGGTTAAGTAAACCCCAAAAATCGGGTCCTAAAAGTGATATAAACAAAAATGAACATGAAAAATTGGTTCTAATTGTTATTCCAATCGATTCAATCAGGGTAACATATTAACCTCATAGTCTTATAAGTGTCCAACAACAATGAACATCAATATGAAAACTCTGAGTTATAAAAGAAACACAATATTAAATGAATAGATTATCATAACTACAACATTGATATTACATTAATAATGGACAAACACAATGGACACAAAGGTTTTTTGTTGTTGTTGTAAAGGGAAATTTTTTTTTCTGTGGTCACTTTGAAAATCATCAAAGGTCAGTTTCTGTATCTATGAATTTGTTAGTACAGAGGAAATATAATGTTGAAAGATTCGAGGGGAGATAATTTCATGAGATTATCATTCTAGCATGACCATTATGGTGATCATATTGGAAAGTAGGTGATGATATTGGAAGATGATAATAGGAGATGATAAATTTTTGGATGAAATGAAAAAGTTTCAAATTGATGAGGTCAATATGTTGAGTCGATGATGATGAGAAACAAATGATTCCAATGAAATTACATTGTCACCTTACTTTTAACAGTTCCAATATTATTTTCGGATGATTACTTTCTCATCTGATCATCTTATATATATTTGAGATGATAACTATTACCTTTATAATGATATTGGTTTCATTTTGATTATCATTTTGATAACAATTTAATATCATTATGATTACATTGAGTGGAAACCAAATGGTTTTAACTAGTAGAGGTAAAAAAGACACTCACTGATTTTATCTAATTGAAGTTTTAGATGAAGACTCAGAGAATCAGAATTGAGATGATAAATAAACATGGTAACATTTTCCGGTGATTTAAACATGATTCATATTAAATTGTAAGTCAATTGAACAATTTTTCAATGAACGATCATTGATAGTTTAGTGAATCATTTTAACCTGATTTTCAATGATTTCATTTTTTTTTTGTTGTTGTCTCTATGTTATTACATAGGATTTTTCATTCATTCTCACAGTTAAATGGACAGAATTATTTTTTTTCTTGTGAAAATTTCTCAGTCTTTCATGTAACCATGATGGTCACTAACTGAATTACAGATCATCTCTTTTCACTCCCACTGAATCAATTTATATACAGATTGGAGTGTCTTTCATTTCATTCATTGGAATTTTATTTCTCACTTTTTCCCTGTGATTTTACAGAATCGTCATGAAAGATAAACTGAATTTCAAGATATTCTGATGATACAAACTCACTGAGATACTCGAATAATAATAATACATTGAGAGAAAACCAGGCAAGGTGATATATTTATCTTCCAAAAGATAAACGAGGGAGAGAAAATGATAAAACTAAATAAAATTTTTGTTCCATTGAATTAACAAGGACTGAGAAAAGAAACTTTTCTTTCTTTGAGCTAAATGAAAGTTCCGAGGGAAAATATTACTCGAGATAGAAAGGTGAATACTGTATCATGTATTGAACAAAGTTCATTCAAGTTTTAACTTTTTTTTCCTGCTTAAAGTTGCTTTATATATAGCGAACAAGATTCAAAATCGAACTAAGATATTCGAAGAAAAGAAAAGTTCTAAAGTCTATTTTAAAATGGAATAGATTTGATTTCATCATTGTTCATGAAATTCAGAGTAAAAACTTTGTCCCTATTTCAACCGATTCTAATGTGTTAACTTAATAATAATCTTGCTGAGTGAATCTCAATCCATTCATCAATTCATCAGATTGTATCATGTGTATCATCATCATGATGATTAAAATTTATCAAACTTTATCATCACATTTTTCATCATCACTTTTGCATCTATCAGGAAAGTAGATGAACAGGGAAAAAACATTGATGATAGAGAGAGAGAGAGAGAGATAATATCTGAATAAATGAGCAAAAAGGACAAAAAGGTGACGAGATAATGATGATGAGAATGAGGATAAGAAGATGAAGGCAAATAGAATGACCAATTTTAACCCTGCCCTTTCATTAGATGAATACTTGACCATAAGAGGAGATAAAGTTTCTGGGAGGAGGTGAAGAAAGAGAGAGAGAGAGAGATCGAGTTAATTAAATTCAATATTATCACTATAATTGTTTCAACTGGACCTCGAGTTCATGATGATAATGATAGTTTATAAACTATCAGATGAGTGAAAAAAGCATTACTCCAATTTCATTGAGATTAACTGATTAGTTAATCAAAGCTTCGTATTGTCCATAAAAAATTATCATCATGATAGTTTACTGGTTAATTATCAGTTTCAATGAGAGACGATACAACAATCATGTTGATTTCTGAGTTAATTAGTTAATCAGTGGAAACGCTTTTCTATTTGCTATTATTAGACATAATAGTTATAACATGAAATCTAGTCGAAAGTTACATGATAATTACATAGAAATCATTGAAATTAGATAAGTACATGTATATTTGTTCATGATGAATGTTCATCTTGAGTTTCATGCTGATCATGATTATTGATAATAACGGTGGAAAAAATTATCGAGCTGATTTAACTTACCCGATATCCCATCATATGTCCACCAGTCATCCCAATTACTGAATGAAAAGTTTACTAGTAATAATTGGAGGAGCACAATTAATGGAAACCATTTAAATATCCACCAGGTCGTCATGGTTATCGCTGATTCCTTCTTGATTAACTGAAGAAACGGAGAACTTTTTTTGATACAAATTCTTATGAATATGAAGCTCACAATTTGCAAAACTTGATCGCTACTGAACTATCCGATATGTCGAGTTAGAAGATCACTTTTTAGAAGCGCTGAATCTTTGGCGAAAGTGAAAAATTAGAAGACAAAACTTAGCATCAAGCTCATCGGAGTAATTCATGATAGATACTGATTCAGTTTCATGGAATATAGGATCTAAGGTGGAAAAGAAAAACTTTTTGTTCATGAAAACTCAATGAGAGTATGCTCAGCATCATGATATCTTTTTTTTCATCACCATGAGCTTACAATTGATGCAGTTGAAAAAGTGACAAAAGAAACTCAAAGAAGAGATAATCAAGGTGCCTCTTTTTTTTACCACCGTCAATTTAGACACTGTAAATATGGGTCATTACAATGGTGATACTAATCACCAAAAGCTCATAACAATGGATGTTTAATCAATGACAATTAACTGGACCAAATTGTTGACCAACAGATGATAAAATTTTCTCCAACAAAAAGTTTACGAGATGTAAACTTGGCGATAAAACTTATTGACATCACAACATCAAATCTAAATTCTGGTTTCATGGCAAAGATTAAAAGCTGAACTTATCTTAATTTATGAGTGGAAGAAAGAAACTCGGTCAAGAGGAAACGGAAATAAAAATGAATTCTATGTAAAACAATAAAGAGAAAAAAATTTTACGATGAAATATTTTCCTTTTCCTATTTTCCATAAATACTGCTAGTAAGTTTCCATGCAAGAAATTTGATTGAAGGAGAATTAGATTATCCATGGGATGCTGAAATTTCATGATATTGTTTATTCTTGATCAGATTTTCCTCATATTATTATTATAATATTCAGATGAATTATTATGATTCAATGTGAATCGATGTGTAAATTAGTTTGATAAGAAAGTTTTCTTTCATTGAAAATGCTGAGAGGTTGAAATGCTGCTTTAAAATGAATGAGTCTAAATGTAAGAATGCACTTTTGATGGATATATCATCATGATGAACATGATGAAGATTAAGAATTTAGTTTCATTTTCTTACTTTTTTTTCCAACAGTTACAATTTGAAAAGTAAGAAGGTGAGAAATGATTTCACCACATTCCAAGTGACTGGTCATCATCAGTCTGAGAATTATATTATTATTATTATTGTTATTGTCATCACTGGACTCTCAGATTTATTAGATTCAAAGGTGAAAACTCAATGAATTTTATTTTATTATAATAATACAAATAATAAAAGAGAATGATTTTTTCTCTTCTTTTTCTTTGATGAGACAAAAAAACATCCGAATTTTTCTGTTATTTCAAGGCGAACCGAAATATTATTCTTATCATTATTATCTCTCTCTCTTTCTTTCTTTCTTTCTCTATCTCTTCCTCTCTCAAGCAAACTCATTCACGCTGTTTTTTATCAACAATTTCATCATCACAGCCCATGAGAATTGGCAATCGACCCCATGAGCATTTTGATAAAATCCAAGTAACAATAATATTTATATCGTTATCACATAACAAATCTTATTAGAGGAAATGTTTACAATGATTATCAGTTAACATGACCAATAAGTTTCTGAGTTACCTAAACAATTCAATCAAATTAAATGATAACTGTGATGATTTAGGAGGATTTAGCTGATTTGTTATATGCTATTATCTGTATCTAGTTGTAAGATGATGTTGCTTCATCTATTTAAATTAAACTATTTTTTGTCAAATAGGATCTTATTAGGTAGCTAATGAGGCTATCGGACTTACATGGTTTTTTTATCTAGCAATCGACTGATATAATTGCCGGAGGAATAATAAGTACTAGATAGTTGTAAGTCCGACTATTTGCAGGCTCATGATTATTTTCAACATACTAAAATCAAAAACTACATAATCAAAAGTTAGATCTGAACGTTTAAATCCAATGATAAATGTTCTCAAATTTTAGTATTATTCAATTTCTGAACATATAGCTTACGAATTTGGAATTACTTCCCCACAAGGTCCTATTGACGCTTAAACTTCTTTACTGACATTATGTAATTTGAGCTAGCCAGTCAACAGGTTGTTTGGACTTGCGACAGTAGAATATCACAAGACCATAGAGTTGCGACACACTTAGAGTATATAAACTCATATTTTCACAAGAAAAAGTAAACTTTTTAATATTGTCGAACAGAAAAGTACTTAAATTAATCAAATCGTTAATTATCGTTTTCTGAAAAAGACCTTCAAATAGTCTTTTACTACGTTTTGTGCTTAATGACCTCAATGACCTTGACATTATGGCACCCTCTTTCAACTCTGTAATAACTTTGAACTCTAAAACCTTATAACTAATAAACTGCATTTTCAAATGCTAAAACCAGACCATTGAACTGTGTAAGCGAGCATATAACGTCCATAATATGCAGTAAAATCATTCAATAAAAATTTTTGCAATCGAATCATAGTCAGAAAGGCCTTTGCATCCTGATTGCATGAATTAGGTATGAATTGAAAGGCGATAAAAAAAATATTGAGTGTTAATTATGATTTTGTCAGTTGTTTTAATTAATAGAGGTAATGCTTGAATCAGTTACATTCAGAACGTTTTGTTAACAGAGAAACCACTGAACAGTTTTTATTCAGGACCAGAAGTCTTCAGCATAAGTTTCATATCCATCCCAACAAGAATATGTTACCCAGAAATCCGCCATGATTGAGTTCTCGCATTGTACGTATTGTTGAGTCAAGCTTATCTCCGTCTTCTTATTCACATGCTTCCTCATTTGATTCTTCATACGATTCCTTTATTATATCAAGGTCGTTCAGGTCATTGTTTAAAGAAAGCCTTGCGAGGTCATCTAAAGGTGATATCGTTATTCTCCGCACTTTTAGTTGTAAAATGAGTTTGAAAATCATTGTTATCGCAGATCTTGAGATAATTAAAGATGTGTTGAAAATCCTTCATGCAATAAATTCATCTTAACATGTTAAACAAAACTCATAGAAACATAGAAACTTTACACTAGTGGTACTGGAAACTCTTTCGTGAAATTGAAATTCTTAAGATGACCTTCAGATAAATACGGTACAATTTGAATGTTATTAATATCCATATGGTTTACCTGATTCAGTTTTGTATAATTAATAAGCATTTGTATCGAATGTTGTTTAATAAAAAGATAAGTATAAATAAATATTTTTGATCTTTTGAAATAATTATTATAAATTTAATCATGAAAACCAATTGCAACTAAATGAGAATTCATTTCTTCTCTTATTGTGAACATCGAAGGGTTTGAGGTAGATGGAAGCTACTAAATTCATCATGATAATCATAATGATGATAAATAATAATGGAATGATGTAACCTGTTAACAGGCAATTTTATTCTGAAGCATTATTTTTCAAGTAAAATTTATCGAAATTCTCAATATTTTTTACCTTTCTTGAATTGTTTCAAAACAGAAATACTCAAAAAATTAGATAAGGGAAATGATTCAATTCATCATTTTTACAGTTTATCATCATCTAAGACTAACATGATAAAAATAACGAAAAGGATAAATAATGATAATGATAAACCTATTAGAAGAAAGAACAGTTTATCAAATTCTGAAATAAAAATAAAGTTCATAAGTTCGAATATGTTTACTCATCAACTTATCAAGTTCATTTTTTATTCTTAAAGGTCTGATATAAGCTCTAAGCATGTATGAAATAATCAAATTTACATTCTGACGGGATAAAAATGGTTTCTCAGATTAGTTGAACTTGAAAAGAAAGCGATTAAGAAGTCATTTTAACAACAAATTACCAAATTAATTTGAATAATAATATTGAACCCCAATAATTGATTCTTTACACAATTGATAGTATTGCTTATAAACTTTTTCCTTCCCAAAAGGCTCATGAACGAGATTAACTTGAATCACTTTCATGATTGAAGTGACCATATTATTTTGGCATTTAATTGGTTTCATGGTATCTTAATAAAGCATATCAATCAAAATATTAGAATCGATTCTGTCATTTTTTCTACTGTCCAACTGATAATCATGAACACTGACCAACTATTGACCATCGGTTCAAGAACAATAATTTCTTTATGAGTTAAATTCATCGCCAATCTATTATATCATAATAATAATAGAACCAATTATCAAATGTGAAAAATTGATTGAAAATAGTCAATTAACATTTGAACTTGATTTTTTAACGGTCTCTCCTCCAACTATTCGTCAGTATCTTATCCAAGCTGACCTTTATGATGATATGATGAATGTATTGAGACAATGGTGAAAAAAGTTCCACAGAATTTCAACTCAGCTCAACTTTGAAAGATGATAATATTTATAAGAAAAGCTTGAGATTTTCCATAAAAATGAATTAAACATTTATCTGTGAATATTGAATTTAGATGAAAATTTGAAATTCCTTGATCATCATGGATGCTCTAGAGCGGGATAAGTATTGGGAGAAGACAAAATTGACTTAAATGAGATAGAATTGAGATTCAGTAGATTCCATGAAATTTTACATTACAAAGGATTTACTCGGCCTTTGAATCTGAATAATATCGGATTTTCAATTCTCTCTAGAACTGTCTCACCATGGTGAAGCTTTCCATGTAAATATTATTCCCTGTATTATAATTGAGATATAAGGTTGAATTTCATGAGCACACTCAGTTATATTCAGATGAGAACTGAGTGAATATTTTTTATCATCATGTAAGAAGAGGTTCCATCTTTTGATATTCATTAGAACCAATAAGGACTTTAGTTTGAACTCCTTCACTTCTGCTATTAAATATGATAAAGATGACCAGTGGTCAGTGGGATGTCAACCCTGGTTAAATGATTAACCAAAGAGTCGAAAGTTTTTACGAGTTTATTGTTATAAAAATAATTAATCAAAATCTTTTTACAGGAACTTTTAAATTTCCTTTCAGTTGATTGATATTTCAGTATAATGTTTGTGATCAATTTTATCTAATAAATCATGATTTCAACTTTTATATCTACATAATTGGTAAGAAATAAATTATTTGTTGTGCTAATCATGGTCGTCTGGGTTTCGGATTAGTAAACTTTGATTAGATTTCATTCCGATTTGAACTAATCAAAATTTCCCACAAAACTTTGTGAAATTATCTTAGCTCCTGATTCACAAGCAGTTTTATTTGGTTGAATTTCATATTATCCAATTTTATGGATTAGCTTTTTGGTTTATGGGTCAGATTCAGCTTCCAATCGGGTACTGACTATTTAATTGCGATTGATGGCCAATTGCGACAAAAGCTGATCAGAATTTGTATCGATGACCAAATGATTGGATAAACTGTAATAGGAATGAGAAAAAATAGTAAATTTTGCTTCAATTTAAGTAGAGCTCGAAATTTTTAGAACTTTTTTTTCATCGTTTTGAAAGTAACTCAATAGATGGAGTTGAGGTTCTGGTTGGTTGTAAATTGGTTTTGATTACAATTTAATCACAACCAGAAATAGATTAGATTAGATTACATATTAGAGTTGATCTTTTATCAACCGAAAAGACCACAATCGATCTAATACTTTTGATTTAGGTTAGAATCTATTATTTGCGGCATCTAACTTGATCTAGTTCGATTCTCAAATGGGATAGTCACCTGAACTTTTGGCAAACACGGAAAGACCACAATTAGCGATATCGATACTCGATTGTATCATAAGTCCATCATTTGTCTTCTCGTAAGTTCTTATGGTCAATGCTTTAGATAGATTTGCAATAGGAATATTATATTGAGCCATACACTTTAATCTTAATTCTTGCATTTGAAAATGTCTCTTCTCCATCTCAAATCGAAGGCCAAGTTTAACTAGTTTTCCAGTTCGATCTGTGTAACGGACAAGTTGACTTTCATTGGCCTGAAAACCGAGGAAAAGAGAAAAATATTATTAATACTTAATAACAATGAAAGAAGAAAAGAAAAATAAATCGAAAAGTAAACATTAGCAAACAACAGGAAACGGAAATGTTTTCAATGGAAAAGAAAAGTTTGATATATCAAAAGCTTTTAAACTGTTATACAGTTATAACTTAAATTCAGGTATCATTGGAACAGGTAATAATCATGGTGATAAAAACCACCAAATATCATAATTTGATTTCAATGTTTTCTTTTTATTTCTGTTCAATTTCTTGCAAACCGGAAAAAGGAAACAAAGTCTCTTAACAGGGTAGACTGACTGATAGCCCCAAGAATAGGAACAGCATTGAGTTGAGTAAATCAGACAATTGTTATGGTTAAACTATTATTTCATGAGACTGAGTTGATTCTGAATTCATGATATGTAATAGTTGTAATAAGGTAAACAATTTAATCTGAAATCCAATCATTTCAATTTCCAAACTTTATAGTCCACTTTTTTAACCATCATGGAGACAGATATCATCATGATGACTCCCTGTTTCAGAGAGAGAGAGAGAGAGAGTGGGGTGGTTTTGGTGAAGGGTGGGAGAAGTTGAATTCTTTTTTTTCTTGTTTTTTCTGTTTTTACCTTGAATTTGATTCCAACGGTTCGATTTTTTTTCTCTCCTTTTTTTACTTCTCTTCTTCTTGTGGTTCATTCAATTTCTCACTGAACTTTCCCCTTAAATGAACTGAATCATTTATCTTTCATCCTGATTCTCTTTCAATCTATTCCACCACCATCATCTACTCACTGGAACTCTTCCCGATTCTCCTCCTTTCATCCTGATTCTTTGAAATTGAAACAAGTTTCTAATAAGTTTGTTTTCCTTTGATAAAATTAATAAGACTCATTAAGATGAAGAAAAACTAATAGAATTGATAATAATTCAACTTTTTTCCTCTCTCAATATACTTTTACATCGTTCTAATGAATACGGATGAGGAAAGATGACAATTAATCATCAAAAGTTGGGTTAATTAAGTAACTTTTCTGTAAGCACTCAAATTATTATGATGAACTTGAAATGCTTTAGATACAATTAATTGTTTCATGATTGTTTTTTAAAAGTTTCATGATAATTATCGTACTATGATTACGTTAATTAATAGAACTGGTTGTAAGAAGTTGGTTACATTTTAGGTTGATCGAGTTATTTAAACATTAGGATTCGATAAGAAATCAATTTGAAGGGAAAGAAAAAGATATTGTAACTTGGGTATTTTTTAATTCAGTTTCAGGAAGAAATTAAATAAAATTTCAACTGATTGGATTTAGCTCTCATTTTGATGGCTTGGATTATATGGAGGCTCAAGAAAAAGGAAAAAAAGAAAATGATAGAAAAGATAAAGAAAACAAGGGAAAAGGAGAGTATTAGTGATGAACTGAATGATGATGATGATAACGGAAGATGAACTGGGAATGATCGCCACACCCGTGAATAAGCCAATTTATGTGTCCATTATTAGCCTCATCCACTTTATCATGTTTATCTCTTCCCCTGATCATCATCATGAAAGTAGCTGAAACCACATTCACCTTATCCATTGTCTTTTGTCAAAACCACAAAAAGAAAAAATTTCAACCTTAACTTTTCAGAACTCACTGATTTTCATCCTTCCACCCACCACCTCCATTTGCTCACTCTCTCACTCATTCTCTCTCTCTCTCTCTCTCTCTCTGTCCTTCTTTAAAAATGAACCCTGGGCGTTGTTCATTATCAGTCAGGGATTGAACTGTTCAACCTCCTTCGCTCTCTCTCTCACTCTCACTCTTCCAACTCCATGTGATATGATATGATTAGGGTATTAATAGACTATTGGTAAAAACAGTATCATGGTTGTATTGTTGCTGAGATGAGACCGAAATCAGGGGAAAGGGAATAGAGAAAAAAGTTTCAAAGTTGAGAATTCATGAGTAACATGATAAGCATAACTCATGAATTGTAATCACAATGATAATGTGTCTGAGAGTGTAAATAATGATAACTATACATGTTACATGGGATTTCCTTGAATAATAACAATCAGTTCATTTAATGTTGAACTTTTTTTACCAAAATCTTACATGTTGACTTTTCCCCTCTCATTTTGTTAAATTTAATCAAATGAATAACAATTGATAGTGAACATGAATATGAATTTGTAATCAAGAAAGAAAAATGAAGAAAATGATGAAATAAATTTCAAATCTATCATGTATTAGGTGTATTCATGATGATGATCAGTGACAAGAAAATTATTCAAACAAATTAGTTACATTTATCAAAGAGACAAAAATCTGAATAATCTAACCAACTCCTATCACCCTGAATCCATCTCATACTCATCACGATAATCACTTGATCCTTTGTCAATTATAATCCAACCAGAATCATGGGTGAGACTTTTTTTCCTACGACTCATCAACCGAAATCATCTTATCATCCTAATTCCATTGAATTTCATGAGATTTCATATTTTCCATGGGAGACTCTGAATTTCCGCTGAGCAAATTGAACATAAAAACAATGGATATTGAATGAGCCAGTCAATGAAATTTGAAACTATCTCTCAAACTAAATCAACTGATTAACTTTACTTTTTTTACTGAATTGATTCAAATTTAAAGTAATCATGTATTCATGATAATCTATGAATACTAATCAGTTAAATATGTTGTAAGTCTCAACATCTTAACAATTTGTGGTTAAATTGTTTCAAGATGATTAACTTTAAGTGTTAACACTTGAATTAACATGATGATGATGATCAAGATAATCATCTTGATAATATCAAGTATCATGGTGATAATAATAATAAAATCAAAATCACTTGATATTTAATCAACTATTTTAATATTTGCTCTCAACTGAATATAAGGAAAACTTCAAATTAACAATCAGCATTAAGTTAAATTGTCAACTTGATCGTGTGTATTAATCAGCAAGAATAAGAAATTAGTTGATTGTTGGAAATCTTGAAATCTTATTGATTATTAGAAGAAAAGTAAAGAGAAAAAAAAAGTTTCGAATAGAAAAAAATAAAAAGATTGAAAGACTTTCCCTCCATGATAATCAGAGTATTCTGGTAAAAGGTAAGCCATGAGCATCTCATGAATTTCATCCTTTAAACTTATGAATTCAGTGTAATCTTCATGATGTAGTTACCATGATAATAATATTAACAAAAGGTAACACCCAATGAGAAAAAAAATTTTTTTTTTCCATTGGAAACATAATAAAGTTTCAGTTTCAGTTGAACTGAAATGAATCGTATTATTATCATGATGATTATCGTGAAGATGATTATATAAACTCAATTATTATAAATATACTTGCATCTTTTATCATCTTCATCATCCTGAAGATAAATCCCTTCATCGTCTTCTTGTTTCATCCATAATCCAATTGAACGTGATTCTGCTAATTAACTTCACCTAATTATGATTTACTATTACAATGAAAATAATCATTTCATCATTCATTATATTAATGCGAAAGCTTAATGAACTTATCTTCATGATGATCATATTATCATCAGCATATTTGTTATTGAATTATTAATTCAATTGAAATTATTAATAGTTAATAAGCTAAATCATCATTTATAATACACTTGATTCAAATTGTCCATTGAAACTTTGCTTCATTTTTTTTTTCATTAAAAAACATGATCAACAACAAGATTGATTGTTAATAACATTGATTTTTCATTCTTATTATTATATATCCACAGGTTATTGATTTATTTATGCAAATTGATCATGTTAATTTACAATGATTAATAATCATGAGATTAAATTGTTCAGGTAATTTAGTAAATAGTATTTTTTATGTTTCCATTCATATATATTTATATGAGTTCACAGGTAACCTTAAATTACAGGGTTTCAATTGTTCAAATTGATATCGTTGTGAAAGTAAGTCTATTATTATTATTATTTTTCCTCTGAATGATTATCATGATTAGTATTATGTATCATGAGGTGGGTTTGATTGCTCATCTCATGAAATTTTACTTTCACACAATTAAATGATTGAAATTGCTTCCGTTGGATAATAATAGATAGCGATTCCATTGAGTTCAATTGAACTGAAATCAAGATTCACATTTCATTGAGTAATATTTTTTTTCACTCCCAATATAATAATAATAATTATTATTTTTTCTTTACTTAATCATGATTATTATTCATTTTTATTATCACCAATGTTTACATTTGAATTAATCTCTTCTTTTATTTCACTGACCATTCGTAACATTCATGGTTTCAGTTCATTACCATGAATTTTATCAATAGGCTCATCGAAACTGAATAAATGAAGCTTGAAACTTTAGTCTTTCTCATTTATTTCAAAATGAATTCAATTTTTGTTTTGTTATTCTGAAATCAGTTATTACCTTTCACCTGTTACTTTCAGGGTATTACTAAAGGTTAACTGTTTCATGCTCAGATTTATTCTGATTCTTTCCGGTATCTGATCAGATTTCAAATTATGATCCATTATCATGGTAATAATTATACTGAAAAATTGAATAATTGAAAGTTTAAAATGTTATTTGAGCAACAATATTATTGTTACACCTACGGAAAGTTTGGGATTGAAAATTGTTCATGTAATTTTCATGGGGATAATATGGTGAGAAAAGTTGATGAAATGTCATGAGAAAGTTCATAAGGAACAGGGATGTAACCGATGCGGGACTTATTGAGAATAGAAAAGGTATAATTTTTCATGGTGAAGGTAAAGAAAGAAAGTGAAAAATGGGAGGATTGGACAAAATGGAGAAAAGTTCATCCGATAGGAAATGAATTGTGTTCCATGATGATGAAACTAACCGAATTGAATTATCGTTTCTGCCATTGAACCAGATATGTTATTGTAAATACTGGTGAATGATGAAGACTCGCTGATGTTTCCTTGTTCAGATCAAGGATTGAAAGTTGATTCAGTTCTTTTTGATAGGGAAAAGTCTCATGAATTTCATTATAAATCAGATAAATTCAAGGTGAAAATTATGTTTACTGTAAAGTGTTTGAACAAACATCTAATCAACAATGGAAAAACTCTGATCTTTTATCAGAATATTCATGATATGAGTTATTCATTGTTTGTCTATGTGAAAAGTTCATTGATATTACAATAAGTAATTCGGTGGATAGAAAAGTCTCTCGAAAATTTTGCATCGAAAAAAATGAATGATAACCAAAAGAAAATGAGCGGAAATGTTTATCATGCTCTTTATCTATACTCAGGACGATAAACATAGAAGTTGATAATATTCAGATGCTTTTGAAGAGAGAGAGAGAGAGAGAGAGAGAGAGAGAGAGAGATTCTTGGCCCAAACAAAGGTGAAAACCATATCATCTATTTTCTTGGAGTATTTTCCCTTATCAAATCTCGAAGGGATTTTGAATATTAGGCTTTTACCAAAGACACGAAACACATAATTCTTGTTTTCCATGTCTTCATACACCATGAGAGTGTTCATTCATTTTCCATGCAAAACTAAAGGAAGAGAAAAGAAAAGGGGAAAAACCAAGAAACATATTCGTGAAGGACTTTTTCCCCTTTTCTCTTTTTCTCATTGAAATTTATTCTCACCAGGAAAAAAAAGAGTAGAGGTGGAAAAAGACTCGATGGTGATGATGCATATGCAGATATAAGATGCTACTGATTCTCAATTGAAACTCAGGAAAAGACTGATGAATGAACTGAAAATGCTATTGACTGCAGAAAATTTTATTCTCTTATTCCTTACCACTCCCACTTGAGGTTATTAATAACATCGACATCATTTACAGAATCGAAAAGGTGAGATTCGAAGTGGGTGGAGAAAATTGTCTATTATTTTTAGTTCAATTATTTTCATCGAACTCGTTTCAGAACAAAACTAAAAAAACTTCAGAACTTTTCTCATTCTTGTACCTTTGGTTATTTATTCTGATTCTGAATCTTGAATAAAATTCGTAATTCCGTTTCTTTCATACTGATTACAATTAATTTGTGACATTGAAAGGGCTTGTTCTCCTGCGAAGGAAAATGATTGTGATTTCGATAACCAATTAACTAATTAACTATTAATTAATGAAGAAAATGCAAACAAATGCTAATTCATCACTTGGCTGAGCAATCGGTGTCCAATTAATTTCTTAAGTTGATACACCAGAAAACAATTGTTGCTCTAATGAGAATCGAGGATTTCATGATGGCTGAAGCTCAGGAAGTGACTTGAATGGAGCTTGGAATTATATTTCACTTTTTGTTCATGAACATTGACCAAGCTTTAAAAAAGCTTTGTTCTAAATAACTTTTCTTATCTTTGGTATTGAGGCCTGAGTCTAAATCTCTCAGAAGAGATTGAATTCCATCATGAACCGATGAAACTGCCAAAGTTAAATTGAGTGTCACCATCGAACAGATGAAAGAGTAAATATTAATAAAAGTCGATGAATGATCTCAAAATTAAGGTACGATAACTTGAGAACCTGAGGTCTAAATATTAAAGATAAAAAGTTATCCAGAAAAAGAACTAGTTAAAACTTGGAAAAAGTATTTTCCCTGTATTTCCACCACTATTATAAAACTGCCTCCAAATGATATTCTTAGTTCCGGATTGAATTTCTTAACCATGTTGATATAACATGATGAATATTGATTCTCAATTGCTATCAATAAGTACTTGATATCACTATCTTGTAGCATATTCAGATGAAATATGCTAAATAAATTAATAGGGATTCAATTTGATTGTAGTAAAGGTGTGGGCTGATAATATCACTCTCATGAGGGTTAAAGTTCATGAATGATATTGAAATAATATGCTAGATAATGTTAATACTATTTAATATACTCACCGGTTTATTTTTAATGAACCATTCAAGGTGAGACTCTGATTGAGTGGTACAATTTAGATCCATTAATGAACCCACTTTGTATTTATCTTTACCACCTTCAATAATCGGACTTTCAGGCTCACGCTGATATAAGCGATCTGTAGACAATGAAACGATAATCAAGCCAACTTTTTGTAAAATCTGAATTCGCTGAAATTTTACCTTCATTCCAAGTATAATGTCCATTGAAAGTTCGATTCTTTGGAGTTCCACCACTTAAAGTTATCGAAGACTCGTATCTATACACCAATATTATCGTTGAAGTGCATCTCAGCTTAAGTGAACCTCGAAGAAAATAACTACTGACCGCCTCAAAGTAAAGTCCGAGTCGAGTAGCGTCAAGACCAGTAGAGTCTCTTTCAGGTTCATAATGAATCAATTGATGGGGTAAGGCCTGAGAGAAGGTAATTAAACATATAATTAGAACTCAGTTCTTTTTTGTAATACTATAATATGTAATAGTAGCACGAACCTTTTGTTCATTTATATACCAAGATAAAATCTGGGATGGATAAGATGGATTTGCTATACAGGTAAGATTGATAAAATTTTCCATACCATAAACTGGCTCAGTACCTTCAATGGATAATCCTTCTTTAGGTAATACTGAGCCGAGAAAAAAAATAAAGGAAATGCTGTTAAAAATTCAACTTAATCATGTTTTACCTGCTAATGATTTTGAAACGTCAATATTTATATGCTCAGAAGCTTTTACAATTATACATTTGGATTCTTGTAAGCAAATGATTTCAACTATCCTTAACTTCAATAACATTGTTGAATTGTCAAAAAATCCTTGTCGATTTGCTATCAATTGTTGATAATAAGATAGATTTGAGAATTCACTTATCAAGAGCAGTTCACCTACACTAAAACTAAGAAACGGAAACAATCAATTTAAATGATAATATTTTCATGTCAATTATCTAATTGTAAAAGGGAATCAATTTAATTCTGTGCTGATTCTGTGTTAGCTTTGATTAATTAAGGTTTTAAATTAGATTGTTTTGGTTCCGGATAATTTAAACTCTCGATTTTCAATTGGATTTCTTGAAATGAACCTAATGGTCAACTGGCTATCACTAGTAAGACCATTTGTTTTCATGATAATAATAACAAACAATATAATAAACTTGACATTTCAATGTATGTTCAGCATCATGACAATTTAATATTAGTTTGAATGGTAATCTCATATGATTTATATGCGATTTTAATAAGGTTTTATTTGATTTTTTTAAATCTCCTTCTCTACTTACCATAAACTTTCATTTGTCTTTCGGCTCGAACGGTACTGAAAGATGGACCTTCAGTGGACACCTCACATGCATAGTGTCCCTCCGATGTGAGCTCAGTCTTGGTTAAGAAAACGTGTTTAGCTGATGAACGTGTTAACTATTTCGAGGATTGGAAGAAGAGAGAAAGAAAATGATGAAAATAACTATGATGAAATTCACGAGAAAATATCAATCAAAATATCAACCACTACGAAGATGACCATCAAACTGGACACGCTATCGACTAATACATTTGCTACTAATAAAATAGACTTCGATTCCTCAGAATTAGTTATTTGTATTTCTCATCATTTCCATGGGACTTTCAAATTCTGGTAGAAAATTGAATAACAATCAATGCAAATGAAGAATAATTTTATTCAGAACTTTTTTTATTATCAGTTTTCTCCATGTGAGATTCACACACACGAAATTTAAAAATCAAATTGACCATTAATTTAATCCTATTGACTTAATTTAAATCTTAAAATGACCAATAAATGGACATTAGTTTGGAAAATTTAGATAATGGTAAAAGTTACTGACCAATTTTAAATAATGATATGATTACATGTACATGATGTTTGCTCAGCTTTCAGGATAATTTCATGATGATGTTAATAACATGTTATATATGTTGATAATGAAGATAATGACTGTTCAATGTTAAATAACATGATAAAAACTCAATCCATGTTAATGAACTGAACTATTATTATATTTGAACTTATTTTTTTTACCTTTTTCAACATAAAACCAACACATAAAATCAACTTAATAATGGTGACATGATAATGGAAACAGTTTGACAGTTAGAGATTGTATCAGTTGATTTATCATGATTACGATTTACAATCGATTTTAAATTAGATAATTAAATAATTAGATGGTCACTTATTAGTACTATTATTTACATGAGAAATGAATTCAATTTTTTTTATCATAATAAATACCGAATTGTATTCAGAATAGACTTGAGAGGTAACAGAATTTTCAGAATTCAGATCATGAGGCTCATTAACTTCATCATCATCATTAAATTGAATATAATATATATTTTTTTTGTTCTTCTCAGTCATTTGCATATGAATTTTATGATTCAACAAATAGAATGTTTTTCCTGTCAGAACTTTTTTTTTCTTCCTCAATTCATCATCATCGATTTTCATTCGTAATATTTTAGATTCTCACTTTCTCATAGCGATTCCTAATCTCACATATTCATCTGAGAGACGGAAAATCGGTACAAATGAAGAAAATGTTATAACCTTTTGTTTTCGAAGGAAAAAAAAGTTCTGATTACATTAAAAGCTCATGAGTTTAACCATGAGTTTCCTTGTTATTATCATTATGATTGAAATCAAAGTCTATTGTTTCCCCATTAATCTGATGGTGTAAAAGGTTAATAGCACTTAATGGTTTGTAGATAAACAGAGTTAATTGCATTCAAATTGACTGGATGATTTACTGATTCACCTTTCAAATCCTCATTTCCATGATAATCTGTTGACAGTTTTATCACCAATATTATTTTAATCAACTCATTGTTATCTTAAACTTTCACTTTTCCTTGTAGACAATTAAAAGACTAGTGAGCTATTAAGTTCTGCTTTTCTTGTAGCAATCTTATTAGTTTATTGATTGGTAGTTTAATCAGCTTGGTTATTATCATGACGATGATCAGTATTGTTGTTATCAGAGTTTTCGATTGTCTTTAGCTATTAACTTTCAGCGTATTCTTGTTAACCTGTTTGATGCTGATTCTCATGATATTTTGTTTCCACTTCCACACTGGGAGTGGATTTTTGTTCAAGTTTCTCGCAAAATTTATCATCATCTTTTGATTTTTCCTTCTTGATGCTCAATATTTATCCTAATTGCCTTTAGGCTATCATCATCTTTACTTTTTTGTATCTCCATCAATCTTTTTTTTCTGTATCACATTCGGATAAGTTTTCCAGTTAATAGTTGTTATTGTTTCTGCTGTGAAACGGAAATGGGAAAGAAATTTATTACATTTTTTGTCTCTTCCTCATCATTTATCTATCATCTATTTTTATTGTCATCATTATCAAATTTATCTGATTCAGGATGAATTAGATATAGCTTTAGATTTACAGGATTCTCATGATGCTGAATGGGCTGAAACAAGAGATGATGCTAAGGGAATGAAAGGTAAACCAGATGAACAGAAAAGTTCATCAGTTCTTTCTGAGTCTCTCTTGAGATTTAATTCTGCAAATTCTGGAATAATATATCAGCTTCCCGATTGAAGAGAAAAGGAGAATCTTTAAATTTTAAAGAAAAAAAAGTTCTATTCATTTCGAATATGTTGCGTTTTAAGTTTCAATTTTAAGTTCGATTCAAATTCAACTTAAGGGTTCGAAAGCTCTGACAAAATGGCTGAAAAAAAACAGAAAAGAAAATGTTGCAAGTGCTTCTTGTATTTATAAAAAGTTCTGATTCAAGACTAAGTTCGTAGACGAAATTTAAAAAGACAAGAAAAAAATACTTGGAACTCTCAGAGAAATTTGTGAGCTATCAATTAATTTAGAATTTTTTTTTTCGAAAATTTCATCACAACTTATCCCAATTCTATCAAATAATCAGAATTTATTGCACCTTCCAAATTAATTAATTCATTAACTATCATGATGGAATATGAATTAACATGTTGTCAACATTTAACTAACAGTATAATTAATTTCATGATTAGTATTCAAAGGTTTTCATGAATTTATCACATTATAATGTGTACACAAAATGATACATGAACATGTAAATTGTAATCAATTGATAATCAGTTGACAATAAATAAGTTAATCAACAATTTAGACAATAATCTAATTAGATTGCTAATTATAAACCTTTTTCTTACTTTCAATTGGATTTACTGTTAATTAATCTTAAGTGTTGAAAGCAAAAAAAGAGATAAAATCTACTGGGAGTAAATTGAACTTGAGTCTGATTCATTACTCATGATGGAAATCATGTAATCATAATAATGATAAGTATTACAATCTAATAATAATGGTCAAGAAATAACAAGATGATTAGTTTAAGTCTTTGGGTTTAAGTAATATAACAATAATGTTAATGGTCAAGTTAATAAATTAATGGTCAACCCTCTCAAATATTTCATACCGATTAACATTTAATGGTCAGTATATGAACTATTCAGTGATTCATACAGTTTTTGCAATCCAAATCATTATCCAAAAGGTTATCACAATTACAATCAAGTTCATGTGAGCTAATTTTCATCACAAGAATACCTTTGGTCATCTTAACATGGGAAAACCAAGCAACTGTCCAGTTTTGAAACTTTTTCATTCCTAATAATCAGGGACAATTTTACTCGGCTCTCTTTAGCATTTGTTGTGCGACTGTACAAATTAAGTATTAGCGATTAGTATTTTGTTGGAAGAGAGAGAGACAGAGACAAGATGATGAGGATAATGATGATGGCGAAAAGACCAACGCCCATTACATCAGTTAGATTTACTTTACTCACTCAATTAATACTTTTATCATCATCACCACGATAAGATGGTTAAGCTTTTCCAACATCTTTATCATGTACTTATCATCATTATCATGATGAATCCAGAATAATGATAAATGTATTATTACTCATTGATGAATATGGATCTTTGTAAATCTCATCAACCAGGAAGATTATGTCAATCACATTAACTTGTGATTATCGTGGTTTATTATGAAATGAATGCCGATAAAAATATCGATATAAATCAGAACTTTTTGTAACAATTGAATTTCCATGATTTTACTTGTTCAATTGTTGAGCTTTAATTGGTTTCGCTGTTTGTTTGGCTCCTAATTAATTTCTTATCGATTGTAAAATATTACTATTTGTACCGTTAATGATTGAATAAATATTGATCAAGAAAATGGAAAAGGTTAATTCGTTATCATGAAATTTCATCCAAACTCTGAGATGTAATCATGAAATTAATACAAATTTTTTTATTCTTGACTTTTGTTATCTATTATTATAATTCCCTGTGTATTGAGATATAATAATTATCTCAACATATATACTGAGATATTGACATAATATTGATTATTATAAAAAAAAACTTTTCTATTTTCATTTCAATAACATAAAGACTTCATGTATCACCAAGATATCATCAACTTTTATCATGTTGAATGAAATGTTATCATGTTTTGTACATAAACTATTATTACATGATGATTCAATTTTCCCTTGTTGCTTTCATGGAAAAAATAACTTGTAGATATTTTTTTCTGAATTTTGTTTTCAGAACTTCTTATGATACATGAAAATAACATGATGAATGAGAAGCAAAAGACTCAATTCTTTCATTGGACTAGTTGATAGATTTCATATCGAACTTTTAATCACAGGGAATTCATATTCTTTCATTCTCATCATTCTCATCATGAGCATCTCTCTCTCTATCTCTCTCTCTCTCACTTGTTTTCCGAATATAAGAAAAAATTATCAATCTCAGTTTATTCTCACCTACACTATGACCAAATATAAGTTTCGATTTTTCTAAGAAAAAGTAAAATCTTCTAGGGCTCCAAGAGTAATGAGAATTTGGCCTCGAAGCGAGAAGGGAAGTGAGACCTAACTGGTGGTGGACACATTACAAGTTCGATTACTTTTGTCCAACGATTTATTATATCTTCATATTAATCGAAACTTTTTTTTCTTCTAACATTTTCTTATCTTTTTTTGCTTTTGAAAATTCTGATGAAATTCATGATAACATTTCCATCAGTTCTACTCATTTAAATCACCTCACACTCTCTAGGATTTCGTGCATATTAATAGACTGAATGGTTTTCGAATCTAAATTGAAAAGCTAATGATATTTTCTTCCATGTAAACGATTTTTTCACGAATCTTGAACCAAATACATTCACCTAAAAGTAAATCTAAACAACATCATTACAATTGTCATTCACTTTTTTATCTCTCTCTCTCTCTCTCTCTACTTCTTAGATTTTCAGTTATTATCAATTGATCATCAAGTTGGTGAATTTAAGTCTGAATGTTATCATGAAATGATTGATATTTCATCAGATTGATTCATAAATATTACTGAACAATTTGATGGTCTAAAATTAAAGTATTGAGCTGAACTTTATTATCTTACTTACATCTACATGGACTCCTTTCAGGGTGAATGTCTGACCTGATTTCTGTTCATCGGACGGAAGATATCTATAAAATTCAACATAATCTCTGTACCATTTTACTGAGTAAAGTTCATCTCCTGTTAGATCATAATGACACCTAAGGGTAACTGATTTTCCAAGAGGAACTGATTGTGGTACCTCCAATTTAGTAATTCGAAGACCTAAAATAAAAATGTAAACATTAAATTTCAATCGATTAAAAGTAAATAGTGATATTTATCATTTAGTCTTCATCAAACTCACCTGATGAATTGGTGATTAGATAAACTATTATCATTAGACCAATTCTTATGATATACCAGTTAAACTTCATAATTGATCCTGATGATGAAAGTCAATGGATGTATTAGGTTAATTGCGATTTCGACAAAACAAATTTAAGGATTCAAGTTGATATTCACATAATACAATTAAAAGTTAACCCAAACGATTTTTTATCCACAATCGAAAACTTTACACAAACAAGTTATCCTTTAATTGTGATCAGATTTTTTTAATCACCTATGAAACAAACATTTTCAACTGAATGAAACATGAATTATGATTTATTTGTTTTGGACAATATCCGATAGTGTTGCTTTGAGGGAACAAAACTTTACAGATTCACTAAGAGTTTCGTCAAGTAATGTGATAAACTTTATATTAACTTGAAAAATCTCTTATATAAAAGTTACTGTTTTCCACACAGAATCGACTCATTATTAAGCAATTCATGGATTCCAACTACAAAGCTCCATGATGCCATCTTTCGGCTACGAAATGGTTAAGGTTAGACTCTTTCAATCAAAGCTACAAATAGAGCTGGTTATCTAATCAATTATATCAGATAAATAAGCAACAATTTAATATCAATTTCGATAAGATAATTGCCTCTATGTGCAACTTTGGTTTGAAGTGTACGAAGCTTGATTTTGGTGGCTGTATTACAGTCATCCTCTTTTAGTTGAATCACTTTTTGTAAATAAATGTAACGGATAAGCAAATAAAAAGACACTTTGTTCCCGCTGAGAAAAGTCATAAAATGTATTATTTTCTTAAAATTTGTGACAGTTAACACAAATGGAGGAGTTACTTTCTCAAATCGTTGCGACAATTAGTGAACTTTCGAAAACTTATATCATTTGTATTTTCTCGCGACGATAAGACGGTTTTTGTTTATTTATTGGAGTATAAAACTTAAATTATTCAATAGAAGTTGACGAAATTGCTGACCATTATGATGATTGAATTTATCTCAATTTTTTATCTAAAATTTTCATTTTTTATTCGATTCAAAGAGTAAAACCAAGAGAGCACAGGAAGGAAAACTATGAAGCAACATTTTTTGGTGTCGAGGTGGAGCCACTAGTAGATTTGTAAAGAGAGAGAAAAGAAAGAGAAACATAGTAAATTCAGTGCAGAACACAAATCTAATTGTTTTAATCATTTTAACAATTTTAAGAATCAATTGAGTCTTGATAAGTTCTGCAGTTGTTCTATTTCGAGTTTCATATATTATGTGCGGTTTTATCTACTTTTTTTATTAAGTATACATTACATCAATACTAAGATGATCTATCAATTAAATAAAACACATTAGTTCTGATTTGAAGTGATCTTAAAGATCCAATTTATAAGATTTGTATCAAACCCAACCATTAATTCGATTAAGTTAAATAAAATAACAAACGAATAGGATATTTCATAGAAAAGTAACTTTGAGACTTTCGTACTGATTATGATTACCGATCGTAAAAATGTACTTGTCTTAAATATTTGACGATTTGATTATAAAAAACTTTATTTTATATTAATAAACCTTCAACTAAAATTACGATCCTTTACTTATGAATTGCTAAACTTGTGCAAGCTTGAGCCAATGAAATCTGAAACGACAAGAAACTATTGAACAAGCAAGTTTAAGAAAGAATAAACAAGTCGTTAAAGAGTTCCCAAGAATAAAAGATAATTTAATTTAACGTGAATCAAAAAGAGAAGAATGAGATATGAAGCGAATATTAGTGTGTACAATGGAATATCAAGCATGGAGAACATGAAACAAAAATCAAATAATGGCAGATAAATGATGAACAAGTGGATGTCATGAAGTTATGATATGAAATAAGATGATCAATGTTGTGTTGATGAAGTCGATTGAATTAATTGAATTTCTTTGATGGATTTTCTAGTTTTTCTTGATGCTAGATGATGTCTTCTATGATCTTTCATGAATTTTCCAATGAACATGTTGATGAGATGACGAATCGATGATGCTTTAATCTCTGAATAATGACATGATGGAACAAATGAAAAGTCTTGTGATCTAAGGATGGCATGAAGTTTAAATTTTATTCCTTCTTCACTGATGATGGGTGGCACAGATGAAACAAGAGCTTCACAACAAGAGATGATGCAGTTTATGAATTGAAGTGATGGCAACATGAGGAAATTGTTATCACCTTGAGCATAATTTCTACACAAAATGAACTGATGGTCAGGTAAAATATTAACAGAATCAATCGAGGGTAAACATAGGTCGCAATGATTGCCTTTAGATTTGATTCTGCGAATAAGATAACCTGCAATATATGCGATGAGTCCCCTATTTGATGAAATATTTGTGATGTCATGATTGGCAAGACAATCATCTTGAAAAAGTTACATATTTTGGCGACAAATTTTTAATTTGATCATCAATTATAATCAAATTTATAAAAATCTTAACTTAAATATTAAACAGATTATGAATAAAAAACATAACAATAGTTTTATAACGATAACAGAATAGAAAGTTAAAATTTTCTAATTAACAATGATTAATAATATTGATTTAGTTTTTCAATTTATCCGAAAGGGAATCAATTGAAAAATTCTAATCTTATAAAAATTGATTTTAATTTTTGCGCGCAAAAATTACGTAATATTATTTTCAATTGATTCCCTTGAGAATTCGTTGCCAACTATTCTTATCGATGAATGTCTTTGATCAACCAAAATCTATCAAAAATCCTAAATAAATCAAAAATCCTATCAAAGAGAGATGGCACCAAGAGCATCGATTGATCATTTCAATTACAATAAATCAAATGACTGAAAGTAGTAAAAAACCTCCGCTTCTGGGTAAGCCAGAAGGGAAGTGGGGGTAATATCAATCATGAAGAAGATTAATCTATCATTTACAAAGCAAGTAATTTATCTATTTTAATTTGAAAAATGCGCGCATTTTGTTTTCCAGTTTTTCTGAAACTATGTGAAAACCACTAACATTTGATACACATATTTTATACTAACTTCTGTTGAAAATTTATTGAATTTGTCTGATTTAGCTTGAAATTAAAGTGTTAAATACGACTATGCATAATGCAAGTGGCAGTGACGTATGAGCGCGTTAAGGATGCGAAAAAGAGAGACTGGAAAGCGAGAGTGGGAATGAGAGTGAGAGAAAAAGCAAGGAGAAAGAGACTGAGAAAAAAGAGTGAAAGAACAAAAAAGAGGTAGATTAAAATTTAAAGGAAGCGTCCGTTTGTTAATTGCAATGGTGATTGTCACTATCGCTATCTAGCCTGAAGTACTGAACTGCTCAATTTAAATCAAGTTTTAGTCGAAGGAGATCCTTGGACTCAAATAGAAGACGGATCGGATTGGTGGCTCCATTATTAATTGTTTAATCTTTTTACAGAAATAAAACATTGTGAGAAAGCTTCTTAATCGATCCCAGCAGGAGTGAAAGAAAATATGTTCGAACGTAAAAACCTAATTGAAAAAGAACTGAAAGAAACTTTCAACATGAACGATGAAACGGGAGACCATCTCGATTCTAATGAATATGATGTTGACATGTGAGTGCATTTGAATCTGATACGATTTTTTTGATAAATTTTAATCTTCTTTCTACTTTATCTATAGAATATACGCTGGTTTGCGTTTTGGTGTGGAGATCAAAGTCCAGCTTTTAGACATGATAAATAAATAATGAGCAATAATAGCCTGTGTAACTATTGTGGAGCCAAGCTTTTTCCTTTCGAATGTAAAGGTAATATGACCCAGTGTTGTCAAAGCGGTAAAATAGATGTTAAAAGAACAGTATATCCATCAGTACTGCAGACTCTTTTAAACGGTACAGATCCTGCTTTACATCATTTCAGAACAAATATACGTAGATATAACTCATCATTTTAGTTTGTAACTTTCTTCGCTTCAATCGAAAAACCTACTGGTCGTGATAATTACCTCTTCAAAATTTCAGGTGAGACTTATCATCTTAATAGCAGTTTACAGTGTACCAGTATGGGAGGGCAGTTATTTTTTCTTGACACAGAGCAGGCAAACAACATTCGGATGCATCATCGTGCAAACTCAGTATTACAACCTTTAACTCTCGAAACAGTTCACAACTATTTAGAATCTAATAATCCTTATGCTTTGGTTTGTCGCCATTTGAATGAAGTAAGAACCATGACTGCAAGAATGCAAGGTAAAGACTTAGATGATTTTGGTTTTGAGTTTTTTGACCGTGAAGACGGTGACAATCGAAGAGAAAATATTCCATCCTCCTATGATGTGGCTGCAATATTCGAGACAACTGATGGTGTACCGTCAAGTAATAGAAGTTTACGAGTTTATCCTAAAACGTCAAACGGCTGTCATCATATTTCATATTTGAGTCCACATTTAGACCCTCTGGCTTATCCATTATTGTGGTCTAATGGAGAACATGGATAGAAGACCGGTATGTTTCACAATGAAAGTAGGGCAACATCGGTTAGAAATAAAGTAACTATCCGAGAATTCAATTGCTCAAGACTTTTCGAAAGATTTGATTGGTTCAATGCAGTTTTACATTCTGGTAAACTAACACAGCAAATAATCGTTGATTATTATTGTCGTCATGAAAGTTCGAGACTAGATTGGATAAGAAGAAATCAAGAAAAATTGCGTATAGAAACTTACGCAGGACTCTGTGATGTCATCAACTCTCGCGCTGAAACAGAAGGAATTCGTGCTGGCGTGATGAAAAATGCCTAAATTGTGTTAATTGTTTTGTAGACATCGGAAATTTCCAAGTACCAATTTTATGAATGGATTGACCTAAATTGATCAATCAGTTGAATTTGCTTTTGTTTTTGCTTCGTTTAATTGTAATTAACACCATGTATTTTGACCCTTTATTTTTCGCAATTAGAAAGTTGATTGTTGATAAATAGTATAATTTTCATCACAAATAGTAGTCGACAGAAAATGAGAGAGAAAATAAAAGGTCTCAAAGGTATCATTTCTTTCCAAATTGTTGATTGATTGACGATCAATTAGTTATAAGTGTGTATCAAGTTGACTTCATAATTTTGTTAGAAATATTTAAATTAATAATTGTTCCAGGAGTAGAAAAGATGATTGTTTAAACAATTAAAGAATATGTTTGTTTTCTTTTTAAGATGAATGATGATAGTGAAATTAATGATTAACCATTGATGGTAAATTTTAATTGATTGTCAATAAAGTCGATTATTTCGACGTATTTGTGTATCAATAACCATGGCATCCAATTTTTGAGCATCATAACCAATTAAACTTTTGAAATCGCAGACAAATTTGTAAACATAACGTTTACCATTAACTCTGGCAATCATATCACCATCATAATAATAACGTAAAGCTCGTGACAGTTTTCATAATTCGTTGGGGGTTTGTTTTTCCGTTGTCCCCACAATTGAGTAACCATTTCGGGTTTGATAAATTTAAATTCACCTTCGATACCTTCCCAGCGGATATATTCACGATAATCGGCATCAGTCAACAGTTCTAGAAGAAATCTCCAATGCTGATCATTGGATAGAGATTAAAAAACTACTCAGAAAACGAGTTTTCTGGGTTAAATTAATTTTAAAAAAATTTTCCTGCCGTTTTAATTCAAAAAAATTGAAGAAAAATTTTTTTAATGGTTAACCTTTAACCTGAAGTGGAAATGACAGTGGGATTTTGCTGACTGGGGAGGAAATGGCAGTGGAGTGGAGATGGGGTATGGGTGGAAGATATACATTTTCCCCTACTTTTATGAAGTAAATTTCATTAGGTTATAAATTAGTGCTAACAAACCAACAACCACAGTTAACGGAAGTCGAGTTCAAACGAGTGCTGATGAACGAGTCCTTTGTCAAACCTGTGTGACCTTGCTAGAAGGCAGAAAAAAAATTATTTTTGGGTGTAAGGAGTGAAATCTAGTTTTGTGAAAATGAAACTAATCAATTTTGTAAAAAGCAAACCTTATTCCTAACGGTTTATCTACCTATGCCACGTATTATATCGTAATTACAGTCGTTCAAGTTCAATATGAACAATTTAAAGAGACACTGAAACGGCTTAAAGATCAAATGAAACGGATTAGCGACTAAAAAGATTAAGAATATTTTTTAAAATTCAAGTGAAACGTTTTAAAGGTGATCAGAAACAATTTAAAAAGTGTTTCATTTTCAGTTCATTCAAATTCATTGAATACCTTCAATTCATGATGATTTGACCACCACAACATTTTTAGATTCATCCAATCATGTTAACAAAGCATTTGCGACAGTCAAATTTCAATTAATTGTAAGAGGTGATTTTCATTGATTTACAAAGTCTTGGACATTAGCTGGTTCTATACAAATCTCATAGAGAAAATGAAATACTTTTTAAATTGTTTCTGATCACCTTTAAAACGTTTCACTTGAATTTTAAAAAATATTCTTAATCTTTTTAGTCGCTAATCCGTTTCATTTGATCTTTAAGCCGTTTCAGTGTCTCTTTAAATTGTTCATATTGAACTTGAACGACTGTATATTTCTTAGTTGTTAAGTTTTTCCCAGCATAATCACCGATACTATCACTAATTGAAAATTCTCGTTTACCAAAAATGTGTTTACCATTAATCTTTAATGTGATCAATTTTTTATCCTCTTTTGTATTAACATTATGAGGTATTTGATATTGTAAGTTGATAGTATTTGTAATATATTATCATGGTCCTGATTCGATATTATGGTTATTATTGTTATTTACATTTAATTAGCTTGAAGTGAACAAACATTAATAAGTAACAATGATAAATCTTCATTGTTCCCCCAACGATTTTAATCTTGGTTGATGCGTAACAATCAATGACCTTAACAATAATTTATACAAAGTAGAGATCATTGGTTAATCGGTTTAGATCAGTTCTTGTTGAATCTGATTTACTCGTCTCATCGAAACTGACAATCGTCTGTTTGTTTGAGGACTTCCTCTTCTTCCGTCGATTACGTTGACCCTTACGTCCACTCGAATGATGATGATGGGCAAGATTACTTCGTGAAAGAGCGATACCCAAAAAAATGGCGAAAATGATTACATAAATCCCAATGAAAATCTATAGCAAAAAAGGAACAAAAATTTAAAACGAAATTTTAATCACTTTCAGATTGGATTTACCGATAGATAGATGAAAGCGTTATTTGGTTTATTTCCAAGAATTAGTCTCAGCTGGTTGGGCTCGTTGATCGATCCTAATCCAGTTAAATCGTACGGAAATCCGAAAGGTAACAATTTACAAGAATGTCCTGATCTGTTAGCGATAAATTAATAATAAAACCTTCAATTAGAAATTTGATTGGAAAAGAAATTAATTTGAAACAATCAATGATTAATCATTCATTCTGTTTAGTTTCTATTCCACAGGATTTGGCATTAAAAAATTAGAATATAAGATCTGATCAGATGCAATTTACTCCTAACCAGAAATTGATATTTGCTCAATTCGATTTCATTACCATGAAGCCATTGATTTTTATCGATAGTTGTTATCATGATAAAATAGTAAAAGAATAAGAATAAAAAAGAGGAAAGAAAAAAAGTTCCAACATAATCTAAGCTCAACTTATCTTTTTTTTTCTTGTTCTATTACATTGTGCTAATACATGAGGATGAACATTATGATGATGATAATTGAACATGAATCAATCCAAAGAATCTGTATTCCTATCAGAGATTCTCATGATTGGATCAACTTCATCCTGAATCTTTATCCTGTATCTTTTTTGATGGAAATTGGCTTTGATTTGTTTTCCTTTCAATTCTATGTTAACTTTTGGACTCGCAAATTTTGTCCAACAACAATTGGATTAATGTTAACAATCAAGGAAATGAGTGGGTGAATTGAAGGTAAAGATAAAAAGAGTTGATTCTCTATTCAGTTTGTTGTTATTGTTGAGATTTCTGGTCCATTCCAGTTGATCCCATGAGTTTCATCATGAAAAAATTCAGTTTACACCTTATATTTAAATCATTGAAGAGCAAGGAAAAAACTCTCTCCCCCGTCATCTTTATCGTCAAAGAAATAAAAGTAATACATGTATAATGTTGATTCACATGGAATGAACTTGAGTGAGTTAAATAGGCAATAATTTACCCTGAATATAAACTAACAACAATCAAGCAAATCTCAATCAGATGAAAACGGTAATATCAATGTCATCAGAATGGAATCAGTTAATTTGTTCATTTATCCATGAGATTGGATGATAAACAAAATATTCTGTTGGAAGTGCAAAGATGATAGAGATAAAAGTGATCTAAATTCTATAATAATAATAATAATAATAATCATCATCACCATACTGAGGAATATCCTGAGTATGAATCATCAAGAAATAATAAGAAGATGAAATTGATTGAAGATGGCGAGAAAAAAAGTTCCAACACGAATTTATCTTCACAAGTATTCATAATATATTATTATAAACATCATTGAAAAGACGATATCAATTCTTAGTGTCATTATATTGATGAAATTGTAGGTACATGGTGAAAATATGACGGAAACTCAGTCAACCTAAAAGCCATTTAACTGAAATATTATATATATCGACTCTGGTTATTTACTATTATCATGTATATCTCTCTCGTGTGAATACAATTGAGATGATAAATATTATCGATAATTTTTTTTGTTCCTATCCATTGTATGTGTTTAGTATGAATTTGAGTAAAGAAAAAAAAACCAAACATTATTTATCCTTAGGGAGTACAAACTATCATCATTATTATTTCCTGATATTTTTTCATCATGGTGATGATGATGTAATCAAAACATTGCAATTGATGCTGAAGATAAGGATGATAATATCATCTCTGATTCTGTCCTTGGATTATAAGGATGAGCATCATTAGAATGAGCATTGGAACTTTTTCTGCCATTTCATCAATCATTTTTCCCCTTTTCCTTTTTATCTATTACGAAAATATTAATAGTTCCTCCAGCTCTCTCTCTCTCTCTCTCTCTCTCTCTCTCTCTCTCTTACAATAATAATTATTTCACCTTAATAGGTATTCATATAATCATCATTATCCTCATTGACTTTCAATCATTAGCATCAACTGATTATTATTAATATCACTTGAGGTTTAATCGTTGAACTTAATTCAGTTTGATCCTCATTGTTTTCAGTTATATTCAGTGACAAAGCCAATTAGGATTACGATGATGATGAAAATAATGATGGTGATGATACAGATGAGGATTATTAATAATATCGTTACTCAGGAAATGATTGACATGTGAATTATTAGTTTTAACGACTAATGACGTTTTCGAGTCTGAACTTTTTCTCTTCCCTTATAAAACTCGAACCTTTCATGAGTAAACTAATATTATCATTATCTAATAACATGGTTGTTGATTTTTACAATGTTTATTTTTTTGTCATTATCATAGTTTCAAAGTTTAGTTGAGTGAGCTCATGGTGGGAGATAGGAGATGATTCTGACTCATAATAATATTATCACTGCTTTTGGTAATTAGTTTTATCACATTAAACGATTATCATGAAAAATTCAGTTCATTCATCATAACCCTAGCCTTTGATTATAAACTTTTGGCCTCATCTTTTCACCTCGAACCTTTTTATCATGGTAACAGTTATTATTATGTTCCAATTTTGAGAGAGATTAAATTTTCATTAATTTACAGAAGCAACAAAGAGGAAGATGGTGCTCATAGTGGTGGAGGAATGATGATGATGACAATAAAAAAAAAGTGTTGCAACTTCCACCATGTTCAGGTTATGTCATTAGACAAGAATATCAGATAATCATGATAAAAGTTTTGTAGGAGAAAAAAAATCCCTGAGTAGTCAGAACTTAATCTGCTAACATGTTTCACGTTTTAAGAAATTCATGATGATGTTAATCCTCGAATTGTTATCGTTATTTTAAGATCGATGGAACTAATAAGTTTTCAGAATTCAAGGTTATCATGGATCAAGTTATGAAAGAAAAAAAATCGAAAAAGTCTCTCAATTGAGAATCGAAAGAAAAAGTAAAATATTATTCGAGTCTATTTAACTTATTACATGATTTTTCAGTGAATTCTAAAAAGTTCTGATGAATTAAACTTTCTTTCCCTTGCCTTCTTCATGAGAAGTTGTATAATCTATGGAAATAAAAAATTCGGCATTCATAGTGTTTCAGAACTTTCTATTTATCTTTTATTTTACTTCTTAACATCCATTAGAACTTTTTGGATTTATTTATTTAGTGAAGAAAATATTAAAATTACTAAAGAGATAAAAGTTCAGTCCATGGTGTTTCAATGGCCTCAGTCTCAGGTAAATTTACATGAGAATCTATCAAAACCATCTGAAGTTTAACATAATCTGAATACTTTATGATTTGAGAGAGAAAAAAAAATGTTACTCAGTTTTCAGGAGCCAGAACTTTTTTTTATATGTTCTGATAATGATCAGCATTAATATTATCATTAACATGGATAATGAGATCTCATGAACTTTGATAATGATCAGATAAACTGGAAGAAACTGAAAGTAATAGGTTTTATCATCTTTCAGATAATTCTGATCATGATTATGGAAACTCTTGAAAAAAAATCGACAAAATCAACATGAAACTGATAAAAAAAAGATATAAAATTTAGATAATCATGATAATCATGATAATGTTTGACGATTACTGAGTTTTACATGATGGTGATGATTCTGAGTGAATTAAATTTGCATCATGTAATTAAATTACTTCCTATTCAAACTAATCGATAATCAAATCAACTTCAATTTGAAACATAATTTTAATTTCAATTATAAATTCAGTTTCTATTCATGAAATAATTATTTTCTTGTTTACTTTAGATTCATAAAAGCCAAACAATTTCACTTGATTTAAATTCATTATCATTACTATTAGGGATTTAATTGCAATCAACATTTGTGACTCATTTAATTGTGTATAATTTCAACAGCAATTATATAATTGCTTGTGTCTAGTAGTGAGAAAAAAACAATCAAGATGAGCATTAATTGTTTACACAATTAACTAACTGTTCAAATGGATTTAATTTCATGTCTCAATTGAATACTCAACTCGACTATTATTAAGATACAAACAAAAGTTTCAATTGAATCTCAGGAAATTTAATTTATCTTCATCAAAATTGTTTATTGTTCAATCAGAATCATCGTCAGAATTAAGCTTCAGAACTTGGCTACTGATGAAATAATTTCATTCTTATTTTCCGTTTTGCTGATTGTTCATCTAATTTGATCAAGAATAAGTTCAGTTGGTCAGGTATAGAATTTGAGAAAAAGAGAAAGAGAGAAATTCATTGCTCAAAGTCATCTTTTCATTTCTTCATGATGATCATCATCTTTATCCAGGGAAGGAGAAAAAATCAAGGTAAGGCTTATTCTCATTTCTCTGAATTTCATCATAAATTTTCATCAAAATGATGATTATCTTCATTCTTAACCTTGAAGTTTCCATCAACAATTCAATGAGACTTTTTTTTTCTGTGAATATTAACCTTTTCTTTGCCATGGATTCAGGGTGAATTGAGTTTGAACTTTTCTCTCTCTCTCTCTCTCTCTCTCTGAGAGATGAAAAGGAAAATGTCAATTGAGATGATCACCAGATAAATGAGATTGAAGGGATGATTAAGATGATACAAGGAAAATGATTGTCACGTATTAGATGTAAACTTTTTCTTCAACTTAACATCAAAATAAGTTTGATAATCATGGAGCATCTTGATGATGATAATAAGATCATGATCATCACGTAATAGTTGATGAAATAAATTTAGTTTATTTCACAAATGATTAGAAGATGAAGTTTCCAATCTAACCAGCTCAGGGAATTGCAATATATATTTACTTTTGACTTCAATCTACTTTCACCCTTATTCTTGATAAAAAATTCTGGTTTCTCTTTCTCTCTCTCTCTCTCATTCTCTTCCTATTTTTTCTGTATCTTTCGAGTGAACATCAAGAATTTTATTCATTTCCATCACACTTGAAGCATCAGCTTACTCAATAGTTTCCAATAGGATAAACTTTTCCCTCCCACTTTACTTTGTGATTCTGCTGATGGGAGGGATATTAATTTTCATGATGGCAGCAGGATTTCATCAGATAAATGCTGATCACATGGAGTGGGATAAGGTGGCTTTCCAATGGTAGAAAGAGATGATAAAAAACAGTCAAAGATTGTATGAAAATCCATAACAATGTTTCAACTCCAATGAAGATTCAATGTTTTTTTTATCTCCATCATGAA